AGCCAACTGTCTCTCGCAAAATGACTTGAATGATGTGATGACTACCATGTGAAGAGGGAATTATGACAGCCATCACAGCGGACCAAGGTTTGGGGGACCAAAGTCACTCATTCCATGTTTAAAGGCATTTGCTTTGGGATGACACATTATGATATGATTAACTGGTATGAAGCCAGCCAAGTGTGTCGCAAATGCCTGTAGTGTTGTTGTGATGACTACCATGTGAATAGGGCAATTCGGTAGTCATCAGTATGACCAAGTAGGTAGGGCAACCAAAGGTCTTTCATTTCATTTGTAAAGCATTTGCTTTGAATAATACAAGTATGAATTGATTGTAAAAGAATTTTTAATAATGGTATTGAAAGTTTGAAGGTATCGCCGCACAATGTTTCTCTCCCATTGTTCGCCTCACATTTTGCTCTCCCGTTATTCGCCTCTCGTTTTTGCTCTCCCATTCATTTTTTCGCCGCCAGTTTACTCTCCCTTTTTGTTCTTTGTTTTTTTTTTTATCATTAACTGATACTTTCTTTTTTTCTCTTGTTTGATCACTCACATTTTATCGTCCAATCTTTTTTCTCTTTGTCTTTTTTTCTTTTATCTTTTTGTTCATTTTTTTTTCTTTCTCTTCTTTTCTTCAATGTATCATTATATATCTAGCTATTTTCTATACTAAGTTTTCTACTCTAACAACCATTCTCGTCTTCATTTTTTCTCTTCCGTTTTGAAAAGAGTCAAGCTTTGTATCTATTGTCCAAAGACGGTATTAGTAGCTGATCATCAACTCTATGTCCTGTTGACTAATAGAATCTTACGATGATTGCGATAAATAATCAGCAAATCCATATACTTGATATAATGAAATACATCTTTGACCGTTTAAATTTGCGTATTTGGCGGGAGTTTAGGCGTTTTTAAAGGTAATTGCTAGGTCGGTTTTGGTGGGACTGACTACGCTTAACGGTTTCAGAATAGAAATGTGTTGGTGTACTTGAGTGTTTCCTTCAGATGTACGTGCATGATTTGGCTGGATGTTGGGACTCTTGTATTGGGGTCATTGTAGAGTCGATTTTTGGTTAATTGGCCATATACACCAGTACTTGAGTGGACATTTGAATATTTGTGTAATGGGTTTATGATTAGTTGATGGATGCGCATGTTTCGCCAACTGTTAAGACTCTTGTTTAAGGTGATTGTAGAGACTTTTGGGATAGTTGGCCATATATATCGCCTTTTAAATGGACTTTGGAAGTTTGTTAGAACTTACGATATATGTCTATTATGAAAGAACCTTCTTAGTAACTTACTTTTGTCCTTGGGGATGTGAACGTGGAAAGTCGACCAGAAAGTTACGTTTGGTAGGCATCGAAATTTCACTATAAATAAGGGGTGGTCTTGGCAACTTTGCTTTGTTCTTGGGGGATATGAACGTAAAAGTTGACCGGAAAATCCTTGAATAGCCCTGATGTATGGTTTTGTGTGATGTTCAGGGTCCATTTGAGATGGCTGAAACTGAGGGGTTGTGGCCAAAATAAGTTGAATGAAGTGGTAGGCTTGACTCATTCTCTGGAAAGCTCATGAAATGAAGGGCGTTTATGAGCTTTTTTCGGGAGGAGGAAGCGATTTTTGGCGGTTTGTAGGGCCTTGTAGAGTGTGTACCTAAGAGGGTAACTTGGTAACACCCTTTAAAACAATTTTAAAAAGTTTAAGTCTTCGAGCTTCCTCCTCCCCTATATTAGCCTGCCTATGTTTCTTTGAGGATGGATAAACGGTTTGATGTAGATGTTTTATTTTAGCATTTAAGGCCCGCGATGACCTCACCATGGAGTCAAGCTTGGGTGTCAACAGGTTTGCATAGTTTACATGACCTCTTTGCAAGTTCGGCTCATGAGGGCGGAGATGGAAAATGACAGTAAAAATTTATGCAATCATGCTGGCAAGTATATGAATAGAGACTACTTTCGAAAGGAAGCGAATACAACTATAGGAAAAAAGTTGCATGCTATTTCTACATTATGCATGTTTCCTCTAATTGTTTTCTAAATATATTCGCCAATGCTGACTTTCGGTAACAAGACGACTAAAGTAAAGCCTAATTTAGCCGTAGTAACAAAACATTAGACCCACACTCATTCTGAGCGCAACAATTTGACCTCTCACTCCAACGTTGACAATGCTACAAAACGTTTATGATGAATTTACCTTCATCCAAAACACCCTCTATTGCTTCATTGCTTGTCTAATTTTTAATTGCATTGTGGTAGTGCAGAATGAGTAGTGTCCAGTTACCCGGCGTATGCTTCAAGCAATAGGTAGCACTCTAATCCAGCTACCCAATGCAGCACAGCCCCATAGGCATCTGCATCGAGAGCACGTAGGTCATAACCCACCAGTCTAAATTCCGAAAACGTTGTATTTGGTAAATCTGTACAGTCCACCCTTGTTTCAATATACAGCTATCTTCCAATACCGCTTTCCGCTACAGAAGCCATATAGCTTGCTATGCTTGAGGCATGAGCTAGGATGAAGCAGTCAATGATAATTTGAGTTTGAGAGGCTTGGACGAAGAAAATCACTCAGCACGTCAACTTTGTAAGCCATACAGATCATAAAAGCCATGATACACATCGTGGACGCTATTCTCCAGCTATACCAAAGTAATTTCCCCTACAGTTACTCGTCTACACGCCAGCCTCAAAAGGCAACGACAGCCTTTGGTTAAAAGCTATGTAACGCAACGGCTGATGTTGCTGCCACCTTTTGCACTTCAGTTTGGCCAGCGCGCAAATAGTTGCCATCATTTGTATATTTCAGTCATGTCCAGATTCATCTTCACAAGAACATCCCTTCAATACAGTACCCATCGATGAGGATTGAAATAACAGACGTTACTTGGGTATTTATTTACAATTTTTTGAATGTCAACATTACAAGATGTGTTAAGAGGTGTATCCATCATCTCCAAATGGCTATGCCCAAAAATCGAGCACAGCCAAAGATAGAAACCCGGAATTATGCTCTTGGCCCAGTGTCCACACTGTACTTGGCATTGAATGCTAAAAGTAAGCTCTAGCAATTGAAGGACCGTATTGTTTGAAAGAGTAAACACAAAAAGTTTTCTACTGATTTATAGGCGAATTTTGGGACGTCACGTGCTCAAATAAATTTTGGGACGTGCAAATGGGATCCATTCATCGAGCACAACAAACGGTATTTGTACCGACGGAGCGAGTGAATTCTGTTGTAGACTATGGTTCATCCTAAAACTGTCAGAGGTATCAGGGATATATGCTCTTGGTGCAAAGTTCTCATGCTTTGATTATTGCTATAGTGCAGACATCGACCAACAAGGCGATGGAGGCACCGTTGAAGACATGTCACATTACTGCAAACCCTGGCTGTACGTAACAGCTGTTAAGAAGTAGTATGGAGTTTCCACTCTGAAAATACTCCCACCATTACGCCATGTTTGTAATCACGGTTCCAGCGTGTAGGCGTTCATACACAGTGTAGGAGTGGCGTTTTTCTATGCCAATCAGCTATGAAGGCTTAAGGTGGTGATGCCTCTACCAAGTTTTCATTTTTCCATATAGTATCACTGTAAAATACTGGCATATCTGAGGCCCTACAGAAGATCTTAATTCTGTGGCCAATTTTCGAGGGAATATGTGGCGGTCTGTGAACACCTATTGGGCCAGTTGTGCAAAGTGACAATCGATTAGAGCGGTTTCCAAGTATATCATGCAGTGAATGACAAAGTTCGTCTATCGTTAATTACATGATGGTCCTTACACTTGGCTTCGGTCATCAAAAACACCGCAGTTACCGCGCGAGCGTCTGAGCTCATGGCGAAAGTAAAAATATTATAACCGTGGACTGTCAAGTCTCAACGATTAAAATGATGCCATTTAGCAACGTTATCCTTTATGACCACTCCCGTATGTTGCAGAACCAACTGGTGAAATGACTCATAACTTCCTTACAGCTTACTCTTGACCACGGTTAATAGCTACTAGTAAGAATTTTCCATTCTGTGGATAAGAATTTCCGCTATTGTGAAGTTTTACATAAGATCCATGTTCTAGCTCTCTCCATTACGTATTCTCCACCTAACATACTTCGTAGTTTAAATACCTTTGTTTAGGATAATACAGGCTCCGGCAGCTGGGTCATTATACAGTTTTGCCGCTGGTGTTCCCATTTCCTGATAAGTTACTTGAGTACAACAAGTGAGCGGCCATCTAAAGATTCGCTTATGGAAGATTCGCGTGCATTGAGAATCCAGTTACTGAAAACGTGGGTACTTGAGGTGCTATAGATATCTTTTTATAGGGTGATGCGCAAACAGTAAGATGTTTCCTGGAAAGGCAGCCTCACAGAAAATTTCCCAATGACGCAGGAAGAAAGAACGTCATAATTTTATCATTTGTTCCGATGGCCAAAAGTATAAAACCAAGACACCCAAGCTCGTTGGAGAAAAATACATACCATCTACAAATCAAAATATCTATAATGTTCGCTCTTCGTAACGCTGCTCGCTCCACCGCTGCTCGCTCCACCGCTGCTCGCTCCACAACTGCACGCCGCTTCGCTTCCACTGAAAGCCCAGCCGCCAACACCAGCAACAACACCCCATTGTTGGTTGCTCTTGCTGCCGCTGTCGCCGGTGGTGCTTATTACTACACAAAGACTGACAAGGGTATGTATGCGTGATCGTTAAGAACCACAATAGAAACAACTGACTAACGTAAAATAACTTGTTGACTTTGAAAATTATAGGCCGTGCGCAGGCTAAGGAGGCTCAGGCTAAGGTTGAAGGAAAGATCGACGAAGGCAAGGGTCAAGTTGATGCCGCCAAGGCTAAGGTCGAAGGAAAGTACGAAGAAGCTAAGGGCAGGGCCCAAGGAACCTATGAATCCCTCAAGGGTCAGGCCGAGGGTAAGGTCGACGAAGCCAAGGGCGAATTTGACGCCACAAAGGCTAAGGCTGAAGGCAAGGCTCAGGAACTCAAGAGTGAAGCTGAGAAGCAGGCCGAAAAGCTTAAGAAATAGACGAGTCTCTAAGACACATGAAACCCTCACATGGCATACTCTTGCCATAGCGCGTTATTCTTGCTTGTAAATACTATCCGCGCATGTGTACCTATTATACAATTTCTCCACCAGTAAAGCACCCCAATATTTGACATTGTAAAAAGAACAGACGAGTTTAAAGTGTGATGGCTTATGTAAAACAAAACTACGGATATTTGTATGGTCTTGAACGATTAACATTAAGTACGTTTTTATAACGGTATGACATGGAATAGGGATGAGGTTCGTGTACTCTACAACATGAAAATGGCCAAACCAGCGGCAACCAATGTTCCTATAACTGTTGATAATGGACGGTGGATGGATGCATCGCTAGGTGATGAAGTTTGGAATGGAGTCGCTGATGGCATGGCCATGGATGATGAAATGGAAGGCATGGCAGATGACCAAGAAGACCATGAAGACCAAGAGGATGTGGCTGCCAAACAAAAAGTAATGTAAAGTCAAGATATGTTACAACCAATTTCATTGTCAAAATGTATAGTGAGATTCTTACAGCTGGGGATCATTGAATTAGAGGACCAGGAAGAGGATGTAGGAAGGGATGAATCACTCATACTCATGGACGAGGTGTCAGAGTCACTCATGGATGAGTCTGTAGACGAATCGCTGTCCATGGAACCATCTGAAGAGCTACCGATTTCAGGGGTGACCAAGGGATCATAAGAAGTGTGAGTTTTAGTGGCGAGCAAATCAGTGGCGATTAGGTCGGTTTCCATAGAGTCGGTTTCACTAGAACTTGCACTTTTGAATCCACGTACGTATGTTAGGTAAGATTGACTCAGTTATAAGCAAATACAGACACGAATCTCTCGATGTAATTAAAAGCAATGTTCGGCACTTACGCGTCATCATCTGATTCTGTTGTTGAGCTTTCGTGCTTATGGTGCTTGCCGGCTATAACAGACAAACAATCACTTTTTAGTTGGGCCTTCGTACAATGGATTGCATACTTTGAAGAACATGCTTACCAACAGCAAGAATTGCGAAGACAAGGAATATCAATAGTGTTGAGACGTTGAATTTCATGGCGAACAACTACAGTCTACAGGTGGAAGGATCCATGTTTCTGTTGGTAGATCTTTTTATACAAGATAAAATTTTCACTCTTCAAGGGCTAATCCCCTGCCGGCCCGGCCCCTAGAAGAGGTTCATGGGCGATCCAGCTCTAGCCGCAGCCGGCAAAGTTTCGCATAAGAAGGAGAAATCAAAATAAGCGAATGGGCATGGTCACAAGCAACACGCTTGGCTATTGTTCCTAGATGCAATAGCGGTATGGTGCATCATGACGCTTGCCCCTATGTATGACCTATTTTTTTCGCTTCTCATTAACAATGTAAGGGTAGTTCTTCTACTCCAAGTGGAAAATAACAATGCGATTGAGCGAGCCACAAGCAAATAAAATAGTCTGATCCATTTGATTTGGCATCAAATAATTTCATTGTTTCACTTTGTCCATCAATGTCCATATCTGAATCAGTCAGAAAAAGCTAGACATTGGTCGTGTGGTGTTCCTTCTTGAGCAGTACCCTGCCCTAGAGAGTCTCCTGTCTTGGCGCCGACTACAGTGTCAAGCATATTCTATAGTTAGAAGTGGAAGAGGCTGGACACAGCTCCTTGGAGTTCACTTAAAATTAATTGGCTGTAAAATGATCGCTCCATCGGCAGCATCTATTTACTGTGGCAATGCGGGATCATAAAAATCAAACCATACTGGGCAGTGTAAAGTCGGGATGGACCTTGCCATTTTTTCATTTTCGAAGCAAACCCAGTCATTGGATTATACCCCCTTTCAAGCCATTGAAACATCGTGTTTGCTCTCAGCAATTGGTTCTGATCAAAATAATTATATAATAGGATAGTATAGAGAGGGTAATAATCGTTACTGGTCACAGTATTAAGACAGTCATAAAGAAAACTTGTAATGGTGTACTTGAAGGAGAGAGCTACATTGGGAAGGAGGTGGTTGGAAAGTAAGGGTAAAGTAAGGAGAAAGGTTCGTCGTATGGTTGATCTGATGAAAAGTAAAACACAAAAGAAAAGGGTACAAGGGACTGATGACATCTGTAATTTTTGGATTCAGCGTCCATGGCAAAAATGTAAAACAAAAAGGAATAAGCATACAGGTATGTTTTTTTTCTATGGAAGAGTATATCTTGGGACTTATAATAGTCACAAGCTTACCCGTGTATCTGTGGTGTTACTGGGTTATACGAAGCGTGTAGAGTTGAAAAAATAGAGTATGTAATGGCTTAAGGGATAACATACAGTAGCAGCCTTATGCAAATCAGTTCTTTTGCGGTGGTGGTCTGGGAGTGGATTGGTTGCTAGTGGTAACCGATTTATCATCGTTAAGGAATGGGTTCAAAGTATTGAGTTCATATTGGCGTTTTGCTTCAGCTGCTTCCTCTTCCTGCTGTAATTTCAATGCCAACTTTTCATCTTCCGTAATTTGCTGCTGGATCCTGTCCCACATACGATAAAGTTGATCAGGATCAATATCATCAGCTATGACTTCATCATCATCATCTGAATTTGGAGTCGCAATATCATCTTGAATTTCTTCATTGAATCGACTGGATACAGTCAGTATAGAGGCCGCCTCGGTATCTTCAATCAAGGAATTTTCAGAACTTGGTACAAAGGCTACTTTTTTTTGACTAGTGCCAATATCGGTCTTCCAAGATCGCGTTAGAAGGTCTTTCCATTCTGCCATAATTTCCTTGTTTTGGAGCATGGCTTGCTCAGCAGCTTGGTCTTCAGCAATGGAAGCATTATCAAATAGCCAAATGGATTCGCATTCGTCTTCAAACTCGTCAGTCTCATCCGATGCTTCTTCTTCATCTTCTACAGAGGTCAAATCTATTTCGTCAGGTTTTGAAAAATCTCCAGCTGCTACAGGGTAGGGCGGATTGCTGGATAGATATCGACCTTCAGAATCTCGAAAAACGCTCTTGATGCTTGTCGGCTCAATCACTTTTGTATTTCCATATTCCGAATGTAATTCACGGCTACCTGCCAGGGTAACATAGCCACTGTCTGCCCCGGTGGATCGGCGGTTGAACGAGTCCCATTCATGGAACCCATCTTGTGTTTTTGGAGATTCATACATGACAGAGCTTGATAAGGAACTCATAGAAGTTCGTAGAAGACTTGTATGGCCGTGTTCTTCCACCAGGGTTTTCTCTTCAATGTCAGGGGTAGTGGCCGGAGTAACACTCTGCTTCTCGTCAATGTCCCTTTCATGTTCCATGCCAAATACTAGGAGCGCAAAGTAACTTGACAGAGCACTGAAGAAAACAATTGACTCAATAGTACCTCCATTGAAGAATCTATACATTTCATAGATAAAGATGGGTCCAACGACAGAGAACATTGCATAGTAGGAGGTTGGAACTCCCATAATTGATACTAAAAAATTTGGATGGTTAACAAAAAATCTGCACTATTATATGTCACGGCTGTCGCGCAGCAGCATAGTAAGTATATGATCCTTCACTTACCAGTGTAATTGCGGCCATGAGCATTTGCAACAATATCATCAGCGCCTTCTTCGTGCTCTGGTAAACTAGACATCTCACGCTCGCCGTTCCTTGAAGTGGATAAACTTATCGGTGATGCCTTTGGTATGATGGTGTTGCCGCTGCCGGGTGAACTGGTTGGCTTTGGTGACGACGCAGCAGAACCTGTCTGGCCGACAATCTCGGAACTTGGGGTGGCTGGTCCGTCCGCAGTGGAAATGAACGAGGGAGCTATAGACATGGAGAGTTGGTCGGCTGTGACGAAGGAGGATGAGGGAGAAACAGCAGGCTCAAGGTTTTGCTGGGTAATTGTTTTGGCACTACGCTGGGATCCAAGGGTGCCTGAGCTAGTTTTCTTTTTCAGCTTGTCTGTCTCATTGAGAACAACTTCTTGTGGGGTATTTGGTTGAGGTGGCAAAATCATATGTGCTGCTGCTGGGTGCATTACCGGATCTTTATGCAGGGCGGTGGCGTGCGGCATATGGAAGCACATATGAAATTCAATTAAAAATTCCACTACTCTCTGAGATATTTTGTACTGTACAGGATCCAAGTCATGCGAGGGATGCGAAAGCATACCAGGTGTGAACACCGCGGCCAGATTGGAGGCGCTCATGAGATTGACTTCATCGTTGCTAGCAAAGATGCTAAGCATATCAAGAATGTATAACAACAAGAACTGATGTGGCAGTGGTAATCTCTCGATGAGAGTTTGAAAAGCAGAGATACGTTCTTGTGTAGATTTGTTTGATTTATCACCTGAGATAACAGTAAGTCTACATCATCGGTGACCAAGAACGACATCATTGAAGAGCAACTTACTCATGACATCCCTGAAAGGCTGATACAACTGATGGGTAATAACTGGGTTCGGCAAAAAATTGAGAAAGCGGCGCAAGATATTGGCAGAGTCATGAACGGTATAGCCATCCCATAAGAGTGTAGCACCCCACTGTTGTTCAGGGCTATCAAAAATCTGTTCCAGTTCCTTTACTCTCTTTGCACTCCCTGACAGTCGAAAAATTCCTTCCACTTGAAGACCTGCATTTGAAAGTTTGTCAATTACAGACTTGAGTGTTAATGACGGCAAATAAAGTTTTTTTTTTTTTTTTTTTCGATAATTTGACAATGTATGATCCAGAAACTAACCTTCTTCTTTAAGGTGCGAGCCACACTTGGCAATGATGATAGGAATATAACCCGTCAAACGTTCTCCACTTTCATCATCTACGTAACTGATGTTTGCTCGAGCGTATCGAATGGATTGTGGCAGGGCAACACCGAAGACTCCATGTTCTATATGAGCGGGATCAAGAAGGTGATACGAAACGCTGTAAGTATAGGAGAAACCAAGTGATCCAGCTGTCATGTAAGTGTTGTCTACACATAGACAGTGCCTTACTTTGATTTCTAGGAGCCATATGTCCCGGATAAGGGGCAGGCTGATTTTTGTTGGTCACTTTCTTCCACCACTTACGAAACGACCTTTGAACTTGTCTGTTGCTTCGAGATTCGGCCCCAGCTGGAGCGACGACATTCATGAGTGGCGATGTTCAGTGTTCAAGTGGGTAAGAAGCAATGTTGGAGCGGAATGTGTTTGTCACTGGTGAGAAGACGTTATAGCTCAAGTCAAAAAAGAAAAACGCGGTTAAAATAAGAAGGAAAAAAGTTAAGAGGAAGGAAGTACATGGGCCTTTTCCAGTGAACCCATTTTGGGCAGCCGGGTGACCTGCTCTTTCGGCCGTGCCGGCTTGTCCATAAACGTCGGCTTCGACTTCCCCGTAATGTAGCTTAACTAAAATTGACTGAAGTTCTAGAGTGGCTCTTGCGAACTATGGGACCAGGCCTAGAAAACTGGGTATCTTACATGCCAAGCGAAGCAGCTTCTGAAATTTGGGGTTTCCCTTTTCACCCTGTAATGTTCTCAGTTGCTGTTTCAAGCCATAGAACCGCCGTCGTCATGAATGCTTATTCCCATTTAGGGAATGTTGAAATTTGCGCTGGATTTGTTCTGTCCACATCTTTTGAGAACGTGTAGCTTACTAAATCGCTATCTAACCATGGAAGACCAACGTAGTTGCTCGGTATGGTGGTTGGAGAAGACGTAGTCAATGGAAAATAAAGGGAAATGGCCGGAGCTTTCTGGTTTGGCAAAAGCCTTGATGACTTTGTTGAAAAAGCACTTGGAAGTTGTGCCCAGAAAAATTAGTCTCTTTGACAGGGATTACATCGGCTGGGTTTTGTTTACCCTCGTACACTAAATATCTTGGCGATACATCCTATTGCTAACGCTTCGATTGCTTGCTGCATGGATCTCTTTCTAGATCACGATGTAGGGTAATTGTTACGATAGTTGTACTGCAAGGACGTGATGCAGCTTCGTTTTGCACTCATGTTTGTGGCTACCAAGTGCCACCATTTTTTGGAGCTTTTTTTTTTGGGGGGGGGAGGAAACTTTATACAACAATTTTTTGGAAACATAAAGGTCATATGCCCTGCCGATAGAGCCTAATGGATTATGGATACAATGGCGGAGTTAACATTTGCAAGGGTAAAGGGTATAGCTAAGGTCGGTAAAGTGAAGGTGTTTTGGTAAAAGAAAATAGTTATAAAAATAACGAGCGACTGTATTCACATTTCGTCTAGTCGTTCGAGAAGTAGTTGGCATCTGACATGTAAGCGGTTCTCCCAATCATAATCACCATTGTTAGATCCAAGATCGCTCGGTGCGTGAGCCTGGTGATAGGAAGTGCCTTGGAAGAAATTCTCAGCTTTGCGAACCCATTTCCTAGCCTCTTCAGTTTTGTTTTGTTCCATAGCAGCGACAATGGCCATTTCATACATGCCATATGCAATTGCCCATCGATCCTCATGGATTTGCTTGTCCAGGGCTATTAATTTGCTCAAATATTCCTTGGATTCCTCAAGGTTTCCCAGTTCTCGTATGACTGTGGCGTACAGCAAATATAGTATAGCGGCATCCGATTGTCCATCTTGCGACAAGTTTGGATTTTGAGCATCATTGTAGGCGGCCTGCTGTCGAATAGTGTCAGAGACTTTGGCGATTTGAGTTTGCAACTTGGTTTTCATCTGCATCAACACATCGGCGTTGACATGGGGTATGCCATTCCAAAGATAAATCAATTCCCATAGTGGGTTAACGACGACAGTCTGTCGCAAAGCGTCTCCATTTAAACTTTGACCATGAGGCGTCCCTCCTTGTGTGGGTGACGGGGCGTGCCCCTCCCGATTAGCATCCAGCAATTCCGCTTTTTTCTTCCAACCAAGAATCTTTCGTTCTGCAAAGATTTCATTAGGCAGCAGTCGACCTCCGAGTTGTTTCTGTCGACGTAAAATATCGGGAATTTGTAAGAACTCGATCGCTGCCTTATCGTATTCCTCATCTGCGAACATGCAGCATGTTGCTATATAATGATAGAATGCCCGTGACCAGTTGTTCATACTTTCCAGCCGAAAAAAAGTTTCCGATGCTTGAAAGTAGTCTCCAAGCCATATCTGACCCCTATGTTTCAGACAAGGGGATGAAATGGTACTGTTAGGTTAAACTGGAAGATGGGACATCAAACCTAAACACACCCTACTTACCATCCCATCTCGTAAACCGCGAGGGCCTGAAGTTGAGCCATACCACCATTCATTGACTCTTGTTGCATACGTGATCGCGGGAAATCGTTGCTTGGCCCGGTGACTTTACCAGCCTTACTACTGCTGGAAAATGTTGCTGTGATATTTTGGTCCTCCACGCGGACAACACTATCTTTACGGCGTGCATCTCTGAGGGTTTCGACCCCTCTTCGGGTAAACCCTTCCAATTTGCAAAGTTTACCGTCCACCAACATCCATATCCTACCATTTGGATATTTTTCTTTCATTTTGTCCAACATCGTTCTAGCATCTTGAAATCTTAAGGAATAGGGAAGGAGTTGCGGATGAACAAACAAGGACAGATTGGTATAGTAGGCGAGAAGAGTTAATGCGCTCAAAGGCGAGTAGAGTCCGGAACTTGAATAGGATGTATGGAGCAGATGCAGAGCGAAAGGTCGAGATGAGTGGAATCCCAAAGTGTTTAGTAGCTTGTTTGCTAATAAAATGGGGGATAAATGTTATATAGGGGATCGATCAGGGCGGGGCAAAAAAAAAAAAGGTATGCATAATGTTGAGTTCCTTACCTTTAGGTGGAAGCAGCGAAAAAATGAGAGCGAATAAGCCAACACCGAAAAATACTCCACTTTGGAGAGCCTTGTCTACCGTAGCGATGGATACGTTGGAACCGCCGAGATCGCTTGTTCCAGACTGCCATCGGATATCACTTTCGAAATCGTTTAAACATTCATTTCCGAAGAGAGGAAGAGACGCACGCTTTCTTTGCTTGGCAGATTTGATGGTTTCGTTGGACGGATGTTGGGTGCTGGACATGGACGAAATAACTTCGTCATTCGCTAATTTTTCAAAAGGAAAACGACTGACCCAATGTGAGTACCTTTTCTTATCCTTCGGTGCTTCGAATTGGGTGTTGGCCAGGATGGCTGCGAATGAAGGTGATGAAGGAGGTTCTCCTGGCGAAGGAAGTTTGTAAGAATCTGTAAGATCAGAAAAGAAGCTGCTGTTGTCTGGTAGTGAGGTGGATGAAGGATGGTACTCTGTTGGTAAAGGTGTTGGAGGAGGGCTAGCAGATAGTAGGGTTGCAGTTAGAGAAGGTGAGATAGATCGTGGATGTATGCTCCTTCCAGCCACGTCCACTGTCGAAATAGGCACTGAATTAATTCGATGAGTTCGCAGTTTTGGTTTAGATTGAGAGTTCTGTTGCTTTTTCATGGTCTTTCTTAGCTTGGAGGCGTATTTTTCTGTTGAAATTCCAGTAATATTTTCAAACATATGCTCGTACATTCGATAAGCTTTCCGAAGCTTGTATGCCGCTTTCATGTAATCTATCCAGTTGTCACGTAAGAATTGAATGGTGGCGGACATCAACATGCAGTTTGCCTCTAATAGTTCATAGTCTAACTCGGTTGCTGCACCTTTAGATGATGCAAACCGTTCCTTTCGCTCTTTTTCAAACCGTGCACTCGATCTCCTAGTCTCCTGGTCCGACATATCGGAGTCGTTGGAGCTAGTCGAAGACCTCGGTTGGAAACATATTGAAGAATCCGAGCCTATATCCAGATTATTAACGTCTATATCGCTTGAATTGTCAGCGGTCTTTTTGGAATGATGAGAATAATCTTTGCCGCTCTTGGCTCGTTTGGCAAAGGAGTGTGCCAGTGCTTGTGCCTCAGACAGTCGTGCCAGCGCAACTGTAATCCTTTCGGTTTCGAAACCCAGCATTGCTTCCACATACCCCATTAAAGCATAGCCTACAGCATGGAATGGTGACTCAGCAGCATATTGAGTGAAAATATGTTGTGCCGTGTCGAATTGATCATTGAAAAATGCGTCCTACGTTCGCGGAGAATTATGGCAATTAATGGACCATGCTTGTTTCCCCAAAACAAGTAAGTAGAAATTAGGAAATTGTACTCACAAGGCCACGCTGCGTGTCCGCCACCCAAAAGTCAATGGTTGCTTGACTTGGTAAATCGCCACCGGAGGCATGAATGGCCAATGAGTTGAATGTGGATGCGGCCGCCATGGCACATGACTTTAACGTTGAGGTGGTCAGCTTGGTTATGCTTGATATGGGTTTAAACATGGCAGTAGCTGACTGGAAGAGTGAAGGTAAGGGGGTCAAGTCTAGTGAGCTGCCTTCTCGTAAGGCAATATAGTGAAAGAAGAGGAAAGTAAAGGCGTGACAATAAGAAGAAGTGCTTAGCGGATTATTTATTTTTCTGTAACCGCCGTGCTGAAAAGTGGGTGGTGGGGAATAACTCCTGACTGATGAGCGTGTCATGGATCATAAAAACTCCTCATTTAGGGACTGGAAGATGATCTTAACCAGTCTCTATTGCCAATAATCCTTGTTTTTTTTCCTTCAGATGGATGAATCTCCTCTTCTCCTTTCATTCGAGGAGCAACTTCCAACCCTGCAGAATAATTACTACGTACTTGCGGATGTGCCGTTAAAGACCGTTAATTAAAAAAATTCAGAATATGGTGTGTCACCTTTTTGCCATGTTCCTGCTTCCAAGAACGGATTGCCTCTGCGTGGCTTTCATTCGAAAAATTGCGGCTGATAACAGTCACAGTTTTTTGAGTTTCAAGCGATGAAGCTCAATCAACTGATTTGATCAACACCATGGATCAACTACCTTCAGAAAGTGAGTGACCTGACTAAATGAAGCTTTAGTGCAACCGGGATTTAACGGAATTGATACGATGCACCTTAGCTGGAGAAACTATTCCGCCATTTTTGGGCCTTTCCCAACAGCAGTCCTCCTTGCTTGTTGCATTATATGCTCAAGTGGATCCTGAATTTGCACCACAGGTGCCAACAATGCTCCCTATCGCTGCTCAACAGTTGGCATCGGAATATGAGAAAAAGAATAGCGTTGCAAAGAAATTGGAAAGAGCCAATATGACTTGGTCCGATGAATACGAACTTTTGACGAATATTCAGCAACAAGCAGTCGAGCGCTTATCAGAGGCAAACATGGATGTTACAAAAGCAACAGCCGACCTCAGCCTTGGAGACGACGCTAAAGTTACAGACCTTCTTCTTGCAAGCTTCCTTTATGGTGGTGTTCGAGAAGAGATCACCGGAGAGAACGATCGAGCAAAGATGAGCCCAGTTGCTAGTCCAAATTTCAAGGGTGCAAAGGCATTGTTGGAGAGAGTTTTTGCCAAAAAATTCTCCATGGCTGGTGTGCAGATTGGTTCCCTTTATGTTCAAGAAGACAAATTGGCTGGTGGAGCCAACTGTACCGATGGTACTGATCCAAAGAAAGAAGCATACGACTGGTATCTCAAAGCTGCCAAGCTCGGTAACCCGGTAAGATTATATCTATTGAAACTGACTTGGAGCTCGTTCGATTTATCTAGTGTTTTATGTGTTTGTAGATGGCCCAGCACAAGGTTGCATTTTATCTTGAACGCGGCTATGGATGCCAAAAGGATGCTAAGGCTGCCATCGAATGGTATGAGAAGGCATGTGCAGAAGGTAATGTTTGTTGTGAAGATCTGTTATTATTTCGCTTTATCTACATCAACATATCGAAATACTCAAGCTCTCTTCCTCCAGGTTACCCTGACTCCGCACATAACCTCGCTATTCTCTACCAGGCAGTAGAACCTGTCGTTGGTGTTACAAAGGATTTGAAGAAAGCTGTCGAGTACTTTGAGAAGGCAAAACAATGGGGCTTTGCCCCTGCATCTAATGCATGTAAGTATCCGAATCGATTGAAGCGAAGGCTAAGAATGACGCTGACAGCTTGGATTAGTGGGTAGAATGTATTTGCTTATGTCCAAGGATATGAACATTGCAAAGGAGGCCGGCATCGAAGGAGACGACGAAAAGGAATTCATAGTTACTGGTATTTCTTTGTTGGAGGTAGGCAGAAAAAAATCAAGGATTTTTTATGATGTAAAGGTATTCCCATCTAATGATCCTGTAGGAATCCGCAAACGGGAGCGATGCCGATGCCATGACTTTGTTGGGAATGATTTTTGGATCAAAGGAATATGGTCTCTACGACCTCGACAAGTCACAATCATTCTTTGAACTTGCCTTAGTTCGTGGTGACTTGGAGGCGTATCCCTACCTCGTTCGAATTCTTCGAGCAAAGATGGCTGCCAAGGCTGCTTTGGAGAAACAAAACATGGAGAACTTTGAAAAAATGGACGCTGCCAGTCAACAAAAGCTCATCCAACAACTCGCAAAGGACGCCTCCGCTGAGAGCATTACTTTGGTCAACTGCTCTAACCCTGAATGCGACAAGAAGGAGTCCAGCAAAGGTGAATTTTCCAAGTGCAGCGCATGCAAAAAGGCGGCTTACTGCTCCCGTGCTTGTCAAAAGGAGCACTGGAAGAATGGTCACAAAGCTGTGTGTTCACTGAACAAGCCGACAACTGCGTAATTGTCGTCCTCCCCTTTTTATATACATAGAATTTTGCCATCAAATGGCCGTTCAAAAAGCTAAATTTAAAACACAAACCTGCAAATGATACAGTAGTCATGAATAAAAAGATACTCGGTACCATAGAAAGATGGTTTGCCATCCATATGGCCAAAACAAGACAGAAATTATTCTTCAGATTTAAATTTATGTATGCTTGGGAAAACAAAACAAAAAGAAACAGTATATGGCAAGGCAATGTACAGAAGGCGGAGGAAATGGGTATGGATGGAGATGTGCAGAACAGCAGTAACAAGCTGAAAAAAAAAAAAAAAAATTAAATGCAGGACATGTATTCCCTTATCCCTAGGTTAGATAGATTTCTGGAAGACAGTATATCTTCCACATCAATATAGACATTAGATTGTTGTTGTAATTGCGCCCTCTTCTCTTTGACTCTGCGGAATATACGCTGACGATATTCTGAAAGACATTCAACCTTCTCTGCATTCTGCAGGTCCTAAAAAAAAAAAGATCTTTTGTATTAGACAGCCTGACTCTGGAATTTGGCTTTTGTATCATAGCATTGCGAAATGAAACCCACACTGACCTGATTGGCGCAAAGGAACCAATATTTGTCGTAAAATCTCTCTGGCAAAGCCCAATTACTTGGGTTTGTCACTTCTCCTCCCAGGAAGATGGATTTTGTTGCCAGCAAATTAAAGCATTCGTCGGCGTCAAAGTGGTCGCGGAACAGTATCATACGGTCACGCATTCCTGGGCCAGGAATATAATCTATGCGGCGGTCGTGGACAATGGCTTGCTGCAAGTCGGCTATTTGGAAGGGTATGAGACGATTTAGAAGAACCTGGACGGACGGAAACATACTAAAACACCAATCGCTTACTTGGATTAAGAATATCTTTGTCAGCACCAAGAATGTTACCAACTTTCATTTGTAAACGCAGCAACTGGACGGCTTGGATGGGATGCATTGGTGGATACATATATTCCGGATTGTCCCACTGTTCAAAAGCAGCGCTATTGCTTGGCCATTGGTTAGGAGGCTCACTAATAAATTTATCATGGTCACCTCTCATAACATTATTCCATTGCTCTTGCACAATCTGTCGGTTGGATTCCAGCATCACAAAATTTTCGGTATGGCCGTTAGGCGCTTGATTAGACTGGTAAAATCGTTGCACTCCTGGTGAAGGAGTATTTTCATTGGTGGAAACAAACGGTGGTGGGAACATAGCACTTTCGAGAATTGACATGGTCTGATTCACATCTGACCCGGTGAAGGTTTTCGGAAGAGGTGGAATAGTATCAAGTCCGGCAGTGGAAAATGTCATTTCCGTATCTGGGGAGGATACGGACGTTGAAGAGGGAACTTGGTCATATTGGGGTAGTACGGATGTGTCGGTGGCAAATTGTGCATCGGAAGGTAGAGGTGCAGTGCATGATTCGTCTATAATTAACGTATCATCAAACAATCTATGAAGCTTTTTCTCATGCTTCAGACTTCTTGAAGGTGCAGTGCATTCAGGATACGGAGAGTCAACATCGAGTAAGTTCAGTGCCGCATTCTCAAGATCCAAAATATGACATTTTTCGTCGATAAAGACATTCAGTAGTGCAGGCATGTTGCTGCCGGGTGGTGGTGTTGCCTTAGCGTTGGTGCTCATTGAATGGATTCTTGGATGAGAAGAGTTCAACTCAAAGCATGTCAATATGTATGCTATGACCATGGCTTTTAGTTGCTTATTTTCAAACTGTAGCTCTCTGACAAGCCTGCGTAACTGGGTCATTTCACTGGTTGTTTTGCGCATATGAGCGTCACTCTCTTTCTTTTCTCGTTGCTTTCGTTCTCTGAAAGCCCTCTGTGCCGCTCTATTCTGAGCCTGATAGACCGAGTTAGTACATTATTATAGTCAACGACTTGTATTTCAACAAGTCTGGAACAAACGGGATTCCGTCTTTGGGGCAATGACGAACCTTTCGTTGTGCAGATGCAGCCGGATTGGCCTTTCTTCCTGGCTTCTTACGAACTCTATGAGTGACTCCATTCTCATCGACGACACCAAAATCAGATTGAGTGTCGAAATGCTGAAAGTTCCAGTTGCTCATGTTGAAGAGTCGCACAGTGTGGGGAGAACAGTGGCAAAAATTTGTCCGTTGACCGTTCAAACCCGGCACATCACGTGAATTCTTTGAATAACCGCTCCCGCTGATAGCGCGCATACCAGTAGAATCTTCTACCCCAAACCTCCGCCCAACCAACCAATCGAGTCAAGTACCCAAATTATTTTTTTGCTCCCGAAACCAACTCTCCTACGACGAATTCATAGAACATTCTCTGGGATTCTCTAGTAGGTCTCTCCAGCCGTCGACAGCGGTACTGAGCAATGCATTGATCAACTCTAGCCACTGCCAAAATGACTGCCTGGGAAAGTCTTTATGCCTCAGTTTGATTTACATTAAAAGATATTTATAAAAACAGTAAATACAGCGCCAAGGTTCCGCTCTATTGCCATAGTACACGCACTCTTCCTGTATTGACTTTTAACTATTACAATCTTTGTGGCACTCAATTTGTTAAACCTTATGCTTCCATAAAAGTGCCAACTGCCATACTTCTTCCGTTCCGACATCTCACGCTGATACAAACTTTGGGATGATCAAACAATCTTACGCTTCCCATTGAGCTCGGGCTAAATTCAATGCAAGAGATGTGTTACCACATTTCTTCTGTAAGTGTCGCCGCCATTATTGAGGTGGGGATCCAATTGAATATCTGTGTGACACGGTGGACACTTGTTATGTGTGGGATTTGATCCGTAAACAATGTCTCCACATTCATCTTGGGCCACGGGCACAAAAAAATATGAAGTAGCCACCACACAAAAAAGTGAATAATGAAGGGTAGATTTATTCTCAATCCAGTTGAGATTCTAAAAAGTTAAAATGGCTCTTGGTCACCATAACGTAAATATCGATTAGATGACGCGTACCATACGTTTAGCTGTTGAATAACCTCGTGTACAATCGGTCGTGCATTCCTTGGCACACATCCAATAGCGGATTAGTCTGGCAAGCGTCATCCATAGTAAGATGCATGGTTTTCTGGACCACATCCTCAATACCTTCTTTGGCTCTCAATAACATGCGTTGGGCTTCATACGGACCAATGATGTTCATTCTAACCGCAGATGAGTATAGAGTCCGCGTAAATAGGTACAGCCATAGATGTGAAGTGTTTTCTAATGATATTGATCGATGCAAATTAGAGATCTGAGACTTTTGATCGTTTCAAACTGCTGGTGCCTTACCTATCGACACACTGAGCTGTCTACATACAAGCCCAAAGCATACGGCAAAGTGACCATCTACTTTTCCCGATCTTATCAACTTTTTCCATTGTTTGACTACTTCGTCATCCGGAGAAAAGCACTTGATATGGAGCGTCAACATAGCAACTCCTTGGGCTAACGAAGCACGTCTGGCCACCGTGTTGCCAATCATAAGAGCTTCACATGTTGCATCAGCATCTTCAAGAGAAGCTATTGGATCTTCGCTATCTACAGTGTAGTAGCCCGCACGAACAAACGGTACGGTATTGAATGCGAATGAATGCGCTGCAGATAAGGTGAAATCCGGCAATGTGGATGCTGTTGGGATCAAACCAGCTTGAAAGGAAGCTTCCAGGCCCGAGGAAGCGACGAATCCACCAGTTGGAAGGGCCGAGTCAGTAAGTAGATACAGCAACCAGTTGGATTTCTCATCCGCTGAGAATGGTGAATTAACAGTGGTGGCCATCATCGGCGTGGATGTTATCCCAAACGTGGCAATGGATTGTGATTGAAAAAGACACGAGTCTCGGACTTTGAAAAAAACAGCTGAGGCAGATAATGTGCTTCTAACAAGCTATCTGAGTCCACCCACCACAGACTACAAGTCAAGACCAAATCATAGCCTTTTTTTTTTAACACCTGGTAATGCCAAAAGACATTCTAAAGGTGGTCATTATTGGAGATGGTGGTGTAGGAAAGGTAATGTATCTATTATAAATGCACAAGCTTGGTTCAATGTACCTAACCGTTACTCTGCTTGACCGCCACTCCGTTGACCCATGTTAGACTTGCTTGCGAAATCAGGTAAACCTTTAAACGATGCTTACCTTAAGGTCAAGATTACGAGATAAACAAAGAGTATAGAGTTTTTCAACTAAGTTATGATTGCTACCAGTTTATCCATAAGCGTTTCACTAGCTCCTACAAGGCTACCATTGGTAAGTTGCTTGACGAAAGTCTGTTACTACATGGATAGCCATCTCACTGAAAATCGATCTATAGGTGCTGATTTTATAACAAAAGACGTACACACTGACGATGGTCGAAAAGTTACGTTACAACTTTGGGATACAGCTGGACAGGAACGATTCCAGTCACTTGGTGTGAGCTATTACCGCGGAGCAGACGCTTGCTGCCTGGTATATGACACTACCAATTTCCAAACATTTCATAATCTAGGTAAGTACGGCATCATACATAACAAGGTATGTAACTACTCATTAACCAACTTACCGTTCTGGTAATAGAACGCTGGCGGGCAGATTTTTTAAAGCAATCATCCTTACCGCCGGATTTGTTGGAAGATTTCCCTCTGATATTGATTGGAAACAAGATAGATATTGACGACCGTGTTGTTTCACGACGCCAAGCTCGAGCATGGGCACAGCAACATTCATCACCTCGAATGGAAATTCGATGTTTTGAGGCAAGCGCCAAAGATGGTACCAATGTTGAAGAAGCTTTCTCATGTATTGCTGGCATGGTCAAAATCCCCCAATTGGAATTTGACATGGATGGCAGTGATAGCTTTCATTTGAATCGCCGAGACGATAGCCTTCGTGGCCGAAAGTCTTGTGCTTGCTAGCAACCCCATTTTTGTGCTATAGAGTACCTAGCGATTTATTCTTTTTCTTGACATTTTTAGATATCCCCCCAAACGCCCCTCCCCCATTAATTCCTGTTCCCCACGCTTCTTCTAAAGTACATCGTTATTTCCTTTTGATACAAGCTTCTTTTGTAGATACTGCAGACTCATATTTGTTACGATACTCTTCTCCATGATAAAGCATTTTTGAGCGTCTAATTATTTATATTTACACTTTGCTCGTTATGAGTATGAGGAATTGTGATTAGCTAAAGATGATTGGTATTATGACAGTAAGGACGTTGTTTAAAAAGCTTTTTCTGGAGGGAGATATTCGCACTCTCCATTGGTGTCATAAAAGTAAGTGCCTTGTTCGGTCTCGGCCAAAGACTTGGAGTTGCCTTCCGATGAGCCTCGCTTGCCTTCAGGGAGCTTGTCGTTCTTCCACTTGCACTTTTGACACTCGTACCGTACTCGCATATTCCCTGGTTTTCCAATTGTCTTTCCCAAGACAACCATTTGCGTTTCAGTTCGAGTCAATTTGACGGATGTTGGGTCGCCACAACGAGGGCACTGGTGAGTCTGCTGCTCTAATGAGATTTTCTTATCGGAACCACCGACTATTTGACATAGGTTAGTATACAGAACAAAGTCGAATGAGAATGCATTTTTCACTCACAAAGAACGAACGAAGGTGCCATGACAAAAATGGAGAATAGAAACCAAGAGAGGATAAAAAGGGAGAAAATAATGAAAAAATCGCACTAGCGCCCGTTTTTTAAACCAGTTAATGAGGCCCGTTTAAACGGTCTCCGCATCAAAAAATAGGCAACACAAAAAAAAAAATGCCCAATTTCAGGGCGCTGGTGAAGTAATGATATCAAGGTCCGATCATCATGATGTTTGCTAACAGGCTTTAATGCAGAAAATAACAAAAGAAAGTTCAATCGATGGCCAACTGAACTTGTACTATTGGGGTAATATAGCATACCACAATTTGTAAATATCAAGCACGTAAACCTATTTATTTATTTAAATCAAAGTCATAACGCCGCTGTGGATCGCCACTGTCGCCATCAAAATGTAATTGGTGCGACAGCTCGCTAGTACTTTTGTACCATTCCCTCTCAATGAAGGTGGCATGCCCATTGTAATCGACTAGGACAATGGTGGTTGCTCTTGTAGCATAGCTCAGTTTGCCTAACTGAAACTTTGGTATGAATATCGTGTTCTTGACTTGCTCCCAAATGGCGTCCGTAGAACCCGAGTACGGACAGCTTTCCCTTTTTCAGCGAAAACGGAGTGGAGAAGAGAAATAGTAATTTAAGCCAAACAGCCAATATAAAAAATTTTAGAGGTCAGTCCATTTTTTCCACGGTTGGGTTTTCGCGGAAATAACACTTCCTTACTTCATCAAATTGAACAGTGCTTGTATTAAATCTTCCTTGTCTTGCACAGTGTCTAAAATAGCTTGAAACTTGCTTTCACCTCTCTTGACCTTCTCCCATGGTTTAGGGAGAACAGAGTTTGATAAACCTATTAATAATGAGATAGTGTCATTAATAATTGTTCAAGCTTTACCTAACACATTATGCACGCCGTAAAACGGGGTTCTAACGAAAATAAAAACCAGTTTTATTTTATCCGCTAATCGGGCTAAGCATGACACCACGTTGCTCAACCATGGCTCGTGCATGGAAAGACTGTATCCCGCAGTTTCGTTCATGCAGCGGCAGACCGATGTTGAATCGACCTCCAGTCCGTCGACACGTTTTTTCTTTGCCGGGCCTTTGCCCGCCACTTTCCGTTGAATAAAATGCCCATGTATAGAACCTACCATATGTTTTTCCAGGTTGAATTTCCGTGATGTTTTCCCCATCCCGATTGCTGGTATAAAATAAAGAGGGAGACTTGCCCAACTGTCCGCATATGAGGTTGAAACCACCGAAATCGTTTTTATGCCCTTGGAGTGACTCCATGTAGGATTCCGGTGACTCGTGTTCGATAAGATAATCTCTCACCAGGTAGCCTCTGGATAATTTGCCCACTTTCAATTCCTCCCTATAATTGGTCAGAGCTGCAAACCGGCCATCCTTTGTAAAACCGAGCCAAGTACCATCGTGCGTATCGGTAGCAGAAGGACTCAGATCTCGTCCTGCAAGCACGTGATCATTTGGAGGATCCCAGAATTGAGCTCTTGCAGCGGGTCGATGCAGGTATTCATCTCGATTACCGGCAAAAACGCTAAAAGGCACCCAATGAATCTCATGCATTCTAGAATGTTCAAGTCCATATATCGATTTACTTACAATTGATAGTCGGGATGTCGGTTAAGAGACCAAAACAGAATGCACATTAGAAGTCCCTTAGTTGGCCTTGCGAGAAACGAAGAGGTGGCCAGGGTTCTACTGCCCATGAAATGAAACAAAGTCACTGCTAACGAATTTTAATTTCCCTTTTTTACGGTTACATTGTGTGTTTTATTATCATTACGTTAAGAATGCATGAGTAAGGTAATGGAAGCATATACCCGTTTAAAAGTTACCACATATACTGAGCTCTCTCATCTGCTGCAGTACATCATCTACTCGGCCATCCATTTTTTCTGACTCCGCAGGGAAATATTGTCTCAAGCCCTCCAAATGTTCATAACTTGTTTGGCAGAATTGAAGTTGAGACTTGACAAGTGCTTCGAAGGATGGATCAATATAAGGCACTCGAAGTTCAATGACCTTTGGTAAGTCGGTAATGAGAATGCTGTTGATATTCTCATAGACTTCACGTGCCATATTGGCTTCTTGTTCGGCTCTGGGAAGCCGCTGTGGGTCTTCACTAGGTTTGTCAACCAATTTTCTTACTTTTGACCTCATGGCGTCATAGTCCAACAGCTTCTTCTGTCGTCTTTTGATGGCTTCATTGATATCAGGGAAATATGCGCAGAATCGACTCAAAGGTTCTATTATAGTCGTTCTATAGGTAGCATCCTGTTTCGCGCCGCATTAGGAATGTTCCATTACCAAAAGTGAATGGTGATGCTTAACCTACCATATCTTTCTTTGCTTCCTCATCTAGTTTTTCAACCGTCTCCTTATACTTGATACCGCATTGACCCATTGGGGCTGAATCGTCATAAAAGTGGTGAATGGTCGTTGCTATGCGTGTCTGTGCATTTGTCATGGCTAACGTGGGATGTCAGTGGATGGATAGGTGTCTTCGGGCAGTTCACATACGTTGTGTTACTTACCTCTTAGCGAGTCTAAATAACCTTTTGCTTCTTTTGTGAGCTTTTCGGTCTTTTGTTCAAGCCTGCATAGTATCAGTTTGTGTGAGAGCAGTGTCATAAGCAACTTGTATTGACATAACAAGGCTTACGTTTTGTAGCGTTCATATTCTTCGTCGAACTCTCGATCCACTGTTTTGTCCACTATTCCAGTACGCTGCATGAGCTATAGACAATGATTGTGAGTATGCAACATTCGCTTGAATTGACTGTTTCGTTATGCCAAGGAAGCCTGGCTTACCGTAGTACCCGCTCTGTTGAGGTTTTTTTTGAAACCAGAACTGTATGGTTGTGAATTAGCTTTGTGTCAAAACTATGGCACTTCCAAAGACTTATTATGTTGTGAGCCTTGCTACAATGGACTTACAGAAAACTCATGTTTGAATGACGTTGTGTTCGAAAGTGGACAGCAACGGCAAACGGATGGAGTCGGACTTTCGTCCTCTTTCTCCAGGTCATGTGATAAGTCATGCCCTTCACACTGTGTTCTTATCGACGACTTTTGTTAGCTGATAGGCAGGTGCATTCCATCAATAGGAACATAAGTATTTAAAACTTATTAAAAAACTCTTCAAACCGAATTGAATAGTAGCATTAGCGGCCGTCTCTACATTAACTGTTGCTTCGTCCACTCAGAACTTGAGCCATCGACATGTATTTTTACAGTGAAATTTGGTGAAATTTACAGTCTTTGTAACTTCATGGTATCTTTGGTTGGTGCTATTGCAATTGAATGGAATAGCTGGCTGATGGACACATCAATGAAACTGCCAATTTCGTTACCGCTCACATTGACAATGTACCTGTTGCGCAGTACTACCATCTATAGTTCCAATTTTTTGGCCCTTCCTATGAACAATGAAATGGCTTGTTTGTCGACATACCACCAAGCATGTTCTGCTGTTCATATATTCAAAAATGACATCTAAGGCATAACGGCTTGATGCACTGAGATGAAAATTTTCTGGGTGTTAAAATTCCAGACCAAGACGGGGTTTCGTTTTTTTTTTGTTTCCACAAAAAAGGACAGGGCAGATTGATCTTTATCCAACGGTTTTAGATTGAAAGCGACATTTACTAGACATTACTCGAAACAGGCCCAATCTTGAACATGTCTGATGATAACGTAAACGCCGCTTCAGCTGCAAAGGCAGAAGAACTCAAGGCAGAAGCCAACGCTTTGTTTTCTGGTATGTTGTGCGAAACCAAACTTGCGTCTGCACCTGCTGAGAATGGTCAAAGATTAATCCACTTGCAGCAAAGCACTATGCCGAAGCTATCGAGAAATATACCGCTGCCATAGAGGCAAACCCAAAAGTCGCTGTCTATTATTCAAATCGTTCTGCCTGCTACATCAAAACTGAAGCCTATGGATATGCCATTGCGTAGGTGTTTTAAAATATCCACCAAGTCAACGTCTCATTCTACCTCACTCACTCGTCGTATCTTCTCAGGGATGCAAACAGAGCTATAGAAGTGGATTCAACCTATACCAAGGTATCTATCGATCTTTTCTTTAAAAATTTGTACTGGTGTAAATGTACGATCTTAACCTGATAATCTTGCTTCAAGGGATATTATCGTCGAGCTATTGCGAACATGGCTTTGACCAAGTTCAAGGATTCTCTACGCGATTTCAGAATTGTAAGCCTAACAGCACAGAAAAGATTGTTGTTTGCCATTGTTTGTTTCTAATCAGCCGTCTTCATCTCAGGTTGTCAAACGAGCTCCTGCTGATAAAGATGCTAAAGCAAAAATGATCGAATGCGAAAAGATCGTCCGTAGAGTAGAATTTGAAAAGGCAATTGAAGTAAGCTATTTCCACAGTGTTGATTTCCATCCTCTATGGACTGATTACTGAAAGTGCCAACAGCACAACGAAACTATCAGGAGCGTGGCAGACACTTTGGATGTAGAGGCAGTCAGTAAGTACACCGAGATTCGACAATCTCCTTCAACATGATCTAACACAAAGCTCTGGTAGCTGTTGAGGACTCTTACGATGGACCAAGAATGAACGAGGAAACAAAAACGATTGATAAGGAATTTTTGGATCAGATGATCGCTCGCTTGAAAGATCAGAAGAAGATTCACAAGAAATATATGTTTAGAGTATGTCAAAAGCCCACAGTCTAGCGCTGTTCATTACATTTCGTCTGAACATTATCTCCTATTTGTAGATCATTATGGCCGTTCGAAACATCATGTTGGAGTCGCCTTCCTTAATCGACATCGACATCCCTGAAAATAGCAAACTGACCGTTTGTGGAGACACTCATGGTAAACATACGCTTGAGCTTGTTACCAAAAGTAATGAAATCTCCTTTGTTAACCTAGCTTGTCAATTAGGACAATACTATGATTTATTGCATATTTTTGAGCTCAATGGCTACCCATCAGCTACCCACACTTATCTTTTCAACGGTGACTTTGTTGATCGCGGCAGTTTCTCCTTGGAAGTGGTCTTGACACTGTTTGCTTTCAAATGGTTATATCCCAACAGTTTATATCTTGCTCGTGGCAATCACGAAACCGACAACATGAACAAGATTTATGGCTTCGAAGGTGAAGTGAAAGCCAAGTTCAGTGAGACCATGTTCAAAGTAAGTATCGATGTCGCAGCGGCGCATTACAGCCAATCTTAGTGGAGATGACTTATATAATTTTGCTCCTTTCTTTGTAGCTGTTTTCGGAGACCTTCAACGCTTTGCCTTTGGCGCACGTCATTAAACACAAGATTCTTGTTGTTCATGGTGGTCTATTTTCAAAGGATGATGTCACTCTAGATGACATTCGTAATATTGATCGACTCTCGCAGAGACAACCTGGCACGGAAGGTGAGTTTGGATAAAAAAAAATCTGTCATCAAGCTGCTGATGAAGACCACACTAAAATTGAAATGACGTAGGATTGATGTGCGAATTGCTCTGGTCCGACCCACAGCCCGAGAATGGTCGTGGCCCTAGCAAGAGAGGTGTAGGCACGCAGTTCGGCCCTGATGTCACTAAGCGATTCCTCGAGCATAACGGGCTAGGTAAGGAAGGGTACAGGAATTTTATAAACATCACTCTTTGTATTAACGCTGTCATTCACCTGCAGATATGTTGATTCGTAGTCACGAAGTAAAGGAGAATGGATATGTCATTGAGCACGACGGAAAATGTGTTACAGTCTTCTCTGCTCCTAATTATTGGTAAGTTGTTGGTGACATTGCGGTAACATTACTCCATATTACTTACTTATGTGATCGTAATGCAGTGATAGCGTCGGTAATAAGGGTGCTTTGATCAACATCACCAGTGACATGAAATTGGATTACCGAACTTTTGATGCCGTGGTAAGTCTACAATGATGTTTTCCATATATCAAAGGGACGTTAATCTTATTTTTTTTCCTCTACCCTAAGCCACACCCTGATGTACGACCAATGCAATATGCCAGTCAATTTGGCGGTATGCTCGGTGTATAAAATGTCGAGCCTTAGGTGTCGAACAACCTCGGTAGACTTGATGGTATTGCCAGCAATTAATACATAGATTTCGCAAAAGAGTAAAGAATCGAAGTGAGGGTCAAGACCAGATTACATAACTGAACCGAGTTCGCATTTTATTTTATCAAAAAAAAAAAAGGAAAGAGAGAAAGACATCCAGGCTTTCTGGGAGTACACATAATTTAAAATAAAGAACCAAAACTTAAGCGGTCTTGCGTCAATGAAAAGATAGTGTTTGACATGTGAGGGAGAGACAATAGAGTGATTTACAAGGAAGGGAAATAATATCAGAGAAAGTTTTACAAAAACGTAGTGTTAGTTGGGGAACGGAGGTCTTAGTGAATGTGACGAATAATCTAGAAAGAAACAGCTAAAGCTGCCAAGTTTTGAAATGAACTGGGCTTGACGCTTTCAAAACGTTTGACTGAATTTTCCAACATTTGAATTTCTTGAGCTCGACTAGTCAGATCGTACTTAATATTGGCCTGCTCTAGATAGTCTAATGGGGCCATTTTGGGGTATCGAAACGCTAGGAAACTATCTTGGCGTCCCAAGCTGGCGTCATTGGATTGGTGTACAGTGTCAGAAAGCTCTTCTGTATAGTCCAGTATTTCGACGCCTACACTCTTGGAGAAACGCTTCTGGTGGCTTTGATTGTTTTCCATTTTGAACAAGGATCGTAAGGAGATTGATGCTAGCAATGACACATTAGAGTCACGCTTACGATTGCTGTGCGAACCCGTTGATTTTTGAGTCGGGGAAGGTGGACTGCTTGATACAGGGGTAGATGATAGTCTGGCGTTTTGTTGGATCAACCTGAGTTTCTCTTCCTGGTATAGGGCAAACGTCGTCCCAATTGGCATGGATCGGTGCTTCCTCAAGCGTTCCTCTATACTCAACCTTTGATGATTGAGAGTTGACATTGAGACTGTTTCGCGAAGGGATTGATGATTTGCCTCTTCGAACGACGGTTCGTTCGAAGAATGCCCTGCTACTCTAGACTTACGAGGGCTTTTGCGCAGCAACGATATTAATTTCCTCTTCAACGATTTGCGTTTTTTTCCAGCGTCCTGCGGCAACTCTTTGACGGGTTGATCTACCAATGTCCGTGGAAATGCACTTTCACTAGGAGACAAAAATTGCTCGTGGCATGGTCTATGTAAGTCTAAGGCCGATATATTGCTTCCGACAGATAGGCATCCCTCGATGTGATCGTCACGTATCACTTCAGATTCCTGTCCTTGCAGATCCAAAGGAACCAACTTGATCTTCTTTGACTCTATATCTCTTCGAAGTCGATCCTCTAACTTGACCATGTGCTTTTGCAATTGTACATAGCGATATACCAAGGCAGCTTTTGATTCCTTAGAAGGAGGATTCTATTTCAGGAGCAAGCGTTAAATACAGGATAAGTAAAAAGCGGGTTATGAGAACAGTAATAGGAGCTCGCGTCAAACTGCGTTTCATGCTTGAATCGAATTTTGAAACAGTTAGACTTGTTCCCATGTGTTATCAATAAGCAACAACGTGGCAAGAAGGGGGAACGGAGTTACAAAGGGGATAAGGGGATGTGCATATCCACGACCAAATAGACATGTTTGGTATCGTGAACGCAAGGTGACAGTGATACCCGGGTGAAAAAATTGGTAGCCACCCAAGAGTGATTGGATTAGCTCCAGGTTTGATTATTCAATTTGCGCATTGATCGCTTGTGTTCCGAAATGTCGATCTGCTCTTCACTCCCCCCTGACTCCGTTACCTTCGCAGAGACCAGTTTTAGCAAGTGCTTGCGAATACCTCCTGTAAAAGTGAATGGTACCACCTCGTCATCGATTTTAAAATCGTACGATGATACAACTTATATTCGTATTTCGTCGAAGAAAAGGGCGTCCCAATACCGAGAGTTGACGATAACAAGCATGAAAACGCAGACGCACGAAGAATTCATTGAAGGTAAAGATGACAGTGAAATTTTTTTACTTACAATGGTCGTGTGAAATTTCAAGTTGGATTCTGTCAGAGGGCTTTCAAATGGCTCCAATTTATCTTTCGGGATAAAGAGAGAACTTGGGATGTACTTTGTACATAACTCCACCAACTGGTCATCAGGGCTTTCTGTGGAGGATCGGTTTTGCTCGGGCAAAAGAGGCTTGCTCTGAACAGTGTTCATTGTGGGTAGTGGCGGAAAAGAGTATCGGTGGTTGATCTGTTGGGACCTCATTAATTTATAAGGAATAAAGGGGAAGGGCAAGTTTTTTTTTTAGATTCGTTTGTCAGAAAAGAAAACCGGTATATGTCGAGTGAATCAAAAGTGAGAGTAATTGCGGAGAGCCAGCCAAATTTATTCTGGAAATTGAAAATAGAAATAACAAAAAAAAAAAAAAAGAAAACGATGATAAGTGAACAATTCTCGTCACATATATAAACTAAAATTCTAATGCATTTGATTGTTAACCTAACCTGACCTAAAGAAGGGGAAGTAGACGCAGTTGTGAGAAGAGGAGTTCTAGCGCCTACTGATTAGAATTTTCTGCCTTAGGAATGTACCATGATCTTGCCCCCTTGTTCTTTCTCAAACATTACAGTACGGCTAACATCGGCTCAGTCAGCTGTCGTTTGCGAGCACTGTTGTATGGTGATGCTGACATCATGATCCGATGAAGTTGAAATAAAGGCAACATCAGTGGAACCAATGAGCAACCATGATAACCTAGTCAATTTATCAAAAAAACAACCAATTCCAGAAGAATCTAGTGGGTTAAAAAGCTTATTTACCATAGAACAAAATTGTCGAGCTAGCATTCAAACATATTATACGAGTACCTCATTTAATGTAGAATTGGCTGTTATCTTACTACTGGTAACCATTCATATGCCTTTAATTGGTCCCAGCGATGCTACCACCTGACATAGTCGCTGCCAACGTGATGTTGACCAGTTTAACTCAAAATAATGCTTACTGCCTGCCTGCCTCCATCCCCCACCCCACTAATTGCCTAAACTTTATTGTTTATTCATCAGGACAATGTTATGGTGATGATGAAATTAAATACGCCTTTTCAGCTATAAATAAAAAGAATAAGGTGGTGATATCATTTTTTGCATCTATCGCCAAGACGCCGCTGTAGATTTCACATGTAGGGACCGTTGCCCGAAGTCAAGTTATGAAACTTAAAGGAACTATAAATGTTTAAGCAATATTTTAGATATTGAACACTTTGCGCTTCGTGGCTTTCAGTGAAAGAGCGGGCTGAATATGATATTCGCGTAAAATTAAGTGGGTTGGCATTTCCGGACATCATTTCACAAAAATAAATTCGAAGGACCATCTGTAACTTGCAGCGCGCATATTCTTGGCATTGAAAAGTAAACTTCTCTCATAACGTTTCAGGACGTTTGAGTTGGATGACCGTAAGCAAGGAATATGTGGACCTGATCGATACGGCGATATGTAGAAAGTAGGAGAACATCTGCACTGTCAGGAATGATAGTCATCTGCCATAGAAAGCAAGCACGTAAATGGTGGGGTACTGAGGCGGTGAGGATTTCAATACACATATCGTGATAAGCACGAGATATACTTCGGCATGAGGTTGTTAATGTGTTGGCCAAGAATCAAAAAACGAATGTGATATTGACCAAGAAAGATTTGCAGAGCATTTTTCACAAATGTACATGATCTAACAAAGGCTTTTTTTTTATTGATTTCTATAAAGAAGTTATTACAGGTTGGTCGTCTAATCCAGTTGTGGGAGAGTTATACGGGTATAAATGAGATACATGGTTATGAACGTTAATTTGAAAAGATGACTTCTTCTTCAGCTGTTCGTGCGAATTTGGCCTCTTCTTGCAACTGCTTGATTATCTTTTGGTTTTCTAGTTCTACTTGGCGGGCATTCTTATCAGTGTGTTTCAGTAGCAGGTAACCAAGACTTGCGATAGCAATGCCAGCCACGACAACACCAGCCATGCCTTTCCAAATGGTCTCCCATCTTACTGCTTCCAAATCTGTCCGAACATCTCCCAAGGATATAGTAAATTTGTTATTTATCTCCTGTATCCGCATGTCAATCATCTTTTGGTCCTCCCGGACTTCATTCTTTCGATTGTTCATATCCAACGATATTTCGGACTTCATGTTGCCAATGTCCTCTCTGAGCCGTTGAGCTAAGGCATCTACTTCCCGCGTAATTTGAGCGGCTTCAGATTGCAATGTTTGTGTATCATTGCGTCGCATAACTTGAATCTCGGTTCGCAGTTCAGACAAAGCAGCTTTGAAAAGGTACGATTCGTTCTCTAAATCCGATTTGGTAAGCATCCTCTGTCGTAAGCTCGCCGTGCTGGGAGAAATATTCAAGGTTAACATGAGAGACAGGGTCGACCAACTTAGGATCAGAAGGTGGATTTACCTATGGCGCAACTTGAATTTTATGCCTTTCATGATCACTTCGGCCTGAGTACGAGTGAAACCTTGTTGCTCCAAGGCCCGAAGTAGTTTAAATGTATCAAAGTGATGTCGATTGAAGTAGTCATCGTAGCGTGGTGGCTCTAGCTTGTCTGAGGCCAAGTTAAACGGTTTGGACGTCTTGGCCAGTTCCTCCAAGGCTGGTGCGAACACAGTGCTATCATCCTGTTTAACATCAGTGCCTTGAGAGACGGATGCTGTGGTTTGAGACGAATTTTCGGGTAATGTTGGGCGTGTAGGGTGAGAAGGTGGGAATGGTCGCGAAGAATCAGAAGCAGAGCGATATTGGATGGCTCTGGGTACCTTTAAGGCTTGGAGATTTCGGGTAATTCTATTCATTATGAGCACATGAACCTCAACTTGTGCGTCAAGGGACCATAAATGACGTCGAATGAATTCGCTTAGCAAATCAAATTTCATTTTCGTGGCCAGCGTGCGAACTTTTTGCACCCCAAATGCTCTTTCAAAAAAAAAAAAAGCGTTCCTGTTGTTGAAAAATAATAGAGTGTGTTGTGGCCCAGGTTTATTTAATTACATAATTCATTTAAACACAGAGTTGACCCAAGCCGTGTAATCGTATCCGTCCTGACTCTTTGGCATAGTCTGCTTCAGAGTATCAATGACGGGTACAGGCACCATACACATCTTCAAGTCCATTTCCGTGACATATGGCTTATCTCCAGCGACGGCACGGAATGACTGGCATAGCTGTTCAGGTGTTGCCTTGTCCTCAGTAACAGATACCATATATCGAATGAATTGTTCGAATGAAGCCTTATCTTGGTCTTCGGCAACCTGTGAAAATATTTTGTCGAATTCTCTATCTTCGTAGAACAGTCCCAGACTGGCCATAGCGGCACTGAGTTCTGGAGGAGACAAAGAGTTGCTATTATCCTTGTCAAAGTATCTGAACGTTGACTCAAACTCTTCCAATTGGGCAGGTGTCAAGTTGGTCATATTTCTTGACACAATCTATATTGTTGACCATGCAGGTTTAGTTTTCTATGCTTCTGAGATTCTCTCAATTCATCTCACGCCATTTTCAACTTACCTGGTTCTCGATAAATGCACTCTTCTTCTGAACGGCCTTCTGAACAAGACTGAGCTCAAAGCTTAGGTCCTCAACAGAGTAGATAGTGTAATCATTCTCTTCAGTGTTAGCTTCTTCACATTGTCTGTCGAGATCGTCAATCTTTTGCAGAGATGATTGTAGGGGCTGAAGCTTTCCAGTAATCTTCTGAACAGTGTTTAATTGGATCTGCAATGGTGAAACATAAGAATATGTTTAGATAAAAAAGCGGGTTAACCTGTTTCATTCAGCGTACTTACATCCAGATCGCCATCCAATTTTGCCAATTCCAATGAAAGAGCGTTAAGCTGCTTTTGGAAATCATTCGCTGCGTTTGCGTATGATTTGCGAAGATTTTCCTTGATTCTGTATATCGCAAAAAAAAAAGTAGGGGTTAATACAGGTCCCATAAGCTCGCAGAGTCGACTGACGGTTGAAAAACTTACTCGCGAATCTTGCCGTTGATGCTTCGGTGATAATTGGCTTCCGAATCTAGCAGACCATTCCAGGTCTTGTCCAGGTCCTGTATAATGAAAATTAAAAAAAGCAGTACGTTTAGCATCAGCAGATTCGGTTACTGCAATGTGAAGGTTACAGGTACTTACAGCTAAGGACAATCCCTGAGGTGGTACATATGGAGCCAAGTTATACGTCTTCAGCTTAGTTTGTATATTTCCGAGTAGAGTGTCAACGTCCTGCTTTTCAGCAACCCAAGTACGCTTATCTGTATTCTTGTAGGTGGTGAATTCTGCAGACTTCTGCTTTGCCTCCAAATATGAATCAGAAAATGATGTGCCCTTCCATTCCTTTCGCTTGCTGTCAACCACGTCCATAAGCTGCATAGAGATACAATGAAACATTGTTAGAATATACGCCTTTCCATTCAAAACAGGTAGCCAATCAGAGGTATACTCACAGCCAGAACACGTCTTTCATAATCACTCTGCATGTCCCAAACTGACGCCATCATCTCCGCAAATTGAGCAACACGACGTCCAGCAGTCTCTACCTTATCTGTAGTATAATGGCATTAGCCACCCATTTAGCATAGCAAGATGTCAGAAAACTCAAGAATCATAATAAACAACGTACCTAATGCGGAAAATGCGTGGAAATATTCGGCAACATAGGTCATGACAGATCTCTCGTCTGGCTTTTGAATGTCACAAACATCCTCAACATCCAAAAGTTTCTATTCCAAGGTATAATATGAATTTTCAATTCATGTGTATATAAACTGCATGACCGAACTTACGGGGATTCCAAGGTGCTGCTCAGCTACATCGAAAGCTAAAGCTGTGTTGCCGTGTCTGTCGGACTGTGGGTGGGAGAAAACAGTGAGTTTCCCATATACAGCAGCACAAGATTACAGCCAATAATACTAACCTTGTCTAAGGCATGGTAGTCAAGCAGGTCTGGGCGATGACGGTGAATCAAAGCACAACTACAGTCGACAATATTAGTAACATTCCGATGTAATAGTGGCCAGGTCAAATATCATTAGTCAACTTACAATGCCAAGCCATCAGTCCAGCTGTAGGTAAAATCGCGGACATTCACATCGTCATAAGGCGCAGTTTTGCGCTGACACCAAAGCAAAAGACCTTCTCTTGCCGTCAAACCTTCTTGGCTGAAAATATGAGTGGCGACTATGAGTTACGACATACGACGGCGGCTAAGCAAAAATTTCAGGCATTGTGGCCCTTCCTTACTTGATATCATCAATAGTAAATCTCAAAATGATTGTCCAAATCATACCCAAAATGAGCTTGGTATTGGTGTCGACGATATCTAATGAAAGCCAATAATTTCGGACTTGTCAGGTTTTCCTTTCTCTCGTGCTCTACATCAAATTATTATCGTATACACACGAACCTTCAGCACCAATGTTAGTCAATTGAAGGTTTCGTAGCCTCATAAATTCCAGAGCTTTGTTAACGTTTTCAACTTTTTGAATTCTCATTTTGGGGTTTTGGTTGTATCGTCCAAGGGGTGTATCCCCGATGATTTCCTATTACGATGTTAGGGGGAGTGCATCTTGGCATTTTTGGCGGGAAAAACGAACACGCTTTGTGACCTACCAAGAGCTGAATCAGTCTAACACCACTGGTGAGATCTTCTCCAAGGTTATTGATATGAGGAATGCTCTTAATGTCCAACTTGTTGTTGACCCTATGCAATCCTTTGTAGTCAGATAACAGGTTTTTTTCTTTGATATCATAGCCCAAACTTCTAGCTTACCATTTTGTGAAAGCTATTAAGGGCGAAAGTGAAATATTTAGTTTTCATATCAAGATGGTATCATGCCAAGGCAGCTCGAACCCCGACTTTGTTTGACACTGTCCGCTACTTACTTTTCTGCTGAATGACTTCCCAGGTTTTGTCCATAATTTTGGCTAGAAAAGAGTGAAAGATATATGGTCAGTAATCTAGGTATTGGTCAAAAAATACATTGTATGGAGGTCGAGCCGAGTGAGCTTTGCTTGCAAAGGATTGCTGAAGCTGAACGGTGCGTCTCATTCCGGAAGGTAGCGTCGATCGACGACGTTGACAAAGAAATTTCCAACGGTATCCCTCAGACAACGTCTCTAGGACTAAATAGTACAAACCTGTATCCTCTACTTGCTGCTGAGAAGCAGCCGAGGGCTGGTAAGATCTGCGGTAAGACATGGATGGAGAGAAAAGGGTTCGGATCCACGTTCGCCTGAGAAAGGAAATTTCTACTTGAGCACTTCTTGTCGTGACGTACGGAGACCGATTTGGAACTCCGAGGCATGAATCGAACACATTCTGTTTACTGCTCAATATTTAAATGAAATACTGTTTATGCATTATTTTACAATGCTTCAGTCAAAGACAAAGCAAAAACATCTTAAATTACAGCAAAAGAATAAAAAGATCTATCATACAATTGTTTATGTAGAATTATGGGAATCTGTCGCTGGATGCGCGTCGTCTGCGTATATTTTTCAATTTAGAAGCACACTGATTGGGTGTTCGATTGTTACCCACTTCTTCTGCTACCGCTGCCCACATACGGTTCCGATACTCTGGGTTACCTCGGTATTTGTGAACTGCTTCTATGAGGGTAATTTCTTCCGCATCCGTCCATGGTTGTGTTTCTGTATTCCATGTTTTCCATCTTTCTTCGCATTTATTGGGTGTTAAGGTTGGAACGAGCTGCGCAACCGCCTTCCAATCGATTTCGTTTATATTTTCAGTATCTTGAGCTTTGACTGCCATTTTGAGGAAACGATCGATGTCTTCCTTGGAATAGACAGTGTCTTGATGTTTACCGACGCTGTGCCACCAATTCATACAACGCTGCGGGCTGATATGCGGCAGATAAGTGGTTGAAATGGCTAACCAGTTGTTTCCAAACATTGACACGCCTTCGCGAATGAGATCCTTTTCGTCATGCGTGAGTTTACGACTTCGCCTATTTTCATCCTGTTTCCATTTCGTATATTTGTTCCAGCGTATCCTGCATTCATCAACATTGCGTCCGGGTAGCTCTTTGGCAATGAGATCCCAACGCTCTTGGTACTTATGTGCAAGTCGGACCAATTTCTCATCCTCTTCTTGGCTGAATTGTGGTATTTCTTTACAATGTGTTTGGTGGTACCGGTATTCATTCCTGCACTGTTCTTTTGTTCGACTACTGAATTTAGCAGCAACGCCGTCCCAGTCAATTGTACCATTATGAGAGTGTTCATCGACAAGTTGAAGGAGTTTTTCAAGATCCTCATCACTCCATCTTCCAACACTAATTTCTTGAGGATTGCCGTCAGCCGCACGTATCATGCGCTTGGATGTGTCCAAGGTTTGGCTCATATCCCTGGCAAAATCCTTGACCCATTCGTCGCTGAAACTACGTCTGCTTGAGTTTCCAATCAGGATACCCAGCTCTTGCTTCACTGTAGCCCAAAACAGCCAGAAGCAGTCCTGACTTGATCGTCCCGGTAATTGAGAAGATATGGTCGTCCACCTTTTACCTTCATGCTCGACTAGCTTCCAAAATATTCGTATCTCTGTTTCGTCCCAATCTCCTTTGTTCAATGAAGGGTCGACTTTGAGATGCCAGGTTTGTTGACACATTGTTACGGTTCTGCCGCGAATACCAGCTGCTACTTTTTTCCAGTTATTTGTGCCGAACATAATGACACGTTGAAGAAGCAGTCTCAGTTCTTCCTCTGACCATTTCCCGTGTTTTACATTTTCATTGAGAGTATCGCAGTACCGATACCTCAAGCTCTGGCGGCTTCGGTGAGGAAGAAATTCTTTGGCAATTTTCGACCATTCGTGTCCATATTTCGCGACTCCTTTGCGCAAAAGTTCGTCTTCTTCTTTTGCCCAAGATCCAGAAATTAGATTTGGATTTGCTTGGAGGCTCCAAACATTGGCTATTTTGCGATTTGGTCTATTCGGTAGATATTTTTGCTGGATGTCCTTCCAATTTCCTACACCGAACTCGCGCACACCGTCACGCAGTTTTTCAATTTCTGAAGCATCGAACGGCCCCTTCCTCATTAAAGGGTTTGTAATATCGGTATATCGGTATTGGCACTCTCTTGGCAAGCGGTGAGGGGCATAGTGTGCTACATAGACACTCCATTGGTTTCCGTGCTCATTGACAAACTGCTTGAGAGCTCGATCTTCTTCATTCGTCCAGGACGAGTGCTTAAACCTTGTATTTTTTACTAGTTGTACAGCAGGATATCTTTTAAAAGGTAATGTTCGCAGAATATGAAGCAAGAACATGTCAACTAGGATAGCGTGGTGTAAAGGGCATGGCCAGAATTACGATGCAGCAGTCAATTGCAAGAATTGGAATCTCAGGAGTTTCCAGAGCTGCCGTTTCCATGTGTGACCGTCTTTTTCTACAGCCATTTTTTTTTTTTGAGAGCTGCGACCTTACTGCTTGTTCGATCACTTTCATAGATGGATCTCTTCAGATTACTAGGTGGAGGCGCAAAGTTTGACAAGAAGCGCTTTAAGGATGACTTCCAACTACTAGACGTAAGCTTCTATCTATTTTATGCTCATTCCATATACATTTTGGTACTGATTCAACTCCCCACTTAGCCTACTGCAACTGAACCCGAAGTTGAGGAAACCCTTACTGAGCAACCAGATAATGAGGAAGAACGACAGAAGTCTTTGTTAAATGAAATTGATTTCTTTAAGAATACTCATACTATCGTCGGCAACAACAAAAAAGCCAAAGACCCTAAGAAGTCAAAAGAAAAGAAGAATAAAAAATTGGAAGCTGAAGAAGACAATCAGCAAGACGAGGAAGAAGACGACGACGACGAAGAAGATCTTTTCACAAGTCAGGAAGAGGTAATTATATGCTTTTAACATTGATGTTAGGCATATGATGGGAAGCTTAAATATCTCTGTGATTTTGTAGGTGGCCCAGTTCAGAAAACAGAATCGGATCCGCGTTTATGGAGACGACATACCAAATCCATTTCGCAAATTTGCAGACCTTTCAACGCCATATTACAATCTTCGACCATACATTCGCCGTAATCTGAAAGTCAGTGGGTTTGAGGATCCCACCCCAATTCAAATGCAATCTATACCAATCATCATGAAGGGACGGGATCTTATGTCGTGTGCACCTACTGGTTCAGGTAAAACATTGGCATACCTTCTCCCCATTATTCATGATTTGAATGGGCCGGAAAAGGTTGGCTATCGTGCTCTGGTTGTTGCTCCCACCCGTGAATTGGCTCAACAGGTATGAAAATGAAACATTTGCGGAAAGTCATTTTTGGTGTATAATGGTATCTAACGATGTGTTCCGAACAGATTTTCCGCGAGATCAAGCGAATTAGTGCCGGCAAAAAGTTCAAAATTTGCATGTTGACAAAGGCAACGGCTGCAACACAAGCACAGGATCCAAAACTGCGACAGAAATATGGTAAGTGAGATTTAAAGATGCATGAGCTTGCTGGCAGCCGTATATTGACTTGTAATCATAGATATCCTCATTAGTACGCCACTGCGCTTAGTTCATGCTATACAGAGTGACGAGATTGAACTCAATCGGTATGTGGCAAGATATATTCGTATGATGTGTATGATATTTGCTGACTTGATTTCATGACTACTAGTGTTCAACATCTTGTCCTTGATGAGGCTGATAAATTGTTGGAGCTTGGTTTCTTAGAGCAAATGGACGAAATCTTTGCGGCTTGCACAAATGCTAACATTCAAAAGTCACTCTTCAGTGCGACTATACCATCTGGAGTCGAAACGTTAGCAAAAACTGTCATGAAAGATCCTATTCGAATTGTTATTGGCGCAAAGTAGGACATTTGTATCATTGCTTTATATAATGCTTTACATTCGACTCAACGTTCTATTCTCGTATAGGAATGCCGCAACAGAAACCATTAAACAGGAGTTACTGTTTGTTGGAAGTGAGGATGGAAAACTCGTCGCCATTCGACAGATGGTGCAAAAGGGATTGAAACCACCCGTTCTCATCTTTGTACAGTCCATCGATCGTGCTAAGGAGCTTTTCCATGAGCTGGTCTATGATGGTATCAATGTTGATGTCATTCACTCCGAGCGAACCAAATCTCAGGTAATGCTTCCATCATCTCACTATGCGATATTTCTTTCAATGTGGCTAAATTTTCGGTATCATTACAGAGAGACAATATCATTGACCAGTTCAGAGCCGGTCGCATATGGGTTCTCATTTCAACCGAGCTGATGGCACGTGGTCTTGATTTCAAGGGAGTCAATCTCGTCATCAACTACGATTTCCCTCAAACAGTGCAAAGCTATATCCACAGAATCGGACGAACGGGTCGTGCTGGTCGTACCGGTGAAGCAGTTACATACTTCACCAAGGAAGACGCACCTTACTTGAAAAGTATCGTTAACGTCATGCGAGGATCTGGCTGTGAGGTACCTGAATGGATGCTTACGATGAGAAAGCCAAGGTAAGTTACTGGAATGCACGGACTTTATAGAGTGTTTGTTCCGCAAATAGCTGACACTGCGCCTTTCCTCCTTTTCAGCCAAAACATGAGGAAGCAGCTCCGTAAGGCGCCTATAGAGCGTAAACAAATTAATACTATGTCTAGTTACGACAAGAGAAAGATCGCCCATAAGAGGTAAGTTTTATGCCATAGAATAGTATCTTTTCAGTTTAGGAATCAAAGATTCTAACAATAGGAATCTGCTTTACAGGAATATGATTGAGACGTCAAAGCGAAGGAAAACCGAGAAAGAAACTGAAAAAAAGGCATAAACATAGAGCTCAGTACCTATTATGCATAGAAAATTTTCAATTTTAATACTGTAGTTATAGCCTCCTAGCTTTTACTTTTGTACATGGTTTGGCCATCAAAATAGATACTGTTTGATTTTGGTTCAAGCCTCCCGCCACGTCGTTTGTTGTTAGAACCCAAGAAGGCAACCATGCGTTTTGTTAGATTCATCCACCGACACCCGAAGCGATAAGACCCATTGTTTTCAAAAGTTCATGGAAGACCCATCGAGCGTTTTATTTTCGAAATCAACATTCATTTCAAGTAGACGTCTTCTTGGATGTACGGATGGGTCCAACAGAGACGTGTTACAGGATGATGTGTACCTGAAAGGTGGGCCCAGTCGAAGTGGTTGGAAGTCCGAAGGGGATAATGGCAAAAATAAAAAATTAGGCTGGTCGGCTTAGGAAAGCCAGTTAGCACTGCATCCCATTCTGCAATCAAACTAATCATGGGTCATCATGGCCGGCTTTCTAGCTTGCTTGCCTTGCTTCTTCTAGTGAATGCCAGTATGGCATTCTACTTACCTGGAGTCGCTCCTCACAACTACAAGAAAGGCGATTTGGTTCCCCTCTTTGTCAATTCGCTTACACCCATTGTTAGCTCGAATTCCCAATTGAAGTCTGTCATCTCGTATGATTATTATTATGAGCCATTCCACTTCTGCCAACCTGAAGGTGGTCCTCAAAAGCAATCTGAATCACTTGGAAGCATTCTCTTTGGCGATCGTATTTTCAACTCTCCTTTCCAGGTAAGAATTGCCAAGCCATGAGGGGTTGATGTGTAAGATGGGCATGCTTTTATAACGTTGCCGGCCAGCATATTCAGCGACTGAGGTGCTATACGAGAGCTTTTGATCAGGGCACAACGTTATAAATGCTGCTAGACATGCTGGTGCCGCTTATTATGCGTTATTTACAATAGGGGCTCAGTTTCACTCGTGATTTTAACGCAAGTATCTGCTTTTTTTCATTTTAACAGATCCATATGTTGGAAGATACCGAGTGTAAATTGCTTTGCACAACCCCAGCTATTCCTAAGGAGGATGCAGAATTTATCACCGAGCGCGTTAAGGAGAATTATGCTATCAATTGGTTGATCGATGGTCTCCCGGCTGCACGAAATGCAAAGGACGAACGTGCAGAAGGCGACGAAAGAGAGTTTTACGGTATCGGTTTCCCACTTGGATATACATCTGCTGAGAAGGATTACGTGAACACCCACTACTCCATTCAGATCAAGTACCACGCTCGTGAAGACGATAACTACAGAGTCGTTGGTGTTGTTGTTCTTCCCATTAGCCGTAACACCAAGGAAGAAAATGGTCAACTCAACTGTGCGCCTAGTGGACCTTATCAGTTCCAATACAGCGACAAGGATACTATCACCTATTCATACAGTGTTCAATGGATTGTAAGTATACGTCGCATCTGCTGAACGTTGTGCTTTATCAAAGGGTATAGCTCTGCTTACATAGACTAATTCTCTGTTTGTCTCTTCAAAGGAATCAACCACTCCCTGGGCTACTCGCTGGGATAACTACCTTCATATCTTTGATCCATCCATCCATTGGTTCTCATTGGTAAACTCTATTGTCATTGTCCTGTTCTTGACCGGAATGGTTGCCATGATCTTGCTTCGCGCACTTCACAAAGATATCTCCCGTTATAATGCTGTTGATGCTCAAGAAGATGTTCAAGAAGATTATGGATGGAAGCTTGTTCACGGGGATGTCTTCCGCCCTCCCACCCGCGCTATGTTCTTGGCTGTATTGGTTGGTAATGGTGCCCAGCTTCTTGCTATGGCCGGTGTTACACTGGGTAAGTTTGACTTTGCCCACCTTGCCACCTCGCTATAGGTGCTGATGCTAATATATTTTATCCTGCAGTCTTTGCTGTTCTTGGTTTCCTTTCCCCATCTAACCGTGGTTCCTTGGCTACCGTTATGGTTATCCTTTTCATGATTTTTGGAAGCATTGCCGGCTTTGTTTCTGCTAGAGTTTACAAGATGAACGGAGGTGAAGCATGGAAGGCTAACGTTGCCTTGACCGCCGTGTTGTTCCCTGGTATCATTCTTGGTGAGCTCTTTGGCCTTAACTTCTTCTTGATTGCTTCCCACTCTTCTGGTGCTGTTCCCTTCGGTAGTATGGTTGCTGTTTTGGCTCTCTGGGCCTTGATCTCTTTGCCTCTCAGCGTTATTGGATCCTACTTTGGTTTCCGCAAGCCTAGAATCGAACATCCTGTCAGAACCAACCAGATTCCTCGCCAAATCCCTGATCAACCCTTCTACCTTCGTACCATTCCTTCCATCTTGATGGGCGGTCTTCTTCCTTTTGGTGCTATCTTTATTGAATTGTATTTCATTATGAATAGCATTTGGTTCCATCGCATCTATTATGGACTAGGTAAGTTCGAAATTTTCTTGATGGCTAGTTTGGTGAGGTTTAGTCTAATCAACCCTCTCGCCAGGTTTCCTTTTCCTTGTCTACTCTGTCTTGATTTTGACTTGCTCGGAAATCACTATCCTTATGTGCTACTTCCATTTGTGTAACGAGGATTATCATTGGTCATGGAGAGCTTTCCTCACCTCTGGTGCATCTGGATTCTACGTCTTCCTGTACTCTGCTCTGTATTATTTCACCAAGCTTGATATCGGCAGCTTCACTGGTACTGTCCTGTACTTTGGCTACTCTGCTATCATCAGTCTTCTTGTCACTGTCATGACTGGAGCTGTTGGCTATGTATCTACTCTGGTGTTCTTGCAGAGAATCTTTGCCAGTATCAAGGTCGATTAGATGGCATACATGTTCTCCTCCTCACTTCACAACTAAGAAGATTTATCCAAAAACCTCATGCCTTTTTTCTTTCCCAAATGCACATCTGAACTGCAGAAATCATACATAATTTTAGCCTTACATCAATGTTGAATAAAAAGAGCTATTTTTTTTAAAAGAACACATGGATATTTGTATAGTGACTGACAGACGTTGATACTGTTGGTAAATGCAAAAGCATGATATGGTTGGGGCAGGGAGCAAAAAGAAAGAAAAATAATGGGACGAAAAAGAGCAAGACAAATGACAGAATTTACAATGAGCCTTTAGGGCTTTTGTTTACACAGCAATACGAATGAAACCTCTCTAGTCTGCCTGTTTGCGTAGTTGAAAATTTTGGGGGGGGGGGGAATAACCACGCAGTCGCTAGTTTGTCTAAGCTTTGATGGGTCTAACGTCCTTCACGTCATTCTTGATCTCGGGTGTTTTGGTGGCGGTGCGGGGTTGCTTAGCCTTGGCCTTGTACGTCTGGCGATAAAAGTTGATGAACAAGAAAAGGTAACTGGTCAACAAAGCACATCCGAAAGCAGCGGCTCCTTCTGTTCCAGCACAATCTCCAAAACCACCAGGCAAGTATGGAGCGTAGGTGAAGGTGAAGTAACTGTATGAGCAGGCATAAATAACGACAAGATCGATCACGAATTGAATAATTTGCATTGTCTAAAGGAGTACAAAAGGCGTTGGTAAGTTTGAGAGTCCGCATTGAACCCCAACGCAGCATTCACAATTGACACTAACCGTCAAGTACTTCTTCCACCAAATTCTGAGACCACGCGATGTCTGCAAATAGTACCAGTACATAGCAACATGGACAGTCAAGTTGAGAACGATAGGAACCCAGGACTTTAAGAGATCAAATATGTTAGAGAAGAAAAAAAAGACATTGATACGCTTGATTTAGTACATACCACAGTGGTCCTACCCACTAATTGAGTGTAGCACAGGACTATGAATTGGGACAATATGGTTGGGTCAATAATGCTGCTGAAAAAAAGGAAAAAAGACCAAAAAAAAAAAGGAGCAGGAGAACGGCTGGCTGGCTCATTGCCATTCGTTCAGCGTGAAAAAAAAATCCAGGCGGGGAGTGGAAACTTACCCATCGTCATACTGTGATGGAAATAGTGAAGGAATTCTGTTTCAAATCAAAGACGATACATTAGCGATACCCTCACTCCCTTATATCCCCCATATTAAAACTTACCAAGCTTCTTCTTCTTAACCACCAAGAAGACTGTATCAGCCAATTCCCAGTATTTCACCAAATAATTCAGGTAGTACAATAGCTCCAAACGCTGAGTCCAGCCTTCAGTGGAACATACGGCATGAAGCAGACCATGTCGAACAATGATGGGCAATAGTTGCTCAATCACCAAGAGGAGGAGTGATAGTGAGACCAAAGTCAACAACAAGTTGTGAATTTGGAACAATAGCTTGAACTTGAATGCCGATGCGGATCGGAGCAAGTACTGGCCACCAAAGATGACAACCAAGTAAGTTATACAGGAGATGAGGACTGGAATACATTATGGTTAAGTAAAAAAAGTCATCAGCCAACACCATGCCAAAATGTTCAGATGTATACCTTCTCGTTGTGTTGACAGGGGAGTCACGCCCTCAATGAAGGCAAATGAATTTGCCGACTTTCCGGTGACTGCAGTGTATACCTTGTCGAAATAAGGATACAGAGCAACACCGAATGGAGTTTCGAGACTGAACTTGTCAAGTAGTTGATGAGCAGCCATTCGATAATATAAGAGGATTGGTTTATCGAAGGAATGAAAAAAAAAAAAAAAAATACACAGCAGAGAAAACGAAGAGGTGGCCCTGAAGATGGAAGGTTGGAAAAAATATACCCAAAAAAAATTATTATGAAAGAGCGGTAAAAAAAAAATCAAAGCACTCGACTCGTGCGCACTTTGGCCAGCTTGCGCTGAACAAAACGGAAATTCCCTTTTTTTCCCATTCGTTCCAAGCCCCGATTCTGTCCGCGGATAGCAACACCGACGTTCATGTATAAAGGCCATCATGGCTTAACATATCTACTATCCGCACGTCTCCTCTTTGCATTTGACAGTACATTCTTTGCAGTCGTGGTTTGCTACCTTCTGGTCGCGCAACCCAAGTTTGGAGGACGTATTCTTTCCATGTTGGGTCACAAATAAGACCTCCTTTTAATCGCGGGTGAATGAAAATAATCGACAAGAGAGAAAAGCTTTAGTTTGTCACATGAAAAATCGGCATTACGATGGTGGTGCAGCCTTTACCTTCGGACGAGAAGAGCGTGTAAACCACTTCACGTTCTTGATCATCTTCCACTTGGCTCTCACATGATTGGATTAGCCGATCGACCAGTTCTACCTGCCGGGGTAACTAATCGACCAGTTTTAACCACCAACAAAAACAAATTATGGGGGTTCTTAAATAGCAACAACGGTTTACCTTGCGCAGAAGGGAGTTCGCTCTGCATATCAATATCTCCTTTTCGCGTATGGAGGATATAATGGAATCACCTGAAACTTTGCCTTGGCGCATATCGTCCCAAGGGAATTTTGTAATGTCTTTAGCCAGTTCAGATATCTTTGCCGTTAGATGTGGCACGCGCAGGGTAACAGGATGTGAAACCAGTGTATCGTATGCAATCAAGGCAACAGTGGGTAGCAGGCTAAACCGGTGCTGGGTGAGATGCTGGTCGGTATTGGATAAAGTAATATGCGTGTACTTACAATGAAAAGACTTCGTACACAGACATGCTTTCCAAAAAGTGTAATGCCTGTCAGAACGCTTGGTTAATAAAAAGCGACATTTGAGAAAAATTCATCGCTTTAAGCGCCATAAACATTGTACCTTTTCACCTTCCATGGTGATGTTAAATAACGGTTTTTGTTTAGTAATTGGTATAGGCTTGGCTTCCTATGGACGGGCGGAAAAACCTGGTAAGTCATTCGGATTTTGAATTGAAACAAATTCAGATGTCTGTCTTTAGACTTTTTTACCTGCCAGAGTTCCAACCATAGATTACCAGCCTCTGCCATTCTGGCGCTGAGCTGGGGCTTGCCATCGTCAGTACCTTCAGTAACCCAGTCTTTGGGTGAGTGCCAACGTACAAAGTCATTGAATACTGCTGTGGGGTTGGCAGCCTTGAATGCTTGCATATCGGATAGCAGATGAGCCGACTGAAGCTGAGCTCGGATTTTAGCAGCATCGTCAGATGTGCCCAGGCTCTCAAACACTTCAGCTTGCTGCTTGACCATATCTTCTGTCATAAAACCGATATCCTATTTGAGAATGTTTGAGAAAATGGAATGGCTCATAGCATAAGCGGTCAAGGAAGAGACTTACTTGAGTTTCAGGTATCCACAGAGGTTCTTCTTCATTACAAAGCATGATATCTTTAAGAATGCTTTTTCTGCCTTGCGGGATTCGTTCACCATCCTCCGTAACTTCCGAATCGGACTTCGTGGCACCTTCAGAGCTGGAAGTCTTATCAAGCTGGACAAATGATTCATCCATGCGGCTAGACTGTCCTGCTAGCTTTGCGGTGTTGGATGGTGCGACGTCTTCGATGGAGTCAAAGTATTCATCATCTTCTTCCTCAATATCCATAGTCTCATCCCAGCTAGCATCTTCTGGAACCTACATAGTCAGGTGCACGTGGAACAAATTAAGAGATCATTGTGGTGGATAAGAGAGTATGCAGGCACAAGTCAAGGAAAGTAGGACAGTGTCTTACCAGAGTAGATGCTTGATGGTCAACTTGAGAGAACATTCCAGGCTGGTCATCCCCTTCCACAAGTCGCTCTAGAAAGCGGTTAAAACCAGACTCTCCTTTGTTTGGTTCCTCTGATGATTGTGGTCTCACTTCATCAAACAAATTGTGGTATGTTTTCTTCTTTATCAACGGGCTGGAAACTGTTGACAAAGATGGAGTATTTTGGCCTTTTTGTTTCTGAATTTGCTGCTGCCTTCGAATGCAGCAATTGATCATTGCCAGTTTTTGATGTAGCTATAGGATAGGCATAATAAGAAAAAACAAGGTCATTCGAAGCAAGAATATCACTGTACTGGAAACATTTCCACTCACCATATTAAACCGCAAATCTATAGCCATGGTCTCTTGCGCAACGTTTGGCGTGACGGTGTGAATGCTGTCACTCAAGTCCTCGGTGTCATCGGCAATCAAATTAGAGCGTACATTTACATTTGGTATTAATACATTATGCTCCCAATACCATCGGATTTGTCGCATAACTTCAGACCATAGTATTTTGAGAAAACTGATAAAAGACGTGTTTGCCGTCTTATTGCTAGAGGTAGTAGCATTTAGCGCTAGGACGAGTAAATTCCACAAAAAGGATTTGTAAGGAACCAATTGGTCGTCCTTGACATGGAATCCAAGAGAACGAACAGTTGGCAAGGAGGTATCACAGGAGGAAAGATTGTCAAATGTTTCTCCATAATAGTGTCGATTTGAGTGTTCGGCTTCGAGATTTGCTTCAAACAGAGCATGTAATACAGTCTCTACCTCATCCGATGCTACAAATGTAACATTTGCCGCTCCACCATTGTCTTTTGCTCCTCCTAGGCCACCTGGCATTGCAACATCGGCGGAAGATCGACCAGACTGTAACAGATTGCGTAAGCGTTTAGGATCTCTTGAAAGCCGGCTTCGTTGGGTACTACTGTCTTCGTTGTTTATATTACTGTCGTCATATGGCGCAAGATAGTCTTTATTGGCAGGATCTTTTATCCATGAAGCGATAGCATCGTCGATTGAAGATGATAGTACTGCACGTTGCTGTGCATCAGGAGCGAATTCAGTTGCTACTCTCCAGATTGGTGAAACGATTGCATCCATATCAGAGCTAAACTGATTTTCCAGGAATGTGTTGAGGTTTGTCATTGGAAAGATAGCTGTGAGGTTCAACGATCTAAGAGGATCATTGTATGATCCAAAATCCAGATGGGGAAGTGAAGATGCAGGCTTTGCTTTCTTCTTTGTGGAAACTTCATCGAAGTTTCGCTCCAAAAGATCATTACTATTGCTAACATTGGTGCTGTCGTCCTCAGATTCATCACCTCCATCGTTCCATGACTTCCAGTCTTCGTCAAACCAGTTTTTAAGGCTGTATGTAAAAGCTGCCGTAGCGTGAATGTCCAGATCTAATTTGAATATTAAAACAAAAGATATTATGAGTAACGAAATGTGCGGTATATTATAGTGCCTATTTCGCCCAGTAGTGTATTCCTATGAGCAAAATTCGGATGCCAATAACCTACCACCATCATATTCATCGATTTCCAGTTTTTTCCGGAGAACTCGCCGAACTATATTCAGGTCTGACCAGGTTGAGGGCAACGATGGTACAACCATGGTATTGAAATTTGACTCCGTGATATCTTGATCCTGGTCTTTTGACAGACTATATCCAATGAAAAGGCCATAACGTGCGGGTCCACAACGTATGAATATCGGTATTTTACAGGCAGTGTTATGGATTGCGATTCGACATGCCGACAATAGTAATTTGGCTTGACTGATATCCACTGTCGCTTTGCCACTTGCGAACAATCGTGATCGCAATGAGTCACTTGTGACCTCTAACACTAATAGTCGTGCTATGCCAGTCCATCGATGTAATGCGTGAAAGTTGGTTTCTTTATCTCCGTGGTCAGTTACAGCGCTCGTCAAAGCCTCCGCTACAAACGGTGCATTGATTGGATCGTGGTGCTCCTGTATAAGTTTTGGGTCACAGTGGTACATGAGGTTATAAGTGGTATCCTCTATTGACATGGATTCTTTTCGGAACGCTGTGTCTATTGAAGGCGCTGTTTCAGGGATACTGTCTGAAGTGATGCCATGGTCGGAGTACTTGAATCCCCATAGTGACAGGATCTCTTCTACAGCGTTTGCCAAGCGTTCAAAATTAGAAGCTGATGTGTAATCAACGAATTCGAATAGTTCCTCGCTGTTTGTAGAGTTTTCTCGCTTTGATTTCGTGGACGTCGCCATGAGTAAAGACCACTTGCCACGGCTTGTTCTGTTCTTCGTTGGTTTGTGCTATGGATTCACCGACGTAGCCAGGCGAACTTGTGTCATTCCTGCCAGTCACACTTTTCAGTTGTGTGCCTCTTCCCAAATCCTGTTACAGCCCGTTTGGCTGTCATGCTTCTCATTGCTCTGTTATGTTGCTGTCTACACCTTCTTTCAGTGCTCTCACTGCTTGCAAAATTTCAGCCAACTCTACGTGCCTCAGTATTGGCTTACGGAAAGCTCTCTGAAACAGCTGATCGCCCCACATCTAAGTTATCCTTGTGGATCTCTCAACAGACTGTTCCCAAGGCGTGGTTTTCACATTTTTATTGGATAGGGTTTTTGTTTGCTCTATGGTGCGACCTTGAAGTAGTATTGTTGTTGTGGGAACATAAAAAGGGCCCAATTGTCTCAATGCTTGCCCACTTCGACACCCCAGAATTGGCCAATACTCAACCAGCAATCATTTGCCTCCTCAGCTTATGTCTCATCACCCTTCACATCGGTCGACGACTGTACGAAGTCAACCTAGTTCAACGGCCGTCCAGACAAGCGAGAATGAATATTTCCCACTATTTTATCGGCATTGGATTTTACGGATCCATGGTCTTCGCTGCTTGGCTAGAAGGAGCTGCCAATTTAGGGGTTTGGGAATCGTCACCTCAACCAACCGCCCTCTTGGATACTCGCCAGCTTCTTCGTCCACATGTCATCCTCGCTATTGTCTTATTTGCCTACGCTTCATGGCATCAATACGTCTGCCATCGTATTCTGGCTAATATTCGCATGAAAGCTCGTCCTTCAACGTCTGCGGCTTCATCAAGCATATACCAAATACCACGTGGAGACTGGTTCGAAAAAGTCGTTTGTCCCCATTATTTGGCGGATATTTTAATTTATGTTTCATTGTGCATTCTCAATCGACTGCAAAATCTAACACTCATGGCTGGTCTGCTATGGACCATCATCAATTTATCTGTCACCGCAGGTGAAACCGAGCGATGGTACAAAAAATCTTTTGGCTCGAAATACGCGAATACATTCGTACGTGGCCGCTGGATCGTTCTCCCCGGTATCTACTGATTGAGTAGCATTCAATTATTATGTAACATTTATTTGGCTTTATTGTTTTCTCCACTGTAATACTATGTCTCATGCTTTTGCTGTCCCATCAATATCTGGATGTTTGCCCTTGAAGACATAGTGAAGTCTTAAGTTGACTATTGTGTTAGTACCCACAGTGACTTAAGTTTACAATATCGCCTCTAACTAAGAAGAGAAATAAGCACTTACTTTGGAGTTGCCCAAACGTACGCAACCAAGAATCGAAGAAGGTCCATTGGGGGCTGTACATGGTAAAAGATAGTGAATACAGTGGTGTCGTTAAATGTTATCAAATGTCACTGAAGTCACATTGGTACTTACGTCTACCAAAGGAGGAGTTACGTCTGTGTGCATTTCAGACAAGTATGTCTTGAAGATGTGAAGAATGATATCGCGATCGTTTGGCTGATTTTGCTCTGATTTGACTATGCTGAAGCCGGCCAGCCTCCATCCAGAAGCTAATTCTATTTTGAAAACGACGTAAATATGGTTTTCTTCTTCCTGATCCACAACCATACGACTGTAATATGGTCTTACCTTTAATGCGCTTGATAATGTAAGCCCGGTGTTCTACCTGTTCATAACCAGGTACCAAAAGGTATTTTTCGGTATCTAAGCGCTGGTTCGTAATGGGAATCTGTAGACATTAAGTTGATGTTATTAGTTTGTTGCAAGTCAGCAATACTATCAAATCCCATGTTGTTAACCTACATTAGAGTAGAATTGCGCCAACTGATATAACGAATGTGGCATTGGCACGGATGGTGACGTGGTGCTGGTAAACAGAGTGCAGTTATAGCAGTTCAAGTGGCTATAATTGTTTGCATCAAGCTCCTTATTAACTTTGTCCATAGTATCCACCAAAGGTCGCATCATTCGCACAGAAATCCAATCCCGAAGCTGATGACAGTATTCTACACATTGTACTTCATCTATTTTATCCCATTGTATCTTGATGTCTTTGTACTAAATAAAAGATGCGTACAAAAGGTTACATTGATTAGCGGCATTACGTATTGCCAATCGAGCAGCGGATATCATGAGTTACCTGTTGCTCTTTTCTGATTTCATTGATGTTCATTTTGTTTGAATTCTCGGTGTCAGTGTTGTTTTCGTCGGTGAGCTGGACATCCTGGTTTAGCATGCATGACTGGAACATCACTTTGGGGATAATAGAGGCTTTGGCACTGGCCTGTAGAGGCTGACTGGGAGTAATAGTGGGCTGAGACATAAATGATGAGAGTTGTCGCTCCCTGGGAGTACCAGATGACCCAATAGTAGACGATGGTGTTACTGGTCGTGCAGCAGCCGCATTTGTTCGCAAAGCAGAAATATCTAAGCAAGGTTCCACTTGCTTAACAGATGCCTGCGATATTCGTGGAGGTTGTTCGGGATACAGATCCGGAAACATCTTGTGCAAAGAGGGATACACATCTAGAGATCGACCGAATCAATATTAGTATTCCAATCTTCTTCATCTAAAAATCTTCGCAGATGGGAGCCTAACCTTTAGGACTTGGTTGTGTTTGATTGGTGACAGGTGGTACTGGCGATGGTGTAGGCTTTGCAGGACTATTGAATGCCCTTCGAACAGAAGAAACCAAGTTGTTAAGTGCAATCCAGGTTTCTGAGCCTATGAACAGGTTGAGTTTTAGTTCGGAATGGTTTGCACATTCTTAATTCCACATGTAATCCATACCTTCTGTTTGTGTCGCAACAAGTTCCTTTCTGTCCTGAGGCTTTTGGAAAATGGATGCTATCACGCTGATAATATTATACATAACAAGGAATTTACACGCGATACCTAATGGTAGCATAGTTATTAGTACATTGGTAGAAGGTAGGACCTCAATGTTGGCGAATCGAAAAACACGTACGCGGCAGTTTTATCAAAGGATAATTTAGCAATGCATCGATGGTAGGATACGAGGACGAAGAAATGAACCATAGTGCGATCAATGCAGCAGCATTATATCGTAGTATGGCTTCCTTTCTAGCCGTAAAGTTATCATGTGGCCACATTGTAAACGATATAGGCAGACTGCACAAGGTTCACTGCAGAACCTGAAATTTTGTGTTGGCCCAGCGTCGTGACTTGCACATTTGCACATTTTTATTTTCAAATTTTCAAGTCATTGGATTATTGGATTTACTATTGGGCAGCTTTGGCCTTTCTACGCTCTAATGCTTCCATCATATTGCGCCTTCGCTCACTAGGATCAAGCGCATTCAGTTCATCAACAGACATGTCGTCAAATGTCTCGGCTGCTAGCTGCTCCTGCTTTTCAGAAGGTGCATTGTTCGTACCATCACCACTTCCTTCTGCCACGACAGGCTGCTGTGCCTGCTGTTGGGATTCCATCATTTTTCTAAGTTGGAATTATGTAAATACCTGGTATACTGAACAAAATACTTTTATAATTTACAGTTTGCTTACCTCCTAGCTTGCAAAATCATATGCTCTTTTCTTTTCCTCAACATTTCTTGTCGCTTTTGTGCGTCAGTTTCCCAAACTTTTGGTGGTTCAGGCCCATCATCCGAGCTGAGCTTGGACTCCAAATTATAACGCTGAAGCAAATTACTTTGTGTCACTCCGGACGCTGCTGATGAAGATTGTCCTGAGATATTTCTACTGTTACCACTCGCGGTAGGTGGGGATCGCGGTGGGGTGATATTGGCCGGCTGGTGGAATTTGCATTAAGATACCGCTAGGGAAATAGAAAAGGGCTACGTATAAAATGAATATGAACTTACCATAGGAAGAGTTCCATCGCGCAGTGCATGTTCAATAGTTATCTCAACAGACCCCGTTGTTTGTAAACTATTCACAATGGCTGCCGATGGAATATTTGGAAACATAGCACGAACCGTTTCCACCTAACAATACCTTTTTGATTAGTATTCATGTCCCCTTTTTATCCGTAGGTAGCTGTATACTGTACCATTTCGGGTGTAACACGATGTCGCGGTCGATTGGCTCGTTGACTCTGCGATCCCGATGGTTGTGGAGCCCCTATAGGACAAGTGGATAAAACATAAAAAGGAAAGAATGGAGAACGCATTAGAGCACCTCCAAGATTAGATGCAGACATTCCGTATGAACATACCTAGCAGCCACCTCATAGCAATGAGGATGACAAACACGGCCACTATAATCGAGATGCCTTCGTTCATGAGTGAATAGGGTGTGGATGTGCGGTTGGCCACTTTTTGGCATATGACGTCGCATTCGGACCCAGCCAGCCCAATCTTGGGCTTCTCCGCTGGGAGGATCTTGCTTTCTACGCACTTTTTTCCTTCTGCTCACAAAACTGTCCAAATGTACGACTAAATAGGTTTTCTCTTGCATCTGTACTTCTGACATACCTCAACACTGACAAGTTCCCTTCCACTTACCTTGTACTTATAGGTCAGAACCATATGATCCCTATATTCCCAACTCACAGCGTCCCGGCGGTGCCAATGCTGCCCCGGGTACTGCTGGCAATGCCAAGACTGCTCGAGTTCAACAACAGGTAGACGAAGTTGTTAACATCATGCAAGACAACATTGACAAGGTCATGCAACGTGGTGAAAGATTAGATGATCTTCGCGGCAAGACTGGTATGTACTGAAAGGCATTCTGCCGTTATGAGAGTTTGGGGGGTTTGCTGCTGTGGCGGAGGCAAACTCTAGAACGGAATATCAGCAGAGTCATTGCTTTACCGACCATAGCCTTGTTTTTCATCTTTTTCTTGGCACAACATCAGCTATATTTCTCAAACAACATCGCTTAAAGTATTTTTCGACACGTTCGGTCAACTTCTATGCAAACCGTCCATAGGCAGCTGACATAGATGATTATCATGCAACACAATTTGAATCAAATGAGCATGGATATGGGACGCATAGCGATGAAATATTGATGCGCTGAATACTAACCAAACGTTTATTCACTCTCTAGAGGATTTGCAAGCAACGGCAGGTCACTTCCGTAGAGGTGCTAACCAAGTGCGAAAGCGCATGTAAGTGTAACGAGTGATTTTAAGCTATGGTGTGCGAAACTTTAATTGACCACTCCATAGGTGGTGGAAGGATCTGAAGTGGAAGATTATTATCGGTGTCACTATCCTAGTTATCCTTGCCATCATTATTGGATCTATTGTTGGTACTCAGGTAAAGAGCCTTGTGGTTTTACGTGGGACTGTTTCATAACATTTGTGTCTAACAACTCCTGTCTACCTCCCAAACTGCCCAATACAGAAACATTAAATAAGGCCATGGTGGAAGAGAAATTCCGATATGCTTTATGATAATTTGAATTTATGCTACTTATGAGTGGCAATTTTTTTTACCGTTCCCTCTACCTTCGTGTCTCTTTTCGCTTGTTTGCAACTTGTAAAAGACCAACTTTATTATGAAATACACTCTCTAACAATTTCCATTTCGTTTGTTTTGAGGTGCTGGGTATCCAAAGTGGTTGTGTTGCCAGCACTATTATCCATATACATGTGTTGAAGGTACCATGCAAAGCGATCACAACATCGAGTTAGAGCTTGCTCTTTTTCGACTCGACAAATGCAGGCGATGGGAGGTATCCGTGAAATATTGGACTTGATTTCGAAGCATCGTAGATGGAAGGTATGAAATGTCCTGGTGATTCTTGTGTCCATTGTCTTGGACCTGGCTGCCAGGAGGCGAACGCAGGGTGTACTCGCGCTGAATCCGGTTGAGTCGGCCGATTCACCAACCGTGGATTACTTTGTGAAAGAAAAGGGAACATGAGGTGAAAAGCACATGAAAAAACTCCTGTGAAAATTCACAGTATAAAATGGCGATTTTATTCAGTGGTGATATCATTCTGTCTTTAGTATTTTACTATCTTGAGCCAAATCGTCTACTGCTTTTCTCTTCTTTTCGATTTGATCTGCTTCTAATTCTTCCACTTCCATATTATGACTAGCATCTGCGTGGCAAGTTGCGTGATATATCTGTTGAAGTGGTAATTCGAATGAGCATTATCGCTGACAAACTTTAAAACAAGAAAAAAAAGTTCTCATACCGTTCCATTAATATTAACTGCATTTTTGTACATCCATTCTTCCTCACCGTCGTTCCATATCGTAATGAACTGCTCTCCGCAAATAGGGCAAGGTCTACCTTGGCTATCGGCAGGCACAACTACCATATGTGAATCTGCGTCTAGTTCTTCCACCTTTTTATTTTTTTGTTGTCCACTTCCTCCACCAGTGCCATTATGTGATTGTTCGTCCGCAAATATAGGTGGATGCTGGCTGGTAGACTCAATGTCGACACCATTGACCCACTCGCTTTCAGTTACAAACCAGCTTCGAGAAAGGCCGCGCTTGGCACGTTCTTTCGATCGTCGATTCTGTCGAAAATGAAAGTCAAGATGAGCATCCATCTTCTTCTTGCCCTCTTCTGTGTCTGGGTATCGGTAACCACATTGCTTGCATTTAAGTGGTAATGCAGAATATAAGAATTCAACCGCTCCTTTACGAACTCTAAGGAATCATACAGTGTCAGATGGTGCAGTTTTTGAATGAGTAGACGGCATGCTAACTTACGTTTGAATATCTTTACTCTCCAGTCGGAATGGTCCAAACATAGCGACCGTCATGTTACCAGATGCAAAATCCTTTTTCTGCTCTGAAGCAGGTTGTCCAGATGAAACGCCACCCAAAAGTCCCAACGATGTTAAATTCTTCATTAAGTCAAGAGCATTCATGTTACTAACTGACGATGATACAGAAGCGGGTGGAGGAGTTCCTATAGGAGGAGTAGATCGATCCATCGTTACCGGTGATCCAATACGTGGCTTGTCGTGTAAAGGCGGCGCAGCATTACCCATCCTAGGCGATGGGGAACCAGCTTGCGTTAATGCTGAAGGTGCAGTACCTGGTGGTAATATTTGTGCCAGATATTGCTGAATGGGGGCAGCTTGAGCTGGTGGTAACGTAGGTAATAAAGATTGTAGCTGCTTTCGATGATTAGTACGTCTATATATTGTAGTAGCCCCATATTACATAGACGTGTAATTACCTGAACCAAGATTTGCGTGGTAGGGTCACCACCACTGTTTCCATTCGCTGGTGATAATATGGACTGCAGAGTTGACATGACATCAGGCTGCGGCGCGGTTGGTAAGGTTTGCTGTTGGCTAGGACTTATTCCAGAAGAGGGGTATTGTGACTGACTGGGAGATGCTGCGTATCGCTGCCTAGGGTCTCGCTAAAAGAGAATTTGCTATTATTGATAAAAATTTTCTTATACAGTTGAAAAAGAACCATCCGTACCATTATATTTGGTCCTTGCTGCGAAGGAGGTTGATGTTGCTGTTGTGGAGATTGTTGCTGAAGATATCTTACAGACCGTTCAATGGGTTCAAGTACACTCCTGGAAAACACAGGCCGTCCGTCTGGCATCCCGTTCTTCCATGTTTGTAATAATCGCTCAAAACTTCTCCTCGTAGAAACCTCGGCTCTTGTATAAGATTCGAGGAATAGCGAAGCGATGTTACGTGCAAACAACTGGATATAGGGTTCACCGACATTCTTACATATTGAGTCAACGAGGTAGATCACCGGAAGCTTTTGATTTGAGGCATTCTGTAACAGAAAAAAAAAATCCATGAGATGACATGTTAAACACTGCTAAAAGGCTGCACCAAAATGGATCCAGAGTGTATATGATGAGATGTAAGAATTTGGAAAAAGAAATATACAATTTGCTATGAAGAAATGAAGGAGGTACACGGATGCTAGCATCCAAAGTTTAGCAAATAGCTTGCAATAAATAATCCGCTATCCTAAAGCAACTGTCACTTGCAACATCTTTTTTTTTTCTTTTCTTTTTTCTTTTTATCGTTTGTGTTCTCGTTCTCGCATTTTCTCTTTTCTTTTGATTTTGGATTCTTCTGTTGCATATAGTGTAACAAGTTGCTTGGATATGTAACATCCATTCATCAGTAATTGAAGAAAAAAAAACAAAGATAAAATGGCTGAAAGACATGCAGTTTCCTGCTCTTCAGGCAGTTTCCAATGTGCACGAATGAATAGATACAGTAATTAAATATAGAAGAAAGGGAAGGGGAATAGTGGCAAGAAACAGTGAAAGAGGTAGTTGACAGCTCAAGCGGAAAAGCAAACAGAGAAAGAAGAATATAGCATGGTCATATTTATTCGGCGGCACGTAAGAGCCTGACCGGAGTCAGGTCTAAAGACCTTGACGATGCTCTGATTTGTAAAGCATTACCGGTGTTGACGGGATTGCACTTTACCACTTCAGTCGTTTCTCGACCCTGTCTCGAATCCAGTTTGGTGTAGTAACTATATTTATGAAGTAACACTTACCGCTCTTATCTTTTGTTCAATTTCACGTACTATCAGTGTAGCACCTTGCTTATTTTCTTGCGCCAAAATGGTGAGGCTGGTGATGATGGGTTTGCAGTTGAAAGTCAAATCTTGTAGGATTCGTTTATACTCCAGTCGAAGGGCATCCAGATCGGGAATATTTTGAAGTGCTGGTGGTGATGCTTGCATTTTGGTAGTATGTTAATCACTCCTAAATACCTTTACACGGTTCCAGAAAAGTCGAGGTCTTGATTCTAGCGGATGCAAGATCGACCTGCAACAACAGAGCCAGCTGCCAAGGTCAAATGAAAAAGTGGAGCTCGTGATGACGTCGACAATTCTCACCGCAGGTCAGCTTTTTTTTGCCTCCACTTCTACATTGGCAGTCACTTTTTCTTTCCACCACTGTCAGGCAAGCTATGGAGCCGACGAAGCTGCCAGCCGAGGGACAATCGCCCAACCTTCAGCCGGCCGTACTCACTTCAACTGAATTCACAAGCAAAACGTAAATACTATATGAATGACACGAATGATATATCACGACACTAACGTAAATCACCGCTTCTCATGCAGCCTGGCGAAGAAGCGTTCTCGTTTATCACGAGAGTTGGGTTCACTAAGAGAGGACAACGCTAAAAAAGGTTTTTAATCATCTATTACTGAGATGAATGACTACTTCACATCTAAGATATTTGTCTACTCTGACAGCAAGGCGAGACTGGCCAAAATGTCCGATTTGTGGAGTTCCTGTAGACCCTGCACAGTACGAAAACCATTATCAAATAGAGCTATACGAGCTTCAACAACTTAATTTCGGCGATTACGAACTATCAAAAGCGTATGTTTAAATTCTGAAATGCATTATGAAAACTGGTTGTTTTGACAAACAAACGATATGACAGGAGAGGCAAACGAGGTGCAGCAGTAGTGGCCAAAAAGCAGCTGGAAAAGACAACCGGCAAAAGAAAGGTTTCTTCAAGATACGAGGAGTGTTTATCAAAAGTGCGGAAAAACAGAGAAGCTCGTAGCTCAGCAATAAGGACTACTACAAACGCTTCTACTTCAACAGGTATGTAATGTGGCTTGAAGTTTGGAATATCGGCTAGAATACTGAAGTATGAGCACTAAATAGATGCTGTATGGAATCCGCCTGCGGAAAATCAGGAGTCTTATACTTGTAAGTTGAAAACCAGAATCTCGTGAAGAACTTGTTATATGACACTGACTTGTCGTAAAAAGCGTTCGATACCGGCTTGCAGCAGACGTGCTTTATATGCAATCAAGTATTGAGCGGTGATACAGAAAGTATCAATTTGCACATTGATGGTTGTCTCGCTCGCGTTAATTCTGAAGACAACGACAACTCATCAATGGATCATGAAACAGCTCCCAAAACATCCGCATCACCCCCCATATATGACGGCGAAGGAGATGGGACGCCAGAAGCTGCATGGGAGGAGTACGAGTGGGCTGGGCAACGGCGCGTTAGAGCAACCGCCATGTTTGAGGGTGGCTATGGAGGTAGGCTTTATTGTTCAGTCATTTTCTGGTGAGTTATGGTTGGTCTCTAACAAGCTAAAACAGGTGCGGGTATGTCGACGACGGTCAAAGGAGAGGATGTGGACGATGACCTAGATGTGGAAGATGACGACGTTAATCAATATGGAGAAGCCCAGTATTCTGAACGCGACATCGTCGTAAACCCCGATGATGAGAACGAGGACAGTGCTGCTTTACGCGAAATGGTGTCTGGAACACCTATTTCAAGGTCAAGTTCATCCGGACCCAGTGGACAAGCTCAATCAGCTCAGCGACCAGGCTACGAAGCAACAGTATCTGATGATGGATGGAAGCAACATTTGACGAAAGATGCCGTTATTCCAACAAATGCAGCCGGGCACACTAAGCTTGTGATTGAGTCTCTTCGGTCACAAATAAATCAGTTGGTAAGCGAGCGTGATCATATCAAACTGTGATGGCTCTTCCACGATAATGAATGACATCCACTGACAATCTCTTACCCCTTAGGAATCAGCAAGTAGATCTGTGCCCAAATGTTTGATTTGCCTCGAACCATACAAAACTCCACTCACTTCGGTCGTCTGCTGGCATGTCCATTGCGAGGAGTGTTGGCTGCATAGTATGGGAACTAAGAAGCTTTGCCCTCAATGCCAAAAGATTGTAACCCCAGCTGACTTGAGGCGTATATATTTGTAAATGAAAAACTTCATGGTTGAAGCAACTGTAATATAAATTTTTTCTTATAACCCACATTTGTTCCTGAGTTTCTTTTTCTGCTTGTTTGAGCATCGAAAATTTAAGTCTCCACATTTTTTCTTCACTGTTTGTAACAAGCTCTTTTCAACACAATCGACTTGTGACATGGGTAAGAAAGGATATATGCATTACACTGAAATACTTGCAAATGTATGCGATCCAAATGCACTCATACTTAATTCTCCTCTCGTTTTAGCTGAAAGTATCAGCGACTTTGTTGCTGGTAGGCATTTTGAAATTACTTCACTCATTGTCAATATTGCTTATTTATATGTGACCTGTGGTAGGTTGGGTTGGAGGAGCGGCTGGTATACTGGTCGGTAGTCCATTGGATGTTCTCAAGGTAAGGCGAAGACAACCAGTCCATGGCTTACATTAGCACGTGCTTATAGTGTGTCAAAATCCATCACAGGCTCGCTTGCAAGCCCCTCGACTGAACGTACCTGGAAACACAAATACGCCTTCACAGTCACTGACGGCAACACAAACGTTTAGAAATTTAGTTCAAATGGAAGGGGTTAGTTATCTTTCATTGAAGTCTTTGTGTAGACGTCATTCTAAGTCATTTGTTCTACCCAGATCAGTTCACTCTTCAAAGGTGTACTATCTCCTATAGTTGGCTTGGCTGGTCTAAATGCCATTCTATTTGTGTCGTATGGAAATATCCTTCGGTATCTTGAAAGAGGCAACCGGTATAGCGCAGACCCTAATAACTTTGGAGCACCTGTTCCGACCTTGTCCCAAGTTTTCCTCGCCGGTTGTGGAGCGGGCTTTGCATGCTTTTTATTGTCTGCTCCGACAGATCTAGTAAAAATACAAGCTCAAATGCACAGAGGAAGTAGGTCAACTATGCAGGTGGCGAGGGACATTTTTCGTCGAGGTGGTATTTCTGGTTTCTTCCAGGGTGGGATGATTACCATCATCCGTGATGCACCGTCGTATGGTGTTTACTTTGCAGTTTACGAAGGTCTCAAGCGATCTTTAAAGGTCGAAAGTGGGGACGTTTCTGGAGACAATGCTTGGAAACTCTTACTTGCAGGAGGATTTGCTGGTACCATATCCTGGGGCTGCATCTACCCACTAGATGTTATAAAGTCAAGAATGCAGATGCAAGTCATACAACCGAGCACTCGTATTCCATCAGGATCATTAGAAGGCGGAACTCAATCCATTCGATCCTATAGCAGCACAACATCGTCCGCACCCCTATCCGCATCCTCATATCATACAATCAATACGCCCCACTATCGATCAACATGGGACTGTATAGTGCGATCCTGGAGAGCCGAAGGCGCTGGAGTGTTCGTTCGTGGCATGGGACCTACTGTTTTACGAGCCTTTCCAGTCAACGCCGTGACCTTTTGGATTTATGAAGTTGTAGCTGCAGCTATGAACAAAGTACAATCATAGATTTTTCTCAATTAGATGGGTATATATTACATGTATTTGTAGAAATTAACCTCGTTGTATAATACAAAATGCAATTAAGCTGTATCTAAGAGTAATTAACATTGCCACTTCAATGTACATTTGTAAATGTCGTATACTTCGCGGTCTAGCTGTTTCCTCAACTTTTCGACGTAGAGTTTCCATACACTTCCTACTACGATGGGCTCAGATGATTCTTGCGATTGACAAAATTCCTGATTTACGAGCATGGCAAGGTATTGAACCACCAGTTGTGCTTGGTGAAAGTTTCGCGCCCGCGCGAGCTTCAAAACGTATTTGGAAACGGTTTCTACGTCTTCTTCTTCTGGTTCATTGCTGAATGCCAAAAGCCAAGCTTTTAGCATATCTCGAATGGACGATATATCAGTTTTACCCATTAACGCAGGTTCTGATTTGGACACTACAGTGAATGGGTTTGACTTTAGAGTAGTAGCTAGTGTCTATGAATGGTATATTAGATATGTTGTTGTCATTTCGATATAGTTACATTTTTGTTTACCTTTGCAGAATCCAACTGATTTTGTAGATCTCTGTGTTTCTGCTCTCTCTGGCGCCGATGCTCGTCAAGCAGCTCAGCACGTATTTCTATAATAACAAACGTGAACATTGTTACGCCTTCTTCTACCGTGCTGAAGTATCAACCTTACCAGCGGGCAATTCATTGAGCACGTTGGGGTCCCATTCCGACAAATCATCCACAGTATTCACCGCTGATCTATGTTTACTTGGACTTTGAGGAGGGAACATTTGCGTAAGGGTAAAGCTTCGTTTCGCTCCAATAGAGTCATTTTGATGTGTAGGAGTCTTTGGTCCAGGAGTTCTCTTCGTTCTTGGTCGTTTGGGAGATTGATGAGATTGAGAGGGTGAAATAGGTCGCTTTTTAGTCGCGGCAACCTGTTCCCGTTCACTGTATTGCTTCAGTACTTTTGCTCTCATATTATCCGGCATGGCAAGGAGATCCGTAGGATTTAACTGCGACCAAGGCGGAAGTTCATGTTGAGTCGTTCCGTATGGTACGCTAACACTTTTGTTGTTTTCATGGGTAGGCAAAGATTCTGATTTCGTAGATAGTTTCGTAGGCTTATCACCGACTTGATGAATGATTTCTGTTCCATTGACATTACCTTTCTCATGTTGAATATGCAAATCGTCCTCCAAGCTTGCTGGAATGACATTTTCAGAACTGCTATTATGCTCATTTGTCTCCGCGAGAAAAATAAGCTCATATACTCTCTCAAGCTCCTTACGAATATCCATTGGAAGTTCGTGAAAGGCTTGTCTCTCTACCTCCTGCAACAAGGTTAGTTCATATGGTACGAGTAGATTCATGAACTAACAAACTTACCATAGGCAATCTTTTCGAGGTAGAAGTAGAAGAACTTGCTTTGAAGATAGTGTCGTCCACTTTGGTAATAATATCAGGTTCTTCCTCGGGAGCATGATCTGTTGATGTAACTTCGTTTTCTACCTTCTGCTTTTTCTTATATGGAAGTAGGGATTGCCCTTCTGTAAACGACATGTTAGCTATGGCCGCCAGGAAGAGATATGACCTTAAATGTACCTTCAACCGGATTTTTGCCGACATCATTGTCCAATTTCTGAATTTGTACGCCTAATCCTGTGATGAACAACCGAAAATTTAGTATCTGTATATCTCATACATGAGGCGTCCAAATCATACCTCTAATATCAACGGATTCAAAATGATACGATTGAAGCAATTTCATAGCTTCGTCAAATATGAAGAGCGCATCATCCGTATACTGTTCCAATGAGACTGATTTGGAAAAATTATCGCATATCCCATGGCCAAGATGTTTTGCTGCTTCTAGCGCATCTAGCTTTCGCCTTTTAATCTGAGTGGACTTGGGTTAGCAAGCAAACTATCTTGTAATTCAAAAATACTGCGATGAGATACCTTCATTGTGATAGATTTTCCTTTGCACCCCACATTCCTCAATCTCTTTTCTACTTCTTTGCATAATCCTAGCACAAACTCTCGTACTTGATCATCGTTTTCAAAGCGAACCCCCCACTGGTACTTCTTATAAGTAAATGATAAATAATCAGTATTATCCACAGGTTACACTGCCTTACCGATACTTCAGCACTGACAGACTGTCGAGGCTGTCCAGATGACAAAGGACGATCATCAATCCCTCGTGCAAATTTGTAGAGAGATTCGCCAGTCTTTTTTCCAAATATATCTTGCAGTGCCTTCATTGTATATGCCCTGAGATCTTCTAAGGTCTTCAAGTTCTATACGCAGGTTACATTAGATGAAGTCTATATACGAGTTGGTAGTGATCAAATGACTACATACCATTCTGTTCAATTTTTCACCCATGGCATAGCCAATCTTTTCCATAATAAATGTTAGCAATAGGTCATAAATAATTTAGTCATACCTAACATATCATACCCCAGGAAGGTCATACACCGATATTGGATTGAGGAATTCCAAAATGCTGTTATGATCCACAAAATATTGGCCACACGGCTTGGCAACTTTGGTGGCAAGTCTGAAGTAGACAATTTAGTTTCATTTGTCATATACGCTTCCATTGATCTGATAAGTTATTACCTTGCTAAAAGTATATTTGAGCCGCATCCTATGCTAGCTTCGCAGCCTGTAGATTCCCGAATTTCCGACCGTATTTTTGTTGCGAATTCATCAATCGTCATAGAGTCTGTGATAGAGCTGGTGACATCTATGATTGCTTCATCCACACTGACTGGTTCAAGGTCATCAGCATGTTCAAATAGTATCTATGGCATTAAATGATAAGTCTGAATTTGTTCATCAACAGCGCCATAAGGTAGATACTCACTTCATAAAATTTCTCAGATACTTCTTTGTATTTATCAAACTCGTATCTGATATTCACAATGATTAGTAGTGAGAAGATTGAGACTGAAGTCGATTTCTTTCTTACGGTATGACTTCCAGTTCTGGGCAAAGTTTTCGAGCATGCCCCACACTGTCAACGTAATTAGATAGGGTCAAGTGCTGTCATAAGACACGTATCAAATTCCTTACGTCGTTCCATTTTGTATTTTATACTTTCGAGCTACATAATTACATGATGCTGTAAAATCAAGATCAGAATACTAATTTCTGATGAGTTCGCAGGTTGAAGCTACTAACCGACTGCCCCAGATGAGGATTCCATAACGCCTTTGGAATGACATACTGCAACCTTTACAAATAATTAACATTAGATAGTCACTTCGCACTCCCAAACGACGAATTAAGCTAACCGGTTTTTCTTGAAGGTGTGGCCTATCCCGTATGCCCACTGATGCAAAAAAGCAATCAAAATCAATATGCCTAATTAATACAGGCCAGAGTTAGAAATGTCATTTTTCATCACTAGCATGAGGGCATCGTCAACGTACATGATCTTCGAATTCTCAGTTCTGGGCATTTTCCTCCTTTGACTTTGACTACTATGTCGAATGCGTAACTTGGTTACAATACTTTTCAGTTCTGCTTTCCACATTGAAAGATAGTGCAGCCTAGATGTAGTGTAGTATTTATCCAGAAACTCTGGATTTATAGAGCTGTTCTTGCGTGCCCAGTCATTGGATAATAGAGAGAGGTTGAGTTCGGAACCTGTTATTTGAGCAACCTCTTTACCTTTTGGTGATCTTGCTAAATATTGAGGTGGTAATTCATTAGCTTTTTTGGATTCTTCCTTTGGTATTGAGCTAGCCGGCGGAAGATGGCTGGATTTGTTGTGACTATCGACAGTCGGATTAGAGCTACTTGACAGTGTCTGCGTCTGAAAGCTGAGCTCCTTCTGATGCACTTCTACAGGAGAATTAAGCCGGTAATTTTGCCACGGAAGAAGCACTTTAGCCTCTACAGAGTCCATTATCCATTCTGGGAGTACAACCTTGTAGGCGCTTTGATATTTCAATTTGATCAATTCCCAGTCTTGTTATACATGAGGGAACAATAAAAAGTACCTGAACTCTTTGATCTTGGCATTCGTCAAGTTGCTGGCGACAATGTGGGTAATTTTTGACTTTGATACTTTCGTCAAATGAAAAAAGGCGTTAGGGACTACGCAGCTGTAAATTGCGATGGTGTTCATATCCACTTACAGTAGTGCTGAAAATCTCCACCATGAGTTGTAATAATCTTTTTAAGAGTCGAATGTGATGGGTTTGTATACCCGTTGACATAAATGATGAGTCCTTTGAAGATTTCGGATTTCTCATCGCTAGCAGCCAGGCTTTAACTATAGCATTAGCGAATGTGCCAAGTTACAAGTCAATTTTAAATGCTCACATTAGCTGCTCCTGATCCTTCAACTTCCTTTTCTTTCTCTCCATGTAAGACTTAAAGTCACCAAATCGTATGCTGTCGTATGTTTTGTCATCTGGTGATTGTTGCTGTTCGTTATGCATGGCTCGCACAGCTAGTGCTACAAGTAAGGGCGTCAGGTGAAACGACGCTAACTAGAGCGTCGTTTAATAGACGCAAAAGGGCTATCTCACGTGACGAGAAGTATCGCACATATGGCGACTCGCCTTGTCTATGAAGAGTATTTTGCTTATGCTTTGCCTTTGCCAGAAATTTGGATGCGCTTATTTCTTTCTGTTAACGTTATGTAATAAAGATAACCAAGTATGATCTATTCGTGATGAAAAAAAAATGATAGCATGGTGCGCATTCGATCTATTATATGCTTTATCAAACCATCACACTAATCGGGAGCTCCTTCTCTTCGCTCCATATACCATCCTCTGTCTAATAGCAAAACTCTGTATGCAAAACACAATTTATTCAGGATTTCGACACAAATATACACTGCATCATTCCCAACAAATGGAAATATAGTATGGATGCCTACTTGAATTCTTCAATTCTTTCGCCTATGTTCAATCAAACTGTCGTCGTCCCAGCTAAGAAACTTTCCGGAAAGGTCTTTACTACCGCTGATACTCAATGAAGCAATGACATGACCACAGTCTTGGGGGTCGACTAGCTTTCCTTGTTCGTGAAGATCAACGAACTTGCTGTGAAAATCACCCATGGAAGCTTTACCTAATATAACGTTAATTGCCGGCTTAACATATAGTATGGTGAAGGTTTGAAAACTTACCTTCTTGGCGAATCAGACCTTGCATATCTGTATCGACAACTCCTGGTCGAATAGCAATAGTCGTGATATTGGGTTCTTCAACTGCTAGAGTTTCGGTAAGGTGATTCAAGGCAGCCTTGGAACTATACTTCAGTCAGATTAACGAGATCGAATGGCAGCACAGAACTGAACTGACTACTCACGCTCCGTATGCTCCCCATCCTCTATAAGCCTTCGTAGCCGCACCTGAAGAAACATTGATGATTCTTCCGTTGGTCTTTTTGAGATGCGAAAGCGCCTCTTGTACCAATGTGATGATAGAAAAGAGATTGATATCGAAGAGCCTGGTGTAGATCTGTTAGCTTCACTTCCATTGATGAAAATTTCTATTTTGAAAATTATAAGGCGTACTTCTTCCATCCTTGAACCGGGGCATCTTCCACTAGAGCCATTGGCTCTAGAACTCTGGACCAGTTTGGTTAACGTCATGAATGCATCAAAGCGACGCCACAAAATGTCCATCCACTCACCCTGCGTTTGCGACAACGCCATCAATGCGCCCCCATCTATCTATAGCACGATCAATCGCTCTAGTCACGACCCTCTCGTCGGTCAGGTCACCGACTACAATTTCGAGACAATGACCTTTTCCACATTTATCAACATCTTGCTTCAAGACTTCAAGAAGATCTTTCGAGCGAGCAACGGCTAATACGTTAGCGTTGAGCGACTTGATAGCAGAAAGAGCTACAGCTTTTCCTATTCCTCGTGATGCTCCAGTGACGATTAATACAGGTTGCGACATGACTTGCATGCATATCCATAACAGCGCACCTCAAGCCATGGGCTACCGGAGATTGAAATGCTATGTCGTAGCCTCCGTTGCATCAAGACATTTTACAGCTACCTTTTTTTTTAAGCAGCATGCTCTCAACAGATGAAAGCAAATACAGCATAAGAAAAAATAAGTAGAGTATACCGAAATATATAATTTGAATGTAACTGTTGCTCTTCATATTGCACCTTGATAATCTAAAACACCGTTTGATAAAACTCATTCCACATTGGTTTCACGTATTTTTGTCCTATCGTTCTGAGACATCAGGTTAAAAGGAACTAGATTCTTAGGCTGGTAAAAATTCTCCCTTGGTGTGTGGATCGAACATGGTAACTATTAAGAGTTTCGACATCACCAAAACATTGAGATCCACCTCGTTACTCCAGTAACACATGAGACTTTTTGTATTAAAAGTTAAACAGCTCTTTCAACATTTTCACGTATAAATCGCTTTGATCAGTGTACAGCATCTTCCAGTTCTCTTTCCATGAGGATCGTTAATATCCGATGCTCTTGTAAATAAGTAAAATTTTGTAAAATTAAAAAGTAGCCAGGGTTTCACGCATGAAACCTGCAGGACCTTTAAAACTTTAAACACGGCCAATGGAGATAATTGTGCGCCGAAATCTTGGTACAATTTGACTTCTTTGCGGTCCTTTGTGTATCGGTTATAAAAAGGCACCACCTGTAACTGTTAGATACGAATCGAATTTTACTTTTTTAATATGGTCACTTTCAACCTCTCATCACTCATAGCGCTTTGCCTCGCTGGTGCAACACTACAAGGTGCAGGAGCCGCCAGTCTTCAGGCAAATGCCAAGCGGGATGATGCTGCCTCAGGTGTATCTGGAAACTCCACTCTTGTAACGCCTGCACTTGCCAAATCTCCACCTTCTGGTTCAACGTCATGTAAAAGCTTCACCCAAAATTTCGTTACTAATCCTGATATGAGTCAGTATTGGGTCGACCAGTCCGATGCTGAGGGTACCTGGGATGTAACTTCTGGCGGGCTGGAAATGAAGGTCCTGAAACCTACCTCTGGAAAGGCTGGTCCAGGTGCTACTTTCAGTACCAAGTTCTTGATGCAGTATGGAACTGTTGAAGCTACGCTCAAGAGTGCCCCGGTTGACGGTATCGTTACCGCATTCATCTTCATGTCTCCTGGTGGTGACGAAATTGATTATGAATGGGTCAGTAACGAGGCCCAGACTTCATATTTTTACCATGGCGTTCTGGATTACTCCACAGAAGGAAAATACATTGTTGCTGACGATAGCTCAGCCTTCCACAACTACAAAATCTCCTGGACTGAAGAATCCATCCAGTGGTTTGTTGACGGAAAGAACATCCGCACCGTGACAAAAGAAAGCACCCTCCATAAAGGTGTATACAACTACCCCACCGAAGCATCTGCGGTCCAAATTGGTATTTGGGACGCTTCTAAGGTTGCTTCAACAGCAGAGTGGGCTCATGGTCCTGTTAACTGGTCCCAGGAACCCTCAACAATCAGTGCTGTAGTACAATCTATCACTGTAACTTGTCCGTAAGCAATCTTAGTTTCTTATCTTTATTGCTCGTAAATTCTTATTATCATGATTTTCACCGAGTGTCTTTTGTCGATGATCCAAACCAAAACTTTTTATATTAAAAAAAACCCATAAATCTTAGCCGTAAAAATTAATGGCCTAGCGTCCAAATTGGGAATCCAAATTCAAAGATTTGTGAGCTGGGTTTTACTTGTCTCATGATTTCACCGACTGTTTGCACTCTGCCTTCTCAATACGTGCTTGATCCGTGAAAGATCAGCGTCATAGTAATGTCAATAGAATCACTCATAGCAAGAGCTCCAGGAGATGAAGTGAATCAATCTGGTTGTAAACTATTGGATTCCTTTGCCATCGTGATCCAAGTTTGCTTAGCTACCATAGCTTTTTCAACTCTAATCATCAAACGTCAGCGAGAGAATCCACAGCGACCAGTTCGGATATGGCAAGTTTCTACAAAATTTGTTCTATCTGCTTAACTCTAACTAATGAAGATTAATTATCATCGATTAAAGGGGGTTTGATGTTAGCAAACAGCTTGTGGGAGGAATCGTTATCCATACGCTCAACCTATTGGTATCATATATCTCTGGAAAGAATGAAGCGGATCCTAGCAATCCCTGTGTTTGGTAAGTAAGGGTTTCGAATCTCCATCAGAATGTAGCAGAGTTGTATGGATTGACTTTTTCCTAGGTATTTCTTAAATATTTTTGTGGACACAACCGTTGGTGTTGGTATTTTATGGGGCATCCTGTTAGGATTTAGGAGGTTGGCTGCCTATTTCCGACTGCAAGGCGTCCAAAGTGGTGTCTACGGTGATCCTCCATTGATCAATCAGTTCATACAATGGGGGAAGCAGCTACTGATATACATCACCGCCTTGGTGCTCATGAAATTGGTGGTTGTCCTCATTTTCGCCATTTGCCCCTTCTTATTCGACTTTGGCCAATGGGTGCTAGAATGGACAATGAGTAATTATAAATTACAAGTTGTGTTCGTTATGTTGATGTAAGTACACCTTTGAAGTCGCTGACTTGACCGTATATTCGAAACACATTAGTGCTACTGTGACATTGAGCTCTAACTCCCAGTTTCCATCTGTGTCCAGCTTCCCTCTGGTCATGAACATAATTCAGTTCTGGGTCATCGATACGATTGTTAAACACAACGAGAAACAAGAAATCAGTCTGGGAGATCATGTCGAGGAAGACGAATTCGCAAACCTTTTGGACAGCGTTGATGAAACAGAATTGGCTGAGCACGTTGGTGATCTGCGAGCAGATGCAAGATCGCCATCACCAGGCGCTTTAGAACTGAATGCCAATCCGAAATTCAAACCAAGTTTTGCCATCGATGACGATGAGGCAGACTTTGACAACGATGGATGGGATGAGGATAATTCGTTTCAAGCTAGACATTCTGAAGACAACGCTGGTAACCCCCACCAAGATTTGTACGAACTTGACAACGGTCTGCCAAAGCGATCATAGTAAATTACCCATAACAACATTTATACCGTTCGATTCCTTGCCGTCATTAAGGATCAAGCTTTCTTCTCTGAAGAGCAATCATTGTATAATATCACAATTTGTCAACCAGATTAAATAGCCCCAAATCAACCTCCAACATTTCTTTCACATTTCTTAGAACGGTTTTGATAGTCAATTTATTGTTACATTTTCGCTCTCATATCAACATGATAAAACGTTTGAAGCATCCATGCTAAACTCTCGCATAACGCGGTGGTAACCTGATCTCTACCAGATGCTGAAAAGCGTAGAGGTTTTGGTAATTCAATTTGGATAGCATCAAAGTCGCCACTGTCTCTACTGCCGTATGCTTGTGTGCAATAACCCCCAGAAAAATACTTTTTAATCTGAGATGGATTTGGTTCTTGTTTGGAAGGCGTGGTTCGCAGATGATGAGTAGAAGCTAGGCGTGTTCCTAATGAACTGTTACCACGTAAAAATGATGAAAACATTATATCGGGGTATCGTTTCGATAAATTTTGAATAGATGCTTCAGATTTGGCTTTGCTATGGTCTAGTTCTTCGTCTGAAAGCTGTAAAGTTTGATTATCAAGTAGGTAACCTAATTCGATCCAATTTTCAGGATGTCCATGGCCTATACATCATATCATTAATATTTTGACATGACGCAGCTTTCAAACTCTAAATGAAACATACCATGAATGTCAATGAAAAGGCCAGCATTATGATTTTGGTTCACCTTCTCAAGTGCATATTGGATGGTATTATGATATTCCTAAATTGAGTGACTATATGGTCAACTTGGCGATGACTGACAGGTTTCATAAATCTACCCCACAAACTCACCTGCCAAACCATTTGACCGGCGTCTGAATCGCTTGCTTCTGATTTTTCTCTATTGACGTCTACCTTGGTGCGTGCAAGTTGTAGCAGGACAACATGAGGGCTTTCTCCAGTTCTCTCTCGAATTTTTTTGGCTATAGCTAGTACCACGTCTTTCGTATAGGCATCTGTCACTGTTACAGTGCCGTTACCAGCTGTACGATCCGGAATGGAGGTCGGAAATAAGCGTCCACCGTGAGGAGCTGCAAGAATTAGAGGCAGAGTCCCTTCGTAATATGTAACATACTTTGAATTACTATCTAGTAAAGGGACTTGCGTTGGTAAGCATTGCCATTGATTCGTAACTGGCAAAACCATAGCAAGCGTGAGGAGAAAGTGAACCAGCATTCGGGTGTGTGCAAAAACAGTCCCAGTCACGAGAGCTTTGTGCTGAACTACTAATAATTTTGACTGCCAAGCTGCGACCTCCTGTTCCCTTTTTTCCCATCCCTTTTTCCCATAACAGTATGGTTCATCCTGCAATTATTGCCGCTATCGTAGGCGGCGTAGTAGTTGCTGGAGTGGTTACTTATTACTTCATCGATGAACATTACAACCGCGAATATGACTTTGTTGGTGCAACACGGCGCCCACGATACCACACTGTCTCAGACTCCGACTCTTCCGACGAGGAAGAAGGGTTCAATCCACGATCGATACTGAAGAAAGCTGGCTTTAGGCGGCGCCGTCCGTATCAAACGCATGATTCTCAAAACGAAACGATTGGCATGGTAAGTGAAGGAATACCGTCATATTCATGATGACGTCGGCGGCCAGCCACTCTTGTGGAGTATATTTCGTTAATCCCCAGCCTTAAAATCGATTTATTGTTTAGGTGGAACGAGATGTAAAACACCCAGCTACTTCAAAAGATTTTGAATTGAAACCACAGAAACCGGACTCGCAAGATGAGCATCACTCTTTTGAGGATGAACACCAACTAGAGCAAGAAAGGTTGAGAAGAAGAGGAAATTCTGTCCTTGGCATAATGCCTTTAGAAACCAAAGGACGGACCTTTGAAGCGGAACAAGGCAGACATGTGGATAACCCATTTAGTGATAGTCACGAGGTTTCTAAGCCTGCTCCACCAAGGAATGACCAAAGCAGCGAAGGCAATACAACGAACTTAAACCCTTCAATGCCTGATTCTGCGGCGTCATCAAACTATGTTTCAGTCGAAGAAAGCAAAGAGTTTACACCATATGGTTCAATCCATAGCACACCGCCTGACCAAATCTCACAAAGCCCATTAATGCAACCCGTTTCTCCCAGACATACAGCAGAATCAGAGCCTTGGCGATTTGAAGATAGTTCTTTCATTCAACCAGACGAAGATGATGAAGCCTTTGAATACCAAAGTGTAAATAATTCTTTGCAACTTCCACGTGCACGTGGCCACAGTAATACAACTGTTTCAAGTTCTAGCAGTTGGTCAGATATTGAAGCTTCAGCTCATCAAGCACGAAGTGATATATCCGATAGCGACATTAGCATCATCGGCAAAGACAAAGCTAGCCATAGCGACCACAGCACCTCCGAAGATGAAGATGGATTCGTGGACGTTGCATCACATGGATCGAGGAGTGCATGAACGTTTCTTGTTCCAGCGACGCTCGCTGTATGCGAATGATCCCACGGATAATCAATCCGTCCTAGGTCATTATTGATTTCTTATACTACTTTCATGTATTTTCATACCTTTCCCTGTAAACCAATATCCCCTTACTTCATGCCCACAACATTTGGCTATGTGTAATTGGTGTATTTTGAATGATCATGTTGAAAATGTATTCGTACAGTGGTGGATGTCTATGAGATTTTTTTTTTTTGTGACAAGTATCTATTTTTTGTATCGTCCCAAGAATTCTTCCTTGAAGGGGCTGGTTTTGCTCAAAATGATAAAGCTTGCAACACCGTTTATGATTGTGTATTTGTCCAAGCTGAGGATCTTTCCCAATTGTAACTTTTTGCCAATCTTCACTAATGTTGGTCGAAGTCCGGTGGTATTTTCAAAGTAAATCTCAATATTATCCATCGTATACTCCTGTTTTGCGTCCCAAGGGGCTGGCTGTTCGAACATCACTTCGAGGTGATCTTGAAAGGTATTCGTTTCATTGAAAGCTTGGATATAATCGCTTTCCTTGTGTTCTGGATACAAGAAGAATACGGGCCATGATAGCGTGTTCGTTTCTTCGTCGAGCTGTATCTGCGCTGTCTTTGCAACAGTCTCATCTGTTACTTCAAACTTGATTTTTCTCTCCTATGGACACAAGATTGGATAAATACGTGAAATGGATAACGCACACTTCAACTGTAAGTCCAACATACCTTGACCATCTTATCAATCTTTTCCTTCTTTTCCTTCTCTTTTCTCTTCTTTTCCTCCTCCTTCCTCTTCTTTTCCGCAATCAGATCAATTCTTTTCTGGCAGCGCTCTCTCTCCTGTATAACAGCTCTGTTCTCTGGATCCACTGCTAATGCATGATCACAACAGTCGAGAGCTTCGTCCAATCTGTCCAAGGCAAACAATGCTTTTGCGGATCTATAAAGTGCCTTGACGTTTTTGTCATTAAGACCGAGACATTTAGCGCAATCTCTCAATACCTTGCCATAATTTTCTAAATGCGAGAAAAGAGTCAGCCAAATTTTAGTTCATATTCATTGCTCGTGTCTGAATTTGTCCAACTTACGAAGCTCTAAGTTCACAGCTGCTCGGTTAGCGTAACAAGCCTCATTAAGTTTCTGATCCTGGCACTCTACGTCGAGAGCTTGTGTATAGAACTTGATGGCATCTGCGAAGCCAGCTCTTCCTCTACCGTAAGCTTCATTGCCTTGGTTTTTGAAATTTTCGGCAATTTCTGTTCAAGTATATTGGGTCAGCAACTCTTTCTTTCCAATGTCGTTTTCCTGTTCACTCACAGGCAGATTAGAACCAACCTTCTGGTGTGCCGTCGTATACTAACGATTGAAGCGCCGCTAATGTATCGTTCTCTTCTGTAGGTAATTCCTTCATAAAAAGTGGAACTTCAGACATGGCGGCATCAAGATTCTCTGCATCTAATGCCCAGGAGGGGCGTGCATTTGGGGTGGGTCCAGCAGGTGTGGACATTGCTTATGTAACAACCGTTGATCTATCAGCGCAAAAAAATTTGAGTCAAAAAATACTCAATTGAACAGAATGGGTAAGTCACGTGATTCAATCTTGCCAGAGAAGTCCTCGACAAAGTCAAGAAGTTCACGAAGCCAACCTAGTTGCTTGTGTTTCCAAATGACAATGGACTGTGATGCGACCCATTCAGGTAGCTTTTTTTTGGAAAGTTTTCACTTCCTTCCAAGAGTCACAAAATCATTCAACAATATTCACTGTATCAGTATACAAGACGATCTCATATCGTAAAATTATTCCTGTGCTTGCTGTATTGCACACGAAACAATGTCGTTAATGTTGTACTCCAGACAACTGTTCAACAGCTACAAAGTTTACTAAACTCTTGCTTTTTTTTTATTAACTAATGTTATCCAAACAGAATAACAGTAAGCCTTGTTATGATTCATAGTTTCTCCAAAATATTAATTTTACTGATTTTTATGGGTACTTGATACACTGCACTGCATTTACAAATTATTTACAAGTAATTCGCGGATGCCTTTAAGCTATGTAAGAACTACGGCTTCTGCTTATACAAGAGTAGAAATTATGGTACTTGGGAGGAGGATACATGGATGCGGAACTGAGTGATATGTACAGATATTGGATTGTAGCTGAAGCAAAATCACAGAAAGAACCTTAAGAGGTAACTTCACCCAGGTGCATGCTAGTTAATTGAGAGTCCAGCTCTTCACCAAATTGATCATCGAATTCAAATTCTTGGAAACTGATCGTTCTTTTAAGTGTCCTCTGTTGTGGTGATAAAGTAACGTTCTGTAGAACAGGTTGGATGAAATGGTATTTTGTGTCGTTCTCATTGTCTTCTATATCTTCTTCCACGCCATCGTCTATTCCATCACAAAGAAGCGACCTTGGAGTGTCACGGATTCGGAATCGGATCTCCTTGATATCGTCAGAGAAGGTTACTGATTTTTTGGGTCGGGCGTTTCCTTTGGACGGATGGTCTAATAGCTCCGAAGCTTTGAACTTTTTTGCCTTGGGCTCTTCTCGAAGTAGACTTGAATTTTCAGCTAAAAGGTGATGTATACTGCGCTTTCGAGGAATAGTTGGGATCATTTGCGATAAACCCCCGCTAAAAGGTGTGGAAACTACATTTAAAAGATTGTCATTAGTCCGTCCCTGCTAGCGTCTCCGCAGTCGACGAATGATGTGAATTGAATTACGAGTAGCTTACAAGTTGGTAGCTTCGCAGTAATGCTCATTCTGAAAAGGCTTGCAGCAAGTGATCCCTGAGGATATTGCCAGTGTTGATACGATTGTAGAAGTCTTTTGTTTCAAATGCAGATGATAAAGCGACCGCGACATCGTGTTTTGAGGGTCTGACGCCATAAACTTTTTACTTTCGTGGAGCGGCGTTTAAAAATTTCGCATCTTGGTAGTTTTATTCATGCGTTTCCATGGTAATGGTCATTTTACCACTGGAATCTTTTGCCGGTCTCCTGAGCAATAGCAAAATAATGCAGGGAGCACACTATTACTTGCTATCTTTCATTTGAATAAGCATGATCTCGGATGTCAATCCTTTGGCTGTCTGGCAAGGGATGATCTTCATAAGTAGTCATTCCTTTCGAGCATTACTTCATCCAATTTTCACTTACTCTTTCGTTGTATATGTTGCTATCATTTGCTGACGATCATGCTGGCATAACAAATATCCTATGTCACAAGTCCAAAATGGCTGTGATCAATAGCTCAGAAAAGTTTCCTTATAAGCAGAGAGATCTCCATTGGGGGAATGTCACGGTGGGAGTCACAAGTCAAATTTTTTCTACCACTCTTGACCTTCTTCACTTCTCTTTTCACACATGCTGCGATGTACGGTACTCATCATCATTCTATATTATATCAAATTTATATACGCTATACCTGTCAATTTTGACGATAGTCAAGTTCGCCAATTGCAGCTTTCTAGCACGGGAGATATAAACAAACCTTGCGGGTATGCTGTGGTGTCATGCATAGCGTTGCCAGGGGATCCTCTCGCAAAGCCAATTCGCTGCGGAAAGCTTACTAAAGCACCGGTTTGTCGAAATGGTTCTAGCGAACAATGTCATTCATTTTGCGAACAAGAGAGGTCAGTACTTTGGTGAAGCAGCATAGTATCATTAGTTGCGAATGACAGTTGCATTAATTCCTTCGGCATTGCAGTGGCGACCAGCTTTGTACATTTGCGTTCGCGTCATGCTGTTCACAAGGCTATGACGGTTGTGTAGCTACTCGACCAAAGGAAATATTGGAATATAATGGATCGAATATATGGTCATAATTGTATCATCCTGTAGGCAACATTCACTGAGACATCAATATCCCTGGATGCATGATATCGCTAGGATATAATGAAAGTCTCACTCCTTATTTGTATAAGAAAAAAATTAATATGTGGACAACTCTACCCAGTACCACTCTCTCTCTCCCCTAAAGCACATGGCGTTGACACAAAAAGTTGTCAAGGGACCTTAAACTGTTGATCCAGATCAGTTGTATTGTTTCCAAGGACAAATAAAAAATTTCCCTTTTATGCCGGGCTCTGCTGGGTTGATTTCCAGCATAAATTTTATTTTAGTTGAATACCCAGACCATTGACCTTTGCTAGAAAAACCGGATGCGCTGAAAATCATTATAGAGTAAGCTGCTACTGTCATAAGCGTTAATGAATTTGCTCTGAACAATATCTTTATGAAAATGCTGTGATATCCATGCCTAATAGACTGAACTTTATGAACGCAAAGTTTCTCCTAACGGTTTGCCAGGAACCAATAGCTTTTCATGGACCTCACTGATGCGTTTATAGATTCCGTTTACCTGTATAATTTGAGATATCAAAGCATATTGAATTATATCCCGTCGTATAACTACCTTTTAGAATATGATGTGGATTTTCATTTGAGATAGTGCATTCTTTTCAAAGTTTGAAACATATGCGTTGTTGGCTTATCAGAATACCATTTCAATTATCTATCGGTTGAATGTTCAATCCGAGAAACCATACATCATATAGGATACCACGTAATCACTTTGGTCGTGAAAATCTAACAATTGTTCAGAATTCATAACCGATTGCTAATAGACGGGAGGTATAGCGATCTCGGTTTATTCAACACTTCACACACGCTCCAGCATAGACGGACGATTCCGTTGTAAGATTTTGTATACGTACTCATTTTCCAAGTTATCTTACTCCGGCAGGCTTCAAACACGCGATATGCCACCATATCAATACATATGAAGCAGTGACTTGGAAAAGAGCTTCATACCAAGCCAGTTTTGCCGTGCTGACTTTGAAGACACAGCTGTGAGCTATCTTGAGACCATGGTAGATTTTTACATGAGCCCCTTCAAATATATACATTTCCAATATCAAATGAAAATTAATATCGGCCTATGATGTACCAGGAGGTTAATGGCTTTCCAAAGAGACCAAAACACCCGTTGCTCTATTAAAGTATACCAGAACCTGATTCCTGGACACACACATTACTAAAATGTTAACTGTTAACGTACTATCAGTGAACGATGCTACTCTACTTTACTTCTGTCTGTATTTGAGAAAATGTAGTATAACCTCCTATCCATTGTGATCCTGCAGTCGATTGCTACCCCTAGTGTTCTATTTGACAGCCAAGGATCCTAAGATTAGTGAGAGGCCCTGAATCTCAGTAGAGCATTCCAGTCGACTTTTATATATTACTTTTATGGGCCCCTAAGTTGAAAAAGCTCATAATTGTCTGCTAGCAGCGATCTTGACTGCATGCACCTAGTTAATTTTTTTTTGTGCCTATGGACAGTACTCATTAAGTAAAACTTATATCCACCATTTTGTTCCTTCTTCCTTATTCCCAAAAAAAATTGATTACTCTGGTTTTCATTTTATCAACGAACACAGATCGTCATATACTATCCTTCTTTGACTTCTCACGATCTTTTTGTTTAGCAGAAAGTCTATCTCATATTCGAGTAGTAGATCCGTAATACTTCTCGGGAGTTACTGTCACTACCTCCCCTTACCACCTAGCTTGGAGTGTCGGTTACCTCGACATACGCCCATATACACTCAGTCTGCACAATTTTTTTTTAAGAAATACAGCAATTGATGTCCGGAAAAGACCAAGATGGTGATAAACCTATCAAGGGATCCTTGGATCCCATTGATTCTGATGATCAGTACGAAGACCTTCACAAGAGCAGTAAAGCATCCGGCGCAAGATACGGCTGGAATTCTCAAGATAGCCTTGAAAAAGATCCACATTTGAGTGTTGATAGGTTAGCACAGTCACAAATTCTTTAATTATCATGTAATGTCCCATTGACTCCTTAATATTATAGCTTTCGCGCCGAAGCAGTGATGGCGGAATTTGAAACAATTGGCGCGGACAATATGAAGTCGCAAACAGGTACATATCAATGAAATGATCCACATATAGACATATGATGTTTACTAATGATGAAAATAAGATTTCGATATGTACTCTGATGGCCAATCTTCGAACGGATACAGCGGTCCCACAGGTACTAGGCTGCCTCGTGTTGACAGTGATGGATTCCTGGGAGCACTTCATGGCATTGGTGACAGTCGATATATGAAGTTCGCAACTTCTTCTGATTCATTATTACAAGCTATTGAAAGTAAGAAGTTGAGAAATCAAACAACAACAGCGTCAGCAAATGGTAGTGCATCTTCATTTGCGACCACTGAACGAGAGGAGCTGGGATTATCACCACTTCCAGAACTCAAGTATGGAGAGCCTTACCCTGCTTGGACAAGAGACCATACCATGCCAATCACCAACGACGAGATAGATGCAATTTTTGTGGACTTGACGAACAAATTTGGATTCCAGCGTGATAACAAAAACAACATGCTTGAGCATTTTATGGTGATGTTAGAATCTCGATCTTCTCGAATGTCCACAGAACAAGCTTTAGTATCATTGCATGCAGATTATATTGGCGGAGAAAGTTCCAATTACAAGAAGTGGTACTTTGTCACTCAATTAGAAGTCGATGAAGAGACTATGCAAGGAGAAAGCAACGATAGAACTTCCAAAGACAGCAAAGCGTCCATAGGAATATCTCATTTGGGCAACATGGAAGACGCTTGGAAGAAAAAGATGAACACCATGAGCAACAGGGAAAGAGTTCGGCAAATTGCCTTATATCTTCTGATATGGGGAGAGGCAGCTGTAGTTCGATACACATCTGAAGTCATCTGCTTCGTATTCAAGCTTGCTGACGACTACTACAATGGTCGTGACTGTCCGGTTGTTCCTGAAGGCACCTTCCTGGACGATATCATCTCACCATTGTACTTGTTTATCCGGGATCAATCCTATGAGGTGTCCGATGGACAATTCGTCAAGCGGGAAAAAGATCACGATAAAATCATCGGTTATGACGACGTCAATCAAGCTTTTTGGTACCCAGAATCTATGCAGCGAATGAAGCTTACAGATGGAACAAAGTTGATGGATAAACCCCTACGCCAGCAATACACAGAACTGAAGAACGTCGTCTGGAAAAAGGCTTTCATAAAGACATACAAAGAAAAGCGGTCCTGGATGCATTTGGTAGCCAATTTCAGCAGAATATGGATTATTCACATTTCCACTTTCTGGTTTTATACCGCCGCAAACGCACAAACACTTTACCTGAATTCCGACAAAGAAATTGCTGCAGAAGAAGCATCTGTTCAGTGGTCCATTACCGCCTTGGGAGGGACCATTGCTGTCATTATTTCTATAGTAGCATGCTGCGCAGAATACTCTTATTTGCCAAGATCTTGGAGAGACACCAAAGAGCTATGCAGACGACTAGCAATTCTATTTGCGTTCTTCATCATCACTACAGGACCCACTGTTTACTGTGCTTTCATCAGTCGTACCGGCCTAATCTCAAAAATTGTTGCCATTGTACAATTACTCTTCAGTATAGCAACAGTTTGTTACTTGTCATTTGTTCCTACCGCACAACTTTTCAAGAAAAAAGCCGAGATCAAAACTCGTCGCGATCTAGCTGGCCACTACTTTACCGCAAACTTCCCCAAACTCAAGAAAATGGACAGATTCATGTCTATAGGATTATGGGCGTGTGTATTTTCCTGCAAGCTGCTGGAATCTTACTTCTTTTTAGCTCTTTCCTTTAAAGATCCTCTCAAGATCATGGGAATGATGAGAATTGAATTTTGCACTGACGCCATCGTCGGTAACATGCTTTGCAGTTACATGCCACTAATCACTCTATTTCTCATGTTTGTCATGGCACTGTGCTTGTTCTTCCTCGACACCTACCTTTGGTACATTATATGGAACACCGTCTTCTCAGTCGCAAGATCATTTTATCTTGGTATTTCGATATGGACTCCTTGGAGAAACATCTTCTCGAGACTTCCCAAACGCATACACGCCAAAATTCTCGCCACGGTTGATATGGAAATTCGATACAAGCCTAAAGTGTTGTGCTCGCAAATCTGGAACGCAATTGTGATATCAATGTACCGCGAGCATCTTGTGTCTGTAGAGCATGTGCAAAGGCTCCTATACCAACAGGTAAGAAGATAAAATTAAGTTGATGGTCACATAGTGAAATTTTAATCGTCTCTTTATCATCAGGTCATTGATACCGATGGCAAAAAAACCCTTAAACCACCAACGTTTTTCGTCTCTCAAGAAGACACTGCATTCAAAACTGAATATTTCCCACAACAAAGTGAAGCAGAGCGCCGTATTCATTTCTTTGCGCAAAGTTTGACTACACCAATGCCAGAACCACAGTCGATTGACAGAATGCCTGCATTCACTGTTCTTGTGGTAAGCATTTATGCATCTAGGCTGCGTCAAACGGATGGCGCATGTTAATCCTTCTCTTTAGCCACATTACGCAGAAAAAATGATATTGTCATTGCGCGAAATTATTCGCAGAGAAGACCAAAATACAAGAGTCACACTTTTGGAGTATTTGAAGCAACTGCACGCCGTTGAATGGGACAACTTTGTCAAGGATACCAAGATTATGGCAGACGAAAAGGTCCTACCAAGTAGCAATAGTAACATGTCCTTCATGTCTATCAACTCTGAAAAAGAAAACAGCAAGCACAAGATTGATGATCTTCCCTTCTACTGCATCGGTTTCAAGTCTTCAGCCCCAGAATACACATTGCGTACTCGAATTTGGGCTTCTTTACGCTCTCAAACCTTGTATCGTACAATCTCTGGCTTCATGAACTATACAAAAGCCATCAAACTACTTTACAGAGTTGAAAACCCAGATGTTGTACAAAGCTATGGAGGTGACAACGCCGCTCTAGAAAGAGACTTAGATTATATGTCGTCTCGCAAGTTCAAAATGTTGGTTGCTATGCAGCGCTACACTAAGTTCAACAGCGAAGAAATGGAAAGTGCAGAGTTATTACTTAATGCCTATCCGGATTTACAAATTGCCTATCTGGATGAAGAGCCATCGAAGTCAGAAGGTGAAGCTTCTACCATGTTTTCATGTCTCATTGACGGTTCTTGTGAGAAAATGGAAGATGGCAAGCGGAAACCAAAATTCAGAATTCGTCTCCCTGGAAACCCAATTTTAGGAGACGGAAAATCCGACAATCAAAACCACGCCTTGATATTCTACCGTGGAGAGTACTTGCAACTTATTGATGCCAATCAGGACAACTATCTGGAGGAGTGTCTCAAAATCCGCAATGTACTGGGAGAGTTCGAGCAGATGAATCCAGCAGAAACCAACCCATACGACGCTCCGGAAGAGAACGCAAACTCTTCACCAGTTGCTATCGTTGGAGCAAGAGAGTATATTTTCTCTGAGAACATCGGTGTACTCGGTGACGTTGCCGCTGGTAAGGAACAAACGTTCGGTACTTTGACACAACGCATCATGGCCAAAATTGGCGGCAAGGTAAGGATCATTGACAAATCTGTTGACCCATGTACAGTGGTGACCCATAACTCTATTGATTACTATAGCTCCATTATGGCCATCCGGATTTCTTAAACGCAGTCTTCATGACAACTAGAGGAGGTGTCAGTAAAGCTCAAAAGGGATTGCACTTGAACGAAGATATCTATGCCGGTATGAATGCGTTCACTCGAGGCGGACGTATCAAGCACACTGAATACTACCAATGCGGTAAAGGTCGTGATCTTGGTTTTGGTTCTATTCTCAATTTCACAACCAAGATTGGTACTGGTATGGGTGAACAAATGCTGTCAAGAGAATACTATTACATCGGAACACAACTGCCTCTGGACCGTTTCTTGACGTTCTACTATGCCCATCCTGGGTTTCACATCAACAACATCTTTATCATTTTGTCAGTTCAGATGTTCATGTTGGTTTTCTTGTTTGTGGGAGCTATGGGAAGTGCTCTCACTGTATGCGAGTACAATCCAGATGCACCGGAAGACGCCGTTCTCAGCCCGGCTGGCTGCTACAACCTTGCCCCTGTTTTAGATTGGATCAAGCGTTGTATTCTCTCCATCTTTCTGGTCTTCTTCATGGCTTTTATGCCACTGTTCCTGCAAGAATTGACTGAACGCGGATTCTTCCGCAGTATATCTCGTCTTGGAAAGCACTTTATATCCCTATCGCCTCTCTTTGAAATTTTCGTGACTCAGATATACACCAACTCCATCCTCACCAATTTGAACTATGGTGGTGCTCGATACATTGCAACCGGTCGTGGCTTTGCTACCACTCGATTGCCGTTCAGCATCTTGTATTCAAGATTTGCTGTACCAAGTATATACTTTGGAGCACGCATATTCATTATGTTGCTATTTGCCTCAGTCACGATATGGATGCCACATCTACTCTACTTCTGGCTAACGGTTATAGCTTTGATATTCTCACCCTTTGTTTTCAATCCGAACCAATTCGCTTTCACAGACTTCATGGTTGACTATAGAGAATATCTCAGATGGCTGTCCAGAGGAAACTCAAAAACTCATGCAAACTCATGGATTGCTTACTGCCGTTTATCGAGAACTCGAATCACCGGTTATAAGCGAACAAAGCTAGGCGAACCAAGAGACAAATTGTCGAGCGACGTTCCTAGAGCAAAATTCTCAACCATCGTATTTTCTGAAATTATTGGTCCTTTCATATACACTCTGATCTGCATGGTGGCGTATTTATTTGTGCGTAGCGTCAATACTGAGGATCCTACCACTCCAGTCAATGGCCCATCTGGATTGATCAGACTTGGTGTGATTGCCTTTGGACCGATTCTACTCAACGCTGGTGCTCTGGCTGCATTCTTTGGTGTCTCCATAACGCTGGGCTCTGTACTTAGCTTGTGTTGTCACAAGTTTGGATCTGTTATTGCGGCTATGGCTCATGGTTGGGCAGTTATAAATGCTATCATATTCTTTGAAGCCTTCCTAGTACTTGAACATTTCAAGTTGTCTAATGTCCTCCTTGGCTTAGTCTCCGTCATTTCATTACAAAGGCTGGTTTTCAAAACCATGACTATTCTCTTCTTGACAAGAGAATTCACTCATGATCAAACTAATCGTGGTTGGTGGACTGGAAAGTGGTACGGACGCGGTGTAAGTCTAGAGATGCATTATTCGGCACATATTACCAATGCATACATATTAACCTCTTCTGATCTGTTGTCATCTTGTTCATAACTATAGCTTGGATGGCATGGTAAGTTACTTCACAATGACAATTTAGTTCATCATGAGAACTGGAAACTGAACCTGATTATTATCATAGCCATTTCGCAACCAGCTCGCGAGTATGTATGCAAGATCATAGAGATGAGCAACTTTGCGACAGATTTTATTTTGGGGCACTTTATCTTATTTCCCCTCTCGTTGATTTGCTTGATACCGTATGTAAACCGATGGCATGGACTCATGTTGTTTTGGTTACGGCCAAGTCAACAGATTCGATATCCTACGTGGACTGTCCGTCAAAAGAAGGAGAGACGACGAGTGGCCATTATATATGGTCTGTTCTTCTTAACAATGTTTATAATGTTTGCAGCTCTTATAGCTGGACCAATTGTAGTGGGTGGTAGTATCGAAGCTTTATCTAAACTCCACTTACCTGTGTAAAAACTCGAAATTATTAAGTTTTCACAAGTCTCAAAAAAATAAAAAAGAGAAAGTACAATATAGATTGTTTCCAGCAGATGGAAAGTTCTAACAATACTGCCAATCTTGATCTGCCTGGACACGACAATTTGCCAGCGCTCTGTGAACTTTAAAAAAATCCTAATTCAACAAGTGATTTTGCATTCCCCTGAGGGTATAGCGGCTATCCCATGCTCGCAAACGTTGCCGTTTGGCTACCGTACCAGATCATGATTGCTACCAGCCTAATTACTGAGTAGTTGAGCGGCTTTGAAGAGTTATGAATATGCCAGCAAAGTGTGATCACTACTGAATTGAAAGCTATGACTCAAGGACATATGGACTATGCAGCTGTCTGTAGGATAGCATCATTTCCCAGAAATTTCCTGGGGAAAAGGTAGACTTTCCAAACTTGGCTGCTTGTAATGATGGAAACTAGACGTCATAAACAATTTGGGTGGACAGGCACTTGGAAGAAAAAAAAAATCCCAAAATATATAAAGACGCCTGTGTGAACGTGGGTAATAAGCATTTATTATTTTTCGATAAGTAAAGAAATATGTCCCAAGCACAAGAACCCGTACCAGCAGCTTCTGAGCAAGAAGTTAGACAACAAGAATCAGTCTCAGACTCCCAAACTCAGTCCGATGCCCCTGTTGAAGGAAAGCCCGACGCCAGTGCTATCTATCATCAAGACGATTTGGCAAACGATATATTGGCTCAACAAGACCCTGCAGCCGTCCATCCCGATCATACTAATGTGAATTGGGATAAGGAGACAGGACAAGGTTTTGCTACGGAGATGGACAGACATGCCATTAAGGCTGCACAACTCCACCACCTGTTGCCAGAAACCATGAAAGTTGAGGATTTGATTAAGGGCGAGAACAAGACAGGAGCCAACAAGGAAGAGTTCCAAAAGGCTTTAGAGAAGCCAGATGCTATGCAACAGATGGCTGATAACCCTGCGGAAGAGGAAGAAATCAAACCTGCCACAGCAGAAGCCGTCAAGCAGGCTGCAAACTAAGCTATCTTTAATTGTCACCTAACGATACTCCCTCTGTATAATCTTCAATAAATTACGATACAATATACAGTATTATCCAATAAATGGGGCAGGCAGCATGTCTTATACCAAATCATTGAAGGACCGCCCAAAATTAAAGGTCAAGGGCCATTTCCTTGTCCGTGCGGCAAAGTAGCATCCAACTTCTCTCAATGCGATTTTGGACTCGCGTCAACTCGCATTTGGCTACCCGGTCTATCGGTAGCGAGAATCTTCTAGAGGTTTATGCTGATATATGGCGCAATTTGTCTGGTCGTGGCCATGTAGCTCCTCAGAAGCTAGTAAGCAAAAAGCAGCAATCACTTGCTGTAGCTGAAAAAGCAATGTTCCGTTGCGTTCAACAGCCACTTGAATCTCGAATGACAGAAATTCAACCTACTTGGAGCAGAAAAACGTCCAAGCCATGCTATATTAGTAGTGTTTCAACAAACTCTGATACCACCGAAAAGAAACCTGACTTGGTGCTTGTTCATGGATGTAAATGACCTTTTTCACGTTCTTTGTTACTGGCATCCAACTTTGTGTAATAACCTTAACTGACGATGATGCAGACGGTGGTGGTAAGGGCATATGGATAAGAAATATAGACGAACTCTCAAAGGTTGGTATTGATAACTTTAGTCACTTGAGGCATAGTGTACTCATTTTATCTACCATCAAGCACTACACAGTTCATGCGATTGATTTACTTGGCTGGGGAAGGTCCACTAGAGACAGATATTGTGGAAACGATGCTGTCAAGGCTCAATCTTACTTTGTAGATAGCTTGGAGAGCTGGCGGCAAGCAATGGGAATAGAGAAAATGACACTTCTTGGACATTCTTTTGGCGGTATGCAGTGTATACAAGCACGATGAAATATACCGCTACTGGCTTACCTGACACTCTTACGTTTAGGATTTGTGTCGGCATCGTATGCTCTAAAACATAGGGAGAGACTTGATCGTCTGGTGCTCCTTAGCCCAATTGGTCTCAAAGGTTTCCAATTTCCATCAGACCAGATCTTCTCCTTAAGCTCACGTATACTGTTTACTTCCATATGGACATTAACACCACAGCGCATTCTCGGAATGTTGCCAAAATCCCGAGTACTTCAAATGCTTGCACGTTCGCGAGTGAGAACAGTACAAGCTTTTGGATACTCGGATGATACGGTAATACGCTATATTTACGAATTAGCAACCCAATCGGTCTCCGGAGAAATGGCATTTTCAAAATTAATGGGCCACACGAAGGATAGTTCGATGGTAAGCACAATACTAGTGGCATGCACCAACGGCTGAGACCCTACACGTTCTCATTTTCTTTGTCAAACAAAAAGGCATGGCATGTACCTCTTAAAGATCAATTGCACCAGCTGCACGATTTGCCACTTTACATGGTTTATGGCGAACACGACTGGATAGACTTTAGATATGCCAATGAGGTAAAAAAGAATATTTTACCTCAGACCAAAGTATTTTTGCTTCCGAACGCTGGACACCATGGCTATGTGGAGGCCGCAGATTTATTGTCACATATTGTCTCCAATCTAGACAAGGATCTTTCGTCATTAGAGTATCATGGAGAATTAGATAACGCTCGCGGTAATTATTTGAGCTTTGCATAATCAACGTTTGCCGAACAAAATACTAGAACAAGATAGAAAGTAACTAACAAGTCAAACCGAACCGATGAATCACTTTTTTTGTCGGTGTTATGGTGGACTAATATCATCTCACCTCTGCCAAAGTCGGTTTAAAATATTTGAATAAATTGTTTGTTCTGTGTTTGATGGTCAACAAACCGGCGGATGTGAGGGGCAGTCCATCCGAGTGGTTTCAAAACAGATCCTAAAATGGGCGTGTCTGATTCCTTTTTTATTCCTTTACACTTCTTTCTTAACTCCTTACTATTACTTTACTCTATGATGTCTGTTTGCACTTCTATCAGCCATCATGCAAGTGTGCAAGATAAAGAAAACGAGCGCTTGCGGCAAATCATCAGAGAGGTAGAACTGCTTGAGCGGCTGGTGTGGACTGCGGAGATTTATAGTTTCAGGGCACAGAACTAACGTGTGGAATCATTTTTTTTCTGTAGCGAGACGCACAGATTGAAGTTCTACAGCAAGCACACATATCATCTATAGAAATATTATCTAGTAACTTTTCCAGATTGGAAAACATTGTGAACGAGTTCTGTGAGCTATTGAACGACGCATCCCGGTGTCGACCCACCCTACCCGAAGATGATATACGACTCCAGCTATTACGGACCATGTCTGTTGCGCAATTACAAAACAAGAGGCTACGGCAGAGAATCGCAAAATGGAGAAACTTTGTCGAGAGTGGGGCGGACGACTGGTTCGGCAGCCCGGAGAGCATAATGGTCCTAGTTGATCATAAGGAACTCTTACGAGATATTGAACCACTTAATAGGCAGCCAGATCCTAACCTGTTCACTACGCCTGATACAACATCCTTACGAGAGAAAGACAGCTCAGAATCACTACGAGAAGACAGTATAACTACGACAACCACCACCAGGTCAAGGAACAACAGCTCTGCTACCAGTGACACTTGCTCAAGTTCACTTAAGCTCTCCATACCACCAATATCCCCATCACCGCCAGAGCCAACATTTCAGCCACTGCCCAAATTACTCGTGACACCTAGGACTTCCAGTTTGACATCACTCTCACTGCTATCACCGACACCCGCCGCAACCGAACTAATGGAACCAATAGAAACGAAACGCCCCACTCCTTACCAAAGTCACTCAGCAACGACACGTATGATTACAACGCTTAAAAGGACAATATCTCGGAGAGGACAGCGAGGGTAAAAGATATAAATAGTTTTGTATAAAAAGATATGAGAAAAATAAACATTTGACATAAATGAAAACGATGAGACACAGTATTGATTGGTATATCTGAGCGACCATGGCAAATCACTGTCGGCCTATATTGTTTTTTCTCTAAAGCATACGTTGTGACAGTTATGTCAACCACGAGACCCGACCTAGCTTCTGCTCTCTAGATTCTTCAAGTTGAGAACCTGTTGCTTTACCGTCTCTCGAATCATGCAGTGCTTCACGCTGCTTCGCCTTGGGTCAATTATAATGTACTGACCAGCAGCAGCTGCAAGCAAGACAACATCAGGGCAGCTTCCAACGTATGCTGGCGAGATGACATCACAATTCAATGCTTTGATTTCCTTTATTTACCACTGAACTTTGCGTCGCTCGGTGTCGCTTCTGCAGGCCGTTCAGGAATAAATTTCCAAGTCACTTTGCCAAATACCACCTCATTGCCTTTCAGATCGCACGTTTTCGATGTTGGGCTTAGCATACATTTCAAACGCCGATAGTCACTAGGAAGCGAAGACAAGTCTTCAATCCATGCTCTCAATGCATTTTCTCTGCAAAACGATCAGATGTCAATATAAAGCACCATTAACAAGATAAAACACGTAAACATCTGAAAAAGATTAAGCAAAATATTTCATGAGACAATGCGCAGTTTTAGGAAAATACAATATGTCCACATAATGAAGGAAGTGAAGAGCATACAATGGAGGGAAAGTTCACGAAGAACATAAAGAGGTGTGAAGTGGATATGATGAAGTGAATGAATGAATGGGATGTTTGGAGAAAAAGGGATAATTTCATGAGGTAAAAAAAAAATCTTGTCTGTAAAGCTTTGTTGTCGAATTTTCTCTGAGAGGTTGGTAGTACAACAAATGGAGCTGATAAAATGGCCAAAAAGCCAAAAAAAGAGGTTGGCTGTAACAAAAAGGAACCATTTGACGGAGTTTACAACAGCTTCCGCCTCATCATCAACAATGCTGTTTGGTAACATGATCTAAGGCAATTAAAAGAAGGTAAATGTGCTGACATATACGGTGAGGGAAGCTGATTAGGACAAAAGAAAAACAAACCTCGGTTGGGCCAGCCCATTCAAAAAAGGTACCACATGGAAGGTAGGGATCATGATTAGCTTATCACGCCAACACTTGTTCAACGAAACTAGCTAATTTTTCAGAGGTGGAAGAATGGAGTAGACCATGCTGAACGTGAGTGTCGATTTCCTACAGAAAGTTTAAGTGGTTAGCATGTATATGTCTACCTGAAAGCCAGATTGAAAAATATTTGTCACAACATACCAAAATGACATCCCGGGCATTTGGTCGGCTTTGAGGACTCTCCTCTAGAAGCCACGCAACTAAACCACGCATGTACATGCTTGGGTAGCTGTAAGTAAATGTGGGGCTTGGGTCACTCAGCGCGATGTTGAAAAATTCTTGTTCATCACGAATAGCATAATGTGGCGGTACTCGGTCCATCATTTCAATGATGGTAATCCCGAGCGACCACAAGTCGATCTTTTCGTCATAGGCAAACTCACGAATAACTTCAGGAGCCATCCACTGTAAGTATCGAGGAGATAGCATAGTCAAAATTAGATATGATCATCCGCCTTTAACAAACAAAACACCTCATACTGAAACCTACCTTGGAAGTACCGAGACGCTCTTTGTTGAGATGTCTAGTGTTTGCCGTTAAGCCAAAGTCGGCTATAAGAAAGGAAAATTCGTTACATTAGTCATGTATGTTTTGTTAACAGATAAATATGATGCAAAGAGTACGGGACAATTACCGAGCTTGACCTCTCCATTTTGTCCCAATAACAAATTTTCGCACTTGACATCTCTATGGATGTACCCGTGAGAATGCAGGAACATTAGTCCTTGAAGAACCTACGTAAAAACAAGAAAGAAAAGAACATTCGCGGATTTTTTTTCTTTTTAGAAAAAAGCCAATATGACGGACATTGAGTGAGTAGGTTTTTAAAAAAAAAAAGTACCTCTCGAGCAATATAGACGGCAAATTCTTCAGGGATGTTACGATGGCATAGAACGGAAAAGACTGAGCATCGCATCAGATCCATTCCAATCCATAATTCGCTTCGCCATAAGGTAAGTTCGCACAGCTGAATAATATTGGTGTGCCCACTGGCCATAATTCGTAATTCTCGTAAAACGGCTATACGGAAGTCTTGATCCGCAATATCAATCTGACATCGCTTGATCGCCAGCCTTTCGGAATTTCCTCGGGAGCGTGCCTGTATTACTGCGCCGTTGACCCCCGTACCAATTTCCAATTCGCTGGTGTACAGCGATCGGGGATTGGTCGTTTTGAGCGTTATCTTGGGAATGGTTTTACGTATGCGTTTTTCAAAATCGAATGTTGGACGTTGTTTTGATACTGGAGGCAGTTCAGGTATCGTTTCGTTTTTACAAGGACTGAGCCATGGGGGCTGCTTTGCACGGGACAGAGAGAGAAAAAAAAAAGTCAGTGTGTTGATTACGCGGTGGACATCAAGTTGGTGCAACGTTTCAACTTGCAAGTCTACTCACTCTCGTAGAATGCAAAGATTTCTTCGTTGGAATTGGCTGTGGTCCTTTTGGGACAACCTTGTTCACAGTTGTTCGAAGATAAGCATTTCCTAGAATATTAGGTATTTCGCAGTGTCCTGGTGCTCTCCACACCTAAGAGAAAATGAGCGAATATTTAAAATAAATAAAAAAGCGGAGGCGTTTGTGATCGGGGGCGTATAGGATCAACATACCTTGACGGGGGCAGTCTGTCGTCGGGCTGGACCTCTCGATAGTCGACCTTCGCCTTGGTTCTGTCGTATCGCGCCTAAAGACTGTCGTTTAGGTATGACGATACCTGATAGGCGACGCTGGCTAAGGGCATCGGTTGTTTCTGAAGCTGATTTTCTCATCAATAAGGGAAAGCTATGCTGTAAGGAATGAATAGGGATGATAAAGAAGTAGAAGAAAATCAAAAGATGCTATGCTCCAGAAATAAAAAAAGAAAGAAAAGGTGAGCATGAGTTTGCACGACTGCAATGGTTGAAAAAACACCGATGGGCGTCTCGGCAGTGGTTCCCCTTCCCAATTACCAATTTTGTAATTCACAACATACCACTGACTGCCAATTTCAACACAACCGTGCCCGTCATCCGACCACCATCATCATGCCTGCGCATTTCCACGTGAGGAGATCGCTCTTCTTTCTGAAATAATAACATTTATTGGGATAATATTTATATGTTAGTTGCGTTGCGTTTCGCCATCATCGATCGTAGTCTCAACGTAGACCCTGGTCCCATATACGATGGCTTTTGTAATTTACTTTCTTTTCTGCCATCATTTTCTACTGAGCCTCCGTTTGCATTTTGGACAGCGGCACTTGGCCGTGGTGCTTCAGTAACGTCTTTCTTAATGTTGATGGTGGGGTTGTTGTTCGTCGTCGATTTCATCACGAGCGGTGCACGTGGTAACATCGTACTAGCTGAGGTCATACTAGGCTTTACAATACTGGTGGGACGCACCGTTGCACCGGCAGAGTGACGATGAAGAGTCTTGCTTTTCATCCCACCAGAAATAGTGGCAAATCTATGTGGCGAGGCAAGGTGTGTTGAACTGTTGTTATCAGGCGTGTCAGCTGCGAACTCGGCCGAAGTCAGTTTAGTAGGTGTGCTCGGATTGGACCCGTTGGACCCCGTGGACGAAGTTGCCTTCAGCCTTCGAGTAGTCCCTGATGTGGTTGGCGTTGGAGAATTCCGATTGCTGATATCTATAGACATTCTTTTATACACGGGTAGCTGGTACCGAAAATCAAAATGAAAAAAAAAAAAAAAATCTTAGCACACGACCCTACATAACCCAATCACATAAAAGTAGGGCACTCACGTTCTTCGATATTAAATCATCTTCACGGTCAAGGATGTCCAAGATATCCTTTCCATCAACTAGTAAAGGGGCAGAATAAGTGTACTCTTGCCACATTGAAACCGCTTCCCGGATTTTGAGTCCTAGCTGCAGGGAGCATATCGTGTTAGTATGTCACTCATTTCCTCTTTCATTTTGCCCGGTGCCATAAAGAAACTGCCTTACAATATCAATCTCTTCTAAATTATCTCGCCTTCTTGCGCGCCTCAGCATAATTGTGCGGCGTTTCATATTGGTTTTCGCAGCAAGTGAAATGGTTTTGGCAATTTCAAGATCAACATAGGCCTTTTGCAATTTTTGCACGTCATCTTAAAGAGAATAGCTTCTAAATTATATATACCATCCATCGTTTCATCATTCAGTGACATACCAGTCGATCCAATACATGAGAAAAATTTTGCAGAGTCCAAGCCAAGTTGCCTGATGACCTCATGTAATTGTCTTAATATTGGCTTGGAGTCAGGCTTATACCGAATTTTAGAAGGACCATAGCTTGAAGTCTGTCGAAGAAACCCATTAATACGGGAAAACACTCCATCATCATTCAACCTTCTCTATATTCCTTACCATTCTCTCCTTCTTTTCGCCATTTTCTGAATGAATGCCACCGCTACTACTACTTGCCAGACTTCGCCGTCTCGATAATTTCACTCCGTTGTGTTCGCTTTCATTCGCATAAATGGTATTGGCTGACTTGAGGGCATGATCTAAACTGGCTTGAGCAGTAAGAAGCATGCTTTCGCGGGTATGATGCTCGATGGTATCCAAGCCCATTTCTGTCAACATGATTTCGATGTGGGCTGTTGTGGTTTCGACGTTCTCGATAGCCTGGTTCGTTAATTCTAGTTGTCCAACTAGCTCATTTAGTTCGGCGGTTTTGAAGGTGAGGATGGATCGAAGGTTGGCTATAGTCTGTCCAGCCTACAAAAAGGATGATATCCTTATCAATACAAATATCGAAATGCCTTGTAGTGCTATATGCGGGGACAACCACTGCAACTTGTATCCTGCGCCACCTGCCCTGAACTCACCTCGTCGAGTTTGCCCAGAAGTTGGGAGACGGCGCTGTCACCTGAGTTGGGCATGCTACTATCCGATTTCGACTTTGATGGTAATACTGCTTCGCGTCCTGTATTGATGCCTTGCATAGATTACGACGTTGTGTTGCAGTCACTGTCTGCTATTGAAGATTTTATAACCAGGGATGCTATATTGCGTCGAAATCCACTGACAGTGTCGATAAGCGGAATCACCAGAATCAATGAACTCTTTTCCAGTAAGAATTGATTAGGTTGATTGATTAACGATTTTTTAAGTAAGTAATCAGGGCTTCTGTAAGTTTAAGTGGCATTCGAGGCACTTGACTCAGAACCCATAACCTCACAAATTTGGCAGTGTGACGGTCAGATGGCTTGAGCATTACACCGTTCCTACTTGAGTAGGAAGCATTAACAGGCCGGTCGAATAGGGTAAATAAGAGGAATAGCTGGATCAGTTCGTGAAGTCATGCCGTGAAGAGCCTGATTAAAAATACTCGATGCAATTTGAAATAGAGTTTATTTTGTTATTATCTAGGTATCATTAAGGCATGATAGCAATGGTGTATGTACACGGCGAAAGCCCATGTAGGCGAGAGGAATGCCCGTATGGTTATCCATTTTCAGTAGATTACAAAGTTTTACTAACTGCCGCACTATTGATATTATTCAACGCACTCTCAACTATAATCTGCTTCGCCGGGGTATTGCTATATTAATATCACATCTCTTAACATGTCTCCACCGCATTAATATTGGTATTTGCTTTGCCGTACAAACCGCGACCACAACCACACAGAGTCATCCCATTTATGTCTGACTATGATCCAATGCGATTCAAATATCATGATTGCCGGACATAAGATGTTTTTTGCCAACTATTGGCGATCGCACAATAATCGTAATTCCTGTTTAAAAAGACTCGGTATCAATGTGAATTCCTTATGCTTCTCCAATGGCAAGCAGCCTGAGAATCCAGCTGCTGAATTGCGCTCACGTCCTTACCTTTAATTTACTGGATACACCGGCAAGCTCTTCTTTCAATTCATCGTTTGTTTCTCGGTCCGAAAGATTAAATACTTCTCGCTGTTTCCTATACCAAATGTGAAGTTACAAAGGGGCAAAGTGAGAATCCGAAACTTGTACTGGAGCTTGACACTAAATGCACAATTACATTGCTATCAGAGCTTCGCATTCAAGAATGTCTCGCTCAACGTCGTTGTTCAATCTATCCAATTCACGCTCTGCTTCAGCAAGGTTGGCAAGGGCGGTAGTCAGGTCATCAAAATTTTCTTGGGACTTCATGAAGATAAAATTAGTTTGTAGTTGTGTTCGATTCTCGATAAGTAATGATATAGACATACATCATTGCGGATGATTTGGCGTTCGTTCATCTCCTCTTGCAGTTCATTATCCACTACTTTTATTACGTGGTTATGATGTGCGCGGTAGTCCATCCAAAGATCTTTAACTTGGGCGCGTTCCCTGTTGGGGTGTCAAGTTAGTGCATGCGTGCAAACGGCTTGAAGATCCGCCATTTCAAAGGAATACCTATATTCCGCCGGAAAATAAGACTGAAACTGAGAAAGGCTTAACTCTTGCGGGGCTTGGGAATGTAGCCAAGATTTAATGCTGTCTCCTGTCGGATCGTGGGATGTCATAGAGAATCTTGAGGGATAAAAAGGGAAAGTTTTAGGTGCCGAAATCCGACGACCTCCTTTGTGCACAAAAACCGAAGCAATAGGCGATAAATTGAAAATTGCAATAGTGACCTTTGTTCAACAAAGTTTATATAGACAGGTTGGGACTTTACGTATATGGAGCATAGCACAATGCCTTACATAATGAAAATGAAGCAGGTTGTCGCATCACTTTTAAGATGTCGGTACTGGGTGCTGAATATAAAAATATAAACAAAAGAGGCAGAAATACTATGATGTTGTGAAGTATACATCGTGATTGATACAATAATCCAAATCCACGTTTAGGAGATAATACAGCTGGAACCGGAACGACCATTGGTAGTGGTATTGACTTCCCGTTGGTTTCCTCGTCGTCGTCTGGTTCTAGTTAATGGATAATAGCGGATGCGGCGAACGTTAACCCTTAAACCTGTAAGGTCAACTGCATTTGGAGTGTTATTCGCTTCTGCATCTGCTTGGGCTCTTCTACGGTTGTCGTTCCAGGAGTAGAAACTTTTGATTTCCAGCAGTGGAGCCGCTTGATCAAGAGCATTGCGTACTCCACTCTCTGTAATATTATTACAGTCTAGTACTTCCACACTGAGTTGCCGCTTCTTTCTACCAAGAGTAGGATCGAAGGATTCATTAGAAGAGTACGTAAAGCAAGAAGACATAGTGCCTTGCCGAAAGGGAGGGGAGGTCGAGAATACAGATGTGCTATCCATTATTGGAGATTGAAGCGAGGAGAGGTCTTTTGTGGCCAGATGCGTTGCAATGGTGGTCAACGCTCGATCGGTGATTAAGCTGCAGTTAGCCAGTTCCAGCTGCTCCAGTGAATCAGCGCACTCTCCTTCGAGGATGAGATTTGTGATAGCTGAGTCTGTTATCTGTAAACATCCTGAGAGGCAAAGTCTTCGAAGATTTTTTTGATGAGCTGCAATTTCTCGGACAGAGATATCCGTAATTTGGTGGACATCTTCAAGATCCAAATTGACTAGTCCTGTTAGTCGTGATATCATGTGAGTAAGCCCTTCATCTGTAAACAAAGAGCAGCATGCTAATTCCAGATGCGTCAGTCGTGGACAATGCTTTGTCATGCTGCGAGCAAGGAGATCCGTTAACTTTGAGCAATTGGATATGTTCAAGTGGGTCAATTTTCCATGCGAGGCCGACAAAAACGATAACATGGCGGCATCTTTGATATCGCTACATGACGCTAAACACAGCCTATTCAGATCAACTAGGTTCTCTCCAATAGCAGTCATGGTTACATCGTCTAGTTGACTACATCCGTTCATTTTCAGATATTCTAAGCGTTTGCAACCCTGAACGATGGCGTGTATTCCGTCAGCATTGATATTGCGACACCATGCAACATTTAATTTTCGAAGCATTGGGCAAGAGCTCGCTACTGCTTGAAGTGTATGATTCTTGATGGAGTCCAGACCGGAAACATCTAATACTTGTAATCGGTTTGCTTGGCTTACAAAACATGCGATGCTTGGAGTCGAAACCGTGCGGCAACCATTTAACTGAAGTACTTCTACATTTGGACAGCATTCAGCCAGTGTTCTTAAGGAGTGACCAGTAAGTTGTATGCAACCTCTATGTGACCAAATGTACGCTCGTGATCAGCTGTCAAGTATCTAGTAGATAGTACACAAATGATCATGCTTTTATGTTACCTAAAATTCGCTATCTTCAGGAACCCTCCAGCAGCAACACCTAGTGCTAGTAATTGTTCCGTCGTTATATTCTTGTAGTATGGTGTGACATCAATGTTATTCCACAATGATCCATCAAAAGCCAAATTCTTCCAATCATGACAGACCTAGAATATGAAGTACGATGAGAAAAACAGCTTAGAATATTTTAATTATTGCAAAAGAGCTCACCATGGCTGCCTTCATTAAATCAGTCACTGTCAACAATTGCAGAATTCGAATTCTTAGCTCTTTCGGTAAATCATAAAAAGAGTAGCGAGGATGATTTGCGATTTGCTTGCATTTATCACCATCCATCTTACTGACTTCTATTTCAGACGTCTTGTCGCTGTCGTCTGATATTGGTGAGTTTTCGTCCTCGGATAATCCGGTATCTGAAATTGGCGGACTTGGAAGAGTGCGAACCATGAAGTCAGACTCTGCAAGGGTTGAGGGAATTAGAATGGTAGTCATGGGTAAAGTCATTCGCTATTGAATGGGGCATATAGAAACTCTCCCTCCAATCATTCGGTCACTTACTATCGATGGGTTCTTCGTCGAGGTCAATATCAGCAAACATCGGGACACTGAGTAGAGAATCCATATTGCAACACAGGCCCACACTAGGCTAACAATAGCTGTGCTTTAAATATACAGAAGTTCAAAGCGGGTTTTGATGAACGTCAAAGAAGCTAATAACTGGTATGGAAGGCGAAACAAAAAGAAGAATGATAACGAAGCTGCTATATTCTAAATCGCTGTGTGAGGGAGAACAAAAGTCTACGGGTCCCAAAAATGAAAATCTCCCCCATCATGCGAAGGGGCGAGTCACGCCACCTTGACGCTGCTCTATACCCTAACCCTGGTTCATGTGAGGGCGTTTTGTCTTCCGTCAAGAAATGATATACAATATTTTATTGTGCTGGCTTAAGGATTCTCTACAAGGGTACCGACAAGAAGATACTTATTTGCAAAATGTTGTTCCCATTCTCTTAGTGAATCCCATTCATCTTTGTTCAAATCTTCCAGTTTGTCGATTGGCTTATCGTCGTCAGTCAACATGTCCATGTCGAAAGAGTTCTTAGCTAGTCCGCGTGATGCATCTCTGCCTGCAAAATTGCCATATGGGCCACCTATCACCATTTTATAGACCATCGCATCATGTCAGTAAATGCAATACAAGAACGGAAATTATTGGTCATGATTCACGCTATCGCAATCGTGACCTTTGATAGAAAAAACAGATTACTCACCTGGGCCGTAGAAGTTGCGACCTCGAGTAACATCGTAGACACTTCCATTGACAGCCATAAGGATACGACCGTTATCAGCGTTTCCGTCGAAGGCTCTTAGTTCCTTTGGATTGTAGGTTTTAAATAGCATGACTTCAGGATGCTTGGGAGAGACTGTGATAGCTTTGGCGGAGGAAACATATGAGCGAACAACATATGCGAGTACCTGTGTTTCAAACGTCAGACTTAACTCCACTATAGCCTGACCTATTGGCCATCTCACGAATGTAGAAAAAAAAAAAAAGGAAATCCAACCTACCGCAAGTAACGCCCAGTTTACAGGATTTTCTACAAGTAGTAACAAGCAGACATTAGCAATGTTGAGTACGGGACCAGGTGATTATACACAGCAATTGAAGTAGTACCTTTCAGCTGATGAAAAAGGGTGTTAAGAGTAATCATTCCGGTTGATCTGGTATGTATTTTTAACAATCGATCCTTGACTGAAATCGAATTTACGCTCTACTTGCCTGTTAGACATTTCCGAATAAATCCAGCTTGAAAAATAAGCCTTGGAGGGCCTGACAGCACTCCCTTTCTCAGCCGCAATTGCCAAGACACGTGCAGCGGGGTACTTTTCAGTCTGCCCCAGTCATTCTTGCGGACAGCAACACTAACTGGTGTATTTGAACGAGCTGTTACGAGCCCAAGTGCAAGCATACAAATATATTATTCACCAATTTCATTAATGGTCAGCCTGTAGAATAAGTATGTAGTCTATCTGCCCTAATAGGCTCAAACATTCGAGAGTTCTATCGAATTTTCTTATAAAGTGCATACTTGTCACAATTGAGCACTCATAACAATTAGTTGAGCTTTTATCATGCGTATCGCCTCATTCATTGTAAACTCTGGGTTAATTCAGGAAGAGAATAGCTGTACTAACTCTTATATCGCGTCAATAATATACAGTGTGCGCCAAATGAACTTTTCCCAAAAAATTGATCAACGTCAGAGACGTACTGCAAACAGCGTCAGGTTTGTTGACCGCAGCGAAATAGCCTATGCCTCCCAAGCGCAAAAGGTCACCCACCCAAACTTCTGACGATAATGCCCCCTGCCAATCAAAGCAAAGCGATTGGAAATCTTGGCCGCAGCCAATCGTCCAAGTTTTTAATACATTCAAAGCTATGAATGTACTCTTTGCGTTTCTCGAGGCACGGGCTTCGTCTACCTCTTTGTCATTCGCATCAGTTAAATCGTCTCTGGACGGTTCGAAAAAAATAAAGGATGAAGGTCTTAAGATAGAAGATATCGCATCTATAGGCGGTATCTCACCTGAAATGGTTCGTTGTCGCCGGGATGACGATGGTGAAATCATGATAGATTTTGGACCAGCGAAAGGAAAGAAAAAGGTGGATTTGATGAAAGAACGTGAAAAGCCGCCTCCAAAAGCAATGCAGGTGAAAGCTATTCAGCAAGTTATCCTCAAACGAGAAAAAGCATTTGAAAAAGCCGTCGTTCAATTCTTGAAAAAATGCGAACAAAAGGTAGCAAGAAGGCTTACATTCTGTTCGATTGGAGGTTTGACTAATAAATAACTTGCAACTGTTTGATAGAAACTTGATGCTATACAAGAACTCAACAATGGAACAACAGCCAATTTACCAGAGCCGCTGCCGAGCTCAACCGAAAGCAGTACTCCTCAAACAGCAATGACAGAACGGCCACAGATAAAACTCCTTCTAAACCAAATACAAAATGCCACTTTCTATGAAAACCAGATAGTACCTACTGGATGGAGAACATATCCTGAGCGTACCGCAAGCTGGGGTAAGTTTTCTTTAGTAAGTCAATTTTGACATCTCAGCGGGACAATACATCTTACTTTCGTACTAGGCCAATTGAAACTTCATCTATCACCAGTCATACGAGAAGCACTATCACAATCGCGAAATATCACTTCCCTGTACAGCCATCAGGCTGAATCTATCAATGCTCTCTGTAGTGGAAAGAATGTTATTGTCACTACTTCAACAGCGAGGTGAGTGATTATTGAAAGATTATTTCTATTCCACCCATCTAATGTGTTTTCTAGCGGAAAATCTTTAATCTACCAGATACCGGTGCTTGAAGCATTGCTGGAAGATAAAGATAGCAAAGCCATGTATATATTTCCCACCAAAGCGCTTGCTCAAGATCAATTACGGTCACTACAAGATATTATTTCTGTGTGCACTGGTTTGGAAGACACCATGGTAACGAATTGAAACCATTCTATGTAGCATTCTCCAGTACCTAATTTTTGCCTCAGATTTCCACCTTTGATGGCGATACACCAAAAGATCAGCGCAAATACATTCGTGAAGCAGCGAATATTATTTTCACGAATCCAGACATGTTGCATCACAGCGTCCTTCCCAATAACTTCCAATGGCGCCACTTTTTGCAAAAGTTGAAATACGTTGTAGTTGATGAACTTCACATTTACAATGGCCTTTTTGGTTCAAATGTTGCACTTGTTATGAGAAGGTTGAGGCGCCTTTGCAGTATCCATGGAAATGATGCTGTTCGATTCGTTTCTTGTAGTGCAACTATAGGAAATGCTGACGAGGTACGTTGTTCATTTCTTATTCTTTGTACATTTTCCGATTCGATAGACTGACAACCGAGAAATTTAGCATATGCGAACTATATTTGGACTGGACAATGTACATATGGTGGACGTTGATGGAGCGCCATGTGGACAAAAGGTAAGAAGAAAAAATTACTGTCGCAAACTTCTAATGGATATCGAAGTAAATTTGATTGTTCCAGGAATTTGTGCTATGGAATCCACCAATGCTGAACGAAAATGAACCAAGGTTGGGGAGAAGGAGCAGTATTCAGGAAACGGCACTCGTTCTAGAGTTTCTTATCTCTCACGAAGTTCGCACCATTGTTTTTTGCAAGGTACGTTGAGTCATCTTAGCTTCCCTTTCTCGTTCTTACGCAACACGCGATCCTTAGGTTCGGAGGACTTGTGAGCACTTGATGAAGCAAATTAGAACCAACCTGCAGCAAAACTCGAAAGGTGACCTTTTGCGTCGAGTCATGTCATATCGCGGTGGCTATACACCACAAGACAGAAGACGCATTGAAAAGCAAATGTTTTCTGGGGAGCTATTGGCAGTCATCGCCACCAACGCCCTTGAACTAGGCGTTGACATCGGATCCTTGGGTACAGTTTCATGGCATGACACATTTCTAGCGGTCGGCATTTGACTCATTTCTCAATAGACGCTGTACTGATGCTCGGGATCCCTTGGTCAATATCTGCTATGGTAATACTTTAGTTTATACTGATGGTACTCATAAATGTAATAACTCACAGCTTGAACAGTGGCAGCAATCAGGCAGAGCTGGTCGACGAAACAACGATTCATTGGCGCTACTGATTGCAGCAGAAAACCCAATGGATCAGCATTACATGGTATGCTTGTATATACTATATTATTATGAATTTGGCTAACTTGCATGTTGTGCGGTGCGATCACAGAGACAGCCTGATGAACTATTCAACAAAGAAATGCAGAGCATTGCTGTAGATATCGATAGTCCGCTTATTCTTGAGGGTCATTTGCAATGCGCTGCAAACGAACAACCTATCGATCTGACTAGAGATTGCGCTTATTTCGGAGAAGCAGCTGAGAGCATTTGCAAGGACCATTTAGTGAAAGGAGATGATGAGGTAGGTCGCCTACTGCTATTGGAGCAATGTAAAATCCATTAATGCGAATTGTTTTGCAATTCACTGAACAGCTGTATCGTTGTCATCCTAAATTTTTACCAAACCCGTCCTCGATGGTGAACATTCGAGGTGTTGCGGAGGACATGTATACCGTCGTAGACACGACTAATGGAAAAAGTCTCATATTGGAAGAAATTGAAGCTTCCAGAGCATCATTCGAAATATATGAAGGTAAACGTATCCATTGTTGCTCACAACAGCTAAACTGAGTACTCAACATCAGAATATAGGAGCAATTTTCATACACCAAGGAATCACATATCTGGTTGATCAATGCAACGTAGATCAGCATTATGCCAAAGTTAGGCGTGTGCATGTCGACTGGACAACAAGACAAAGAGACTACACTGATGTGGATGCTACGGAAACGTCGCGTTCGAGGATTATGGCTGAGGGACAAATACTATTCTATGGAAAACTTAGGGGTATGTATACCGTTACAGAATTTCACATATGACAGCAAGAAACTGAACAATAGAATGTAGTCTCCACCCACGTCTTTGGATATTACAAACTCGACAAAAGAAACCAAGTTATCGACACAGTTGACGTATACATGGATCCTATCATTAGAACAACAAATGGCGTGTGGGTAGATGTTCCTACTAATGCACTCAGAGCTTTGGCAGATCTCGAGATAGACATGAACGCATCGGTTCATGCTGCCGGTATTTATCTTGAAATTTACAACTGCAGATCTGAAATTATGCATACTTACGTTGGTACTTAGCTCATTCTTTATTATCCCTGATACCTACTTTTGCCTACTCCAGTGCAGGAGACGTAAGAACGGAGTGTAAAAGCCCATTAGCAACCCGCCATCGACCTGCCAGGTAGTGAAGTTTTGATCAGCTGTTTCAAAAGGACAGTTTACCTATGGAAACTAACCGCAGCACTTCACTCTATCTAGAATTAGTCTTTATGAGCCAGAAGCGTGTGGAACAACAGGAAAAGCGTACAATGTTTTTGAAAGACTACTGCATGCTTCCTATGAAAATATCTCAGCATGCAATTGCGAAGATGGATGCCCTCGATGTAGGTCACCAGCGAGCGTGGTAACCACAATAATTACAATTGATTAATCCAATTTTTCTTATAGGCGTACATCTTTCTCAGTGTTCGGAACAAAATTTGCTAGTTAGCAAGCATGGCGCGATTATCATTTTGAAAGAAATACTTGGCATTCACTGATCTTTGCGTTGTCTACATCTTTTTCTTTCACATACATGTATTCCTTTGTTAAGTGCTTTTTGCGCGTGTCTAAAACAATAAATTTGCTTTCTGTGGACTAATTAATGACATGTTCGAGTATACGATGCGCATTCATAAACTGGCGATGCAAAGCAGCATCTGGCTTGGCTCATAGTGGTGTCCGTATGTAGTGATATCTATACACAATTGTTCCATTGTAAGCATAGCTGTTTATTATTGATACTATAATGAATCTTTATAATGGTTTTGATATCCACAGATAGTTGTATTGACCACTACTTGCTTTGCGAGTAGGGAGTGTTCGGAGTGTTTTTTTCGTCAATCAACGGGTATAGGACGATTATGTGATGTTCTGAATGAAGGATCTTCATCAATCTTTTTTGGAAGATGTGTGGAAGGGCTGGTTATTATGCATACGTTTTGACGCAGCTCTTCCAATCGTTCCACCTTCATGATATTTAGGCTTGTTACTCGATGTGTCTGGGATGTGTATCTGGTTTTTGAAACTGTCCAATGGGTCGTAATTTGTGAATGATTCTCGCTCTCTTCGCTTTTTTCCGAACTCTCCATTCATCATAGTGCTAGAATCCAGCTCATCTTCATCCAAAGTTTCAAGTGTATACCCTTGCCAGTCATGCTCGGAGGCCTGTTGGCGACTTTCCACCTTCCATATATCTTCTGTTTTATGAGCCTGATAACCCTTCCAATCTTCTGATGTACTTGATCTTGATGACTGGCGTCGTAAATCTTGTACTGCTTGATTTGAAGGACCAGGATATCCAGTCCATTCTTCCTCCTCCTCATCGTCCGCTTCCTCCGATTTAGGAGTTGGATAACCATTCCATTTGTCAGATTCGCTATCATCAGCCTGATCATTACCTTTATCTTCTGTGCTACTTGGCTGATATCCCTTCCAGACCTCCTCATCATCATCATCATCACCATTATCATCCTTAGAAGAAGATTGATCATCACTAGAAGTAGCAACTTGTCCTGGACTACCGTTCTTGGGAATTGATGTCAAATCTTCCTCAAAGGTAGTGCTAGAAGCAGGTGAAGCACTTGGATTTGATCTCACAGGCTCTGGAATCGGACTCACGGACATCAATTTGGGTACAAAGGCGGGGGCACTTGGTGATAGGCGTGACTTTCGCGCATCCCGTCTAGATTGTATCAGCTTGGAATGTTCTTTGCCTTCACTACTTTCTGGTCGATCGAAATCATCATTCGGCTGCACGGGTGCTTTGTTTTCATTGGTATCTTGCATGCTGACCTCAGGCTGAGGACTACTGACAGCTTCTGGTGGCGAAGCAGGTGAGTCTATACGTAAAGGGTCAGAAAACTCTGGTGAAGGAGATCTAATGTCGTCTTCAGCGATTTCGGTTTCAACGTTATCAGCTTGCGCAGATTCATGTCCTGCAATGTCTTGACTCCATTCGATGTTCAAACCGGCACCCTCATGAGTGACTGTGGCTTCTGATAACAGTGTCTCATCCATATTTGATTGACCATAGTCATTGACGTCTGGGCTATCAGCTTGGCTATCGTCTGAGTGGGAAGTAGATGAGCGTCTTGAAAGTGGATCAAGTGGGCCATTGGCCACTTGCTGCGGCGGCTCACTACTGCTTTCCAAAGCTTCAACATCTTCAGATGGGACTTCCAGACCGGATATGACATCGTAGGTTTCTTCGTTCACTTCGATGTTTTCGCATATAAGTTCTTCTCCAGGCATTAGAGGCTCGACTTCCATGCTCTCGTCGACGAGCTGTTGTTTCGTAAGATATACTCGAGAGACTAACCAATGGTAAACTCCTATATTTCCAGGTGCCAACTTCAAAAGGTCCATTGGTGGGTCGATGCTTTTACGAAGTCCATGCAAGGTGACAGATTTTACGGTGGAAATGGGTTCAAAGTCCTCCCAGTCCGAGGATGAGTTCGACTGGCACTTTCTCAATATGACCATGACTTCATTCAATTTTTTGGCACCAGGTGCAGAGAGTAGCCGCTGTCTCTTGTCATCCGACTTATTGTCTTGACCGCCAGCAGTATACTCCTGAGCAATATGACGGATTCGGTTCAAGTGTGGGAAAAACCATGGTACAGCAATCATCATTCCTTGCTTGGATCTCGATTCAGAAGAAACCATAGATAGCTTTTTGACTAGCATATCTTGATAAGATCGATAACCATTGGAAGGAGACAAGAGAACGACAAGCTCCTTATATAAATCTTTGCTTCGAGATGGGCATTGAGTCCAGAGTCTACGTATTCTTCTAACTTCTGGAGATGATAACGCCTTCATAATGGCGAAACAACCAGAGAAATCCCGGTAAACGTGGAGTAATAAATAAGCAATCTTGACCACATGGCTGATTAAACTATCTCGATGCTGAACTGGTGGATCAACAACTTTCCCATCGTTTGATCGACAGATTTCAGACCAATAGATAAGTTGATGAGTAAAATTTGACGTAAGATACCGATGAAAATCAGTAAAGTACAAGAGATGCGTCCCTCGCGGATCCGAGAAAGCAAGGTTGTTGTCAAGGGTGATATGGCTGTACAACTGGCTATTAATGATAGCAATTTGTTTTGCAATGATGTCTGCATCCCATTTAAAAGCTGTCACCGATTGAACTGATTGGATTTGGTCGTTTAGTGCCTCAAGCCGCGACTTTTCGATCCGTTCATTCTCGTACAGATGTCGCAATGTTTCAGTTGAAACAGATTTCGCAGATGCCTTGGCTGCAGAAAGTGCGTCTTTGGCCTTTTTTAGGGATTCAGCAGCAACCAAACTATTCTTTGTGAGAATAGACAGAGGGATGAGTGGCAGTAGCCTGTCGCTCTCGGCCATCTTGAAAGCTCGACTTCGAAGCAAAGGATGTCAGTTCTCTGACCCCCTCCATGAAGCGAAATACGCATTATGTACACGTGATTTGCCTTATATGGTACTCTTGCATTTTGACCCCATATAACGCGACGCGATAATATGAAAGAAAGAAAACCGTTCTATTTGTGAGAAGAGCGCGGCTGATTAAATACATTTCATAGTTCATTGCATACTTAATTTTGCTGAAAGTGATGAAAAATTGCCAATATGTAAAGGTTGCCCAACCCAGTTGGGTGACCTAGCATGGTGAACCATCATCCCCTAACGTATACAGTATCTTGGTAACCAAGCACCTGGAAATACTTCTCCTGCAAGCTGGCATACAAATATATTTTGAAAACGTGAAATTATAAAGTTTTTAGATTGATGAATGAGGATTCTATAATGCCAAAGTATCATCAATGATAAACATAATACCCGGAACCCGGAAATACATATGCTAGCGAACATACATCTGTCCCATTGCTGTAAAATCAAATGCAGTATAAAATGCCTTTTCCAAATAAAATGGACGACTTCACTGATGTTTCTTTGTTTCCGTGAGAAGCTCAAGTCAATGAAATTTGCTGAATCGTATTTAACGTGATATGAAAATCATCTTGTTCGCCTGTTGGATATTGGCACCGTCATTAAGACGCCTTAGGTAATGGCAAAATGATATAATCGAAATGTACGACATGCTTACGATACTGCTCACCCTTCTCTCTGTGCTTGTAATTATACTAAGTTGGGATGGTGTGAGGAGACATTAAGTCTGGTGCAGGTAAAAAAAGGTCCTGTTCTCCTTTTTTCGGCTGACACCCTGTAAACCAATATCATTGTTGAGGTAGCGCAGTACATAGGCCATATACTACAATTGAAATCTTTACGACCATCTCAAGCATCATAGCTGCGTTTTTAAGTCATGTTGCTATCCTTTACTAAGAGATCCCTCATAGTAACGCTCCATTTCTGAATTCCTATCCCGTTTAAATTTATTTTGCTTTATCGCATGGCCAAGGTTATCTGTAAATAACTGTTAGAGCTACGAATACTGTTTATTAACAATTATTTTGCGCCAATACAAAAAATAAATTTAAGATCACGATAACAGAGCACAGAGCCTGAAAATTTATTCTCGAAATCATTAGTAACTTAAGCATGGCAGGAGAAACAGAATCAAACATGTATACTCACAGATAAGATAGTGGAGATATAGGTGTTTTGAAAGGCAATCGTCAAAAAATGAATGTAAATGCGAACGTAGAAGAGTATATCAGTAAGAAGTAATATAGCTAAAATGCTATCTCGCAGTAAAACTATTGACTTACCCAGTAAAGGTAATTCGGGATTGGACGCAAGCTTCCTCTCGGCAGATCGGCGGCACTCCATAATATGACTTGATTGGTTTGGGCTTGAATAGGAGACACGCAGTTACTACAATGATGGTATGATGTCAGTAGTTTGAAATGAGCAATCCGACATAATTATGAGCTTGTCTTACAGGTTATCAGCCAACCCATTCCCTCACCGATATTGCTTGCAAATAGCAAGACTTTGCTTGAGAGTTTTTTTTTCTAAGTTTGATAAGTTGTCAGGCCGGTTCGTATTCATTCACTGTAGCATATAATCAATACACACCAGGTTGTACTTACGATTACGGACGAAAGAACAACAGCAAAACTGACCAGCAGCTGCAGAAAAAGATAGAAGGCGGTCCGGGTCAACTCCTAACGTATACTGGCGAGAAGACGAATTTATTTACAAATGCTTTGCTGTTCATTTTATATCTCTGGATATTGGCGTTTTGAAATTTGGCCTTAGCGGACCCGATTCAGGGGACCCGATTCAGGGTTTATTTCGAAATCTCTTTGTCGAAAAAAAAAAAAAACATGAAAGGAAAGCCCACATGGGATTGCTGAATTATTGAGAAATACAGCTCACTGATCATGGCTTATGGCTTATGGTAAAAGGATATTCACAGTTTAATAGCCGGGTTTTGGTAAGCTTACAGAGTGAATCAAGTAAACTTTGGCTTTCGTTAGGAACGTTTGTGTGTTAAACTGCGCACCAGAGTATGTGTTGCTCTTGAATGATTGTTTGATGCATAGAAACGAAAGCTCTTGGCTTCCCATCAAATCAGTGAGCTGAACAGGACTGAAATCAGGGTAAATGCTGTAGCAAGATGAGCAAGATGGTTCCTTCCGACGTGAGGTTGAAAAGCATCTCTATGACAACACATGCATTGTGACACAATTTCCATTGACAAAGAGAATTGCCACTAGCGATTTCCGAAATTGGGTTTTCATGGCAGTCTTCTTCATCCATCCAGTTCATAACGG